CGTCGATCTGCTCGAGCTGTACGACAAGTACGCTCCGCGGCGGAAATCCCGGCGCTACAAGGACCACCTCAGCGGACGAGGACCTTTGCCGAGGTAGCCCACGAAAGCAGCCAAAGGGCGCGTTTCTGGACGTTGATGCGTGTGGGTTGAGCTGTCTGAGAGTCGAGCGGTGGGGCGGTGGGGCGGTGTGGCGGAGAGCAACGAAGACCTTTGGAAAGCCCTTCCCCCCTACCGTCCAGACTTGCTCGTTCACTCCGAGGCCTCGGGACAGCCTGCGTGCGGATGGAACTCAAAGCACTCGACGGCAAACAGAGCGCGCGTGTTGTACGTTTGCGACGCAGCGAGACACACACTCGTGGCCCCGGCACATGTGGAGCATCATCAGCACAGTCCCCCACTGCGCCTCGAACTTGACATTCAACACAGGGTGGTCGGCACATTCAAAACTACTGTGAAATTGGGAGATTGTCAAGCGCGAACAGGGGGTGAAGGCGTTCGACTCATCCTGCAAATGGTTTTGCCAATGGTTTTCAATAGGACATGGAGAAGGTTCCGCTGTTCATGACCAAGTCGCCAGACCACATTGACCCGGACGCGAGCCCCGCACTCGCTGCATTGGCAGCCATCATCCACGAGGAAACAACGCCCGATGGTAAAAAAAAGCACAAAACAAAAAACGCATACATGCAATGGATGGTGAAAGCAGTTTCAACCACGACGAAAGCTTACAAATTTTGGCTCAAAATGGGTGCTTGTTCGGTGTGACAGACAAGGTCGAGTACTACAAGGAGCAAGGAAACGCACTCTACAAGAAGGCCACGCGCGACGAGCTCAAGAAAGCTGTCATCATGTACTCGGAAGGGTTGAGCGTGCCGGATGCTGTCAACATGCAGCTTCGTGCAACAATGTACCTCAACCGTGCAGCGGCCAATATTCAGCTTGGTACGTGAGTTTGCTCAGCGTGTGCATCCGGCTCTCCGAAGAGAAGGCTCCATGCGTCCACCTCCATTCCAATCCTCATGTTTTTGTTCTTTCGTTGAGGTGTTTTTGTGTTGATTTTTTTTGTGTGTTCTTTTGGTGCTCGCTGATACAGGCAACAACCGCGCAGCACTTGCAGACACGACGCTCGCCAAAAAGACAGACCCGGCCAACATCAAGACATACGCTCGAGCAGCAAAGGCGTGCCTGGCGCTGGGACAGCACACGGAAGGCATCCAGTGGTGCGACGAAGGCTTGGCGCTCGACGCGACCAACAAGCCCATCCAGGAGGAACGGGTCAAGCTGGTCAAGGCACAGGGCGAAGCCCAGCGAAAACAGCGCATGGAGGCAAAGCGCTTGCGCGAGGTTGCTGCACAGGAGACGCGGATACACGCTGCCATTCTCAACCGCAACATCAAAATGAAGGCGCATCCCATGCACGAAGAGGAAGAGCAGAAGGCTGCCGCAGAAGCTGCGGCAAGCGGGGCATCCGCATCAGACCCTTCGCCTGTGGCCTCGATCGCCAACGATGCCAACAACAAGGGCACCGCCCAGGCGGTCAAGCTCTTCCGACTGGAGAATCCGTCAGGCGTCAAACCGACGCTCAACGAAGATGGCTCGCTGTGCTGGCCCGTCTTCTTCTTGTATCCAGAGTACGAGCAGAGCGAGCTCGTGTCCAGCTTCCACGAACAAGCAACCATTGGCGAGCAAATGGAGAACATGTTCCCTGACGACGCCCCTCCTGCTCCCTGGGACAGCAACAAGTTTTACACGCGCCACGATGCTCTCGAAGTGTTCTTTGAGGAGCAGTTGCCCGCAAACGCCAAGTCCGGCACCATTCCCAAGCTCGTCCGCGTCTCCAAGTCCAAGCCATTACTGCAGGTGCTTGCCGACCCGCGCTACGTTGTTATTGGCGGAACACCCACATTCGTGGTGCTCAGCAGTCAATCTCCCTTCCGCGCCAAGTATCTCTCCCGCACCAAGTAGCTTTGTTCTGCTTTTTTATGCTTGATAAATTGTTGTTGGATGATGCTCAAAACACAAAGGGAAAAAAAAAACACACACACTGTCAAAGGGCGCAATGAAAAAACACAAAACAAACAAAACAAATGGTAGTTGGTAATTTTCCCCAAAAAAAAAAAACATGCACTGTACTCCATTGAACTGACGCACACGGCGTTCACCACAAAAGATGCATACAACCAATGTTCCAAAACCAAAAAAACACTCAACTTTTTACGCAACGCGCCAGAGAGAGCCCTTGCGGCCGAGGAAGGCACTGCGCTGCGAAGACTGCAAGTCCTTCTCGAGGTCGCGCACCTGGCGTTCGCGCAGCTCGGGAGATTCCACGGCGCCGGAGGTGGCGGCGGTGCCAGAGCTGGCGCGAATCTTCTCGGCAGCGGTGATCAGCGAGGTGGTGGCGCGGGTGACGCCACGCGACGACTCTTCAACTTCCTGCTGCGAGTTGCTGTTGACATGCTCCTGCACCTGGGAGGCCGCAACAAGGCGAGCGGAGTCGGACGACACGCCGCTGGCGGCGCGGATGAGCGTGTCAATGGAGCCAGAGCCGTTCATGACAAGGTCAGCAGCGCTCACCAAAGCGGTGATGGAGGTGGACAGCTCGCGAGCAGTCGAGACGAGCACGTCGGTGAACGACCGGTCGCGGTTGGAAAAGTTGGCAGAGTGGAAGTGGCGACCGAGAATAGCAAGCTCGTTCACGCGGCTACGAGCGCTCTCGACGAGCGACGAGACTGAAATGACGATCGGGAAGATGGCGTCAATGACGGCACCCTGGAGCTGCGAGTCGGAAGCAACCACGGTGTTGCGATGCGGGCGCGAGCGAGAGTCGGCCAGCGAGCGGTTGGCGCCGGCAATCGACTCGGCAATGAGTCGGAGCTGAGAGTCTGCCTCGAGGTACTGGCTCGAAACGTCGTTCGCAGGTGCGACGTCGGCAACTGGAGCGCGGCCTTGCTGGATAAAGTCCTCAAAGCTGTCGCGACGAGTCAGGGCAGTCTTCAAGAAGCGTTGCGCAGGGTTGACGGGCGCAGCGCCGGCAGAAGCAGGCTGCGTGGTGGGGGTGGTGGTGACGGACGCCACGGCCGAGGCAGCCACAGGTACCTGCTGCTGCTGAGTGCCAGAAGCGGCGGCGGCGGCGGCGGCGATGGACTCAAACTGGGCCTTGATGGCAGCCGTGCCATTGAGGAGAGCACGCATGGACTCGACGACGAGCGCGCCAGTATCCTCAAGGGTCTTCTTGGCAGCCGGCGAGCCGTCAATCATGGACTGAGGCACCACCGTCAACAAGCGGACGGAGGTGTGGCAAATGGCCTTGAGCGCGGTGGAGAGCTGCGAGCGGAGGCGGGCATCGGTGAAAGCCTGGGCCATCTGACGGCCAGCAGCAAGCACTGGTGGCAGAGCCGCTCGGTAGTTGGTGGCAGCTTGGACCACCAGGGCAACGTGGCCAGGGGTGGCCACGGCCGAACCAAGGCCCTTGAAGGCGTCGGACAGCGCATTGGCACGCTGGTGGAGCAAATCCGCGGCAGTCACCACGGCGGCGGCCGCAGCCGCGGGGTTGGCGGGCGCGAGCTCGCTGAAAGGGTCGTCCAGGTGCGAGCTGATGGTGGCAATCGTGTCGATCGCAAGCTGGCACTCGCGGTTGCCGGGCAGCGCTTTGATGATGGCCGGGAGGGCTTGAGAAATGTACTCGGCGAGCGAGGCAAAGCGGCCGCGGTTTTCACCGACGCCAGGATCGGCAAGAACGGCGCCGACAGTCTCAATCAGCTGGGCAGACTTGTCAAGAATGTCCGTAATGCCACCGAGCAGTGCGTGCTGGCTGGAAGGGTCGGTCAGCGAGCGGGTCAGCCCAATGGAGGTCTTCTCGAGCGAACGGAGGGCAGCGGCAACGTTGGCTGCGTCCTGGATGATGGACAGGGAGGCCGTCTGGTCGCCGGCGCGACGCAAGAGCGACAGGTTGTTGTTGAGCTGCGAGATGGTGGCACCGACGCTGCGGACGGTCTGGGCCAGCTGGGGCACACGCGTGTCGAGCGGGACGTCGTCGCCGACGCCGAGGTTGCCGGTGCTGACCATGCCGTAGGCAGTCTGGGCAGTGAACAAGCTGTTGCGCACAACCTGAAGCGAGGCCTGGATGCCCTGCTGGGCCTGCGGCGGGGGCGCGGCAGCGAAGGGGTTGGCAAAGGGGTTTTCGACGGCAGGCGCCGCAGTGTCGAATGGATTGTTCGCCTCGGGGGCCAGAGTGTTGGTCGGCATATCGTCATCAAAGTTGATGAGGAGGTCAGGCTCGGGCGCGTGGACGGGGGCAGCAGCAGCAGCAGCAGTAGGGCCGGCAACACGGGGCACAGGGGCAGGCGATGCCGCCAACGCGGGTGCGTTGCTGGTGGCAGAGTGTGCATGTTCGGAACTGGCAATGGCCTTGGTCGCCTTCTCGGGCTCGGGATAGGAGATGGTGAACGGCAGCTTGACAATGAGATCAGAGCCCATCGCGACAACGGCGTGCACGTTAATGTAGTAGCTGACGGTGACGCCTGGGCCGAGATCGGCGGTGGTGTGCGTCAGACGCGTGGTGGCGGCAAGCTGGGCGTTGTCGGCCATGTTGAGCTTGTACTCTTGGGCGACGTGGTGCGTCTCCTGGGTCGTCACCTTTGGCGTCACGCTGTACGTTGACGAGAACTCGGAATGCTTCTTGATGGGGCAGCCGCGGGTCGACTCGATGGTGGCCACGACGGACTTGATCTTTTCGCGCAGGCTCGTTTCAAAGCGGACCTCGACAATCTGCTTGACGGAGATCTTGATGGCGCACACCTCCTTCTTGGAGAGGTTTTCAATCTGCACCTTGACGTTGATGGGCTCGTTGTGGTAGAAGACCTCCTTCTCGAGCGTGGCCTTCAGGGTGAGCGGACGCGCATTGTCAAACATGAAGCTCTTCTGGCCAGAGGCCGACGGAGGCTTGACGTCTGTGAGCAGCGGGAAAAAGTTGATCTTCTGGAAGGGCAGCGTGACAATGCTGGTGCGCGTGCCCGACGAGATGCCTGCGAGCCAGGTGCGGACGGTCCAGCTGATGCCGATCGGCTTGCCCTCAAAGTACGACTCGGGCTTGAGGATGACCGAGGCGGGCAGGTCGTGCGGGAGGCGGACAATGAACGGGAAGCAGGCGCCGCCCACCTTGCGGACGAGCGCGCGCTGAGCTGCAGTCGTCTCGTACGCCTCGGTCGAGTTTGGGTGGAGCTCGACTTGGCGCTGGTAGAAGGTGTCTTCATGGATGTCCCAGTTGGAGTCTTCGTAGACGTAATCGCACGCGACTTGCGCGATCAGAACTGATTGATTGGAGCAGATGAACAGACAGAGACGTTAGGAGTGAGATTGGCGAGTTGGATGAAGATTCGAGTTGCTATTCCACCACTGTCACTCCTATCAGCGCTGTCATCGTCCATTTGCTTTCAGATTCAAGCAAGCGAATTGATGGGCGTTGTTTGTGATACGCTTGTTTGGCACGCCCCCAAAGCGCAAGCCCCAGCCCCAGCCCAGCCCAGCCCTGCAAGGCGAAAAGGCACGCTCGTCTCCCAAATAAAACACAATCTTCCGCCGTTGCTCATTGGATTCCATTGGAGTTACCCCCCGTCCCCCCGTCCCCCATTCTCATCAAAAGGAGTGCACAGTGGCAGCGAGTGAGAGAGAGAGAGAGAAGCAGGTCCCGCACGCCAACGCAACGAAGCAATGGTCGAACCAAGCAGATTCAAGTAAAAAAAAAAAAAAAAAAAAAAAAAACGGGCGAGTCCTTTTGTGAGACGATGACAAAGAGCTGCTTTTTGTTGGGTTACCCTTGTTCTCGAGGAACTGGCGCTCGGAGACCTTGATGACGCCCTCGATCAGATCAATCTCGCCGCCGTGGTCGAAGATCGTGCGGCCGCCTGCCCCCCCCCCCAACAGTAACAAAATCCAATTTCAAAAAAACGAATAAAATTTTGAAAAAAAAAAAACGCGTTCAAAGTGAGTTTTCAAAGCAACGCGAACAACGACAAGGACAAGAACAAGGACAAGAGCAAGGACAAGGACAAGCGTATGGAAGGCGGGTGAGAAGGGGGGGAAGAGCGAGAGAGAGAAAGAGAGAGAGAGAGACAAACCGAGATAGACGCCCATGATCTTGTCCTTTGAGTTGCGATAGTTGAATGTACGAGTCGTCATTTGTTGAAACGAAAGAAGAAGAGTGGACTTGGTTTGGGGAAAATGAAGGAGTATCACTCAAGTGAGAGTAGAGAGAAGTGTGAGAGTGAGAGTTTCAGATTAAGATTGTGAGGGGAACCAATGTGGAATTAAGCTCGTGAGAGATTGAGAGCTTGAGAAACTGAGAGACTGAGAGATTGAGATGCTTGAGAAACTGAGAGACTGAGAGATCGAGAGTGAGATTGAGATTGAGATTGGATTGAACTTCTTCAAATCATTCAGCAACAGCAGATCCTGATCCCAACGCTACATACCATCGTCCGTGATAAGGTGATCTAAAGTGAGGCGACCAGACTCCATTGCACAAAACTCTCAGACTGACCGACTGAGAGCGCAGTCCCCAATTTTGGATCACTGTGAAACAACGCTGACGGTTACTCGCCTTGTTCGACGCTGCTCCGGTTTGCCTGAACTTTTGCCGAGCATCACCACCACTGCTGTTGTATCTGCTCCACTGTTGTTGTTGTTGTCGTCGTCGTTGAAGCGTCAAGTTGCAAGCCTCGCGTCCATCTCGACATCCAGACTTGCGATTGATCGGCCTCGGACTCCATCTGCACTGCTGTACCATCCCGGCCCAGGAGTCATCACACCTTCACACGCTGCAACAAGAACCATTGCTGCTGCTGCTGCTGCTGCTGCTGCTACTCTTGGCTTGACGCGGTCGCTGCTGCACTCCCAAGCTCACTTGAACCAACGAGAACGAGAACGAGAACGACTCCAACGCAAAGCGCACATGGACCAGCCGTCTGCCGCTACGTCGACGACTACCACTGCAACTGCTCCGAACCCCTTGCCTGCCTCGCACTCTACGTCTACTTTTAGCTCACAGGCAGAGCCGCTGACGGAGCGACCAACCCAGAAACGACCCATGGAGCACGACGAGTCCAATCCGGATGCAGCTCCCGCAGACACGAGCGACGAGCAACAGGCTGCGAAACGCACCCGCTTCGGCACCCGCTATCTCGAAGACGAAAGCCAGGTGTTTGAGCAGAATGCATGGTGCGTCTCGCGTGATGGAACCTCGAAAGATGCTGACAGTCCCGATGAGGACACCTTTTTGACCATTGTTGAATGCCTTGTTCGTGCAGGGACAATGTCGAGTGGGATCCCGAGCAGATCGAGTACGCCAAGAAGGTGGTGCGCGAGCAGGCGTTGACAATGGTGTCTGAAGCTGATCGAGGTAGGGCTTGCTCTGGTTTTTTTTTTTTTTTTTCCTTTTGGATGCTGGGTGTCGTGCTCGCTTGGTCCTGACGGTTGTCGTGCTGACGTTGATGCTCCTCCTCCACCAAATCCACAGAACGTTACGAAGCCGAGGCTGGAGAGTTTTGGAACAAGTTTTACTCTCAGCATGACACAAAGTTCTTCAAGGACCGCAACTGGCTCTTCACCGAGTTTCCCGAACTCATGCCAAGCGAAGTAAGTGTTGCAAAACCCCTGCAGTGAATCAAGCGCGCGTGTGGGTGGTCGCCTTTGACATGAGATTCCTTCTTCACCTCATGACGCTTTTTTTTTTTTCGAATGAAATGTCAGAACTCGACAGACTCGTACCACATCTTTGAGCCTGGCTGTGGCGTTGGCAACACCGTCCTTCCCATCTTGCAGACAAACCGCAACCCCAACTTGCGAGTGTATGCAGCCGACTTTTCCGCACGAGCTGTCGAGTTACTCAAGGTACAGCGGAAAATGCGAAAAAACGAGTTTTGCTTTTTGTCCGTTTTCTCCCCCCCCCTCTCCCTGCTGATTGTGTGATTGCTTGATACGTTTTATGCTCGTCTTCCTTTCACATTTCGGTGCTCCAGGAAACTCCGCTGTTCCAGGCAGAGCAAGCGAGGTGCCAAGCATTCGTGCATGACATCACCTCTACAGATCCCTATCCGATTCCGGAAGGATCGCTCGATGTTATCATCATTATTTTCGTGCTCTCTGCCGTCGATCCCAGCAAAATGCAAGATGCCATGACAAGATTAGCTCGCGTAAGCGAGGCGACAAGCATCGCTCCCGTGTTCGTTTTGTTCGCTCGCTCAATCATCAGTCATTGTGTCTCACTGATATTTTTTTGTTTCACCTTCGCGTGCTGCAGTTGCTCAAACCAGGTGGCGCACTCCTGCTGCGCGACTACGGACGGCACGATCTCACTCAGCTCCGCTTCAAAAAGAACAAGATGCTTTCCGACAACTTTTATGTGCGAGGCGATGGCACTCGAGTGTACTTTTTCTCGCAAGGTTAGCAGACTTGCATTGTGGAATTGGTGAAGGAAGAGTTGGGATTCTGATGAGAGTTGAGAGTGTTTGGTTTAATTTTTTGGTTTTTTGGTTTGTTTTGTTTTTGTTTTGTGGTTTTGGTTTTGCTTAACTTGCGCTCCTGGCGTGCTACAGACGATTTGGACTCGATGCTGACCAAGGCCGGCCTGGTCAAGGAATTCAATCGCCCTGACAACCGTTTGATTGTGAATCGCGCAAAGCAAATCAAAATGTATCGCGTTTGGCTTCAGGTCAAGTACGTCAAGCCTTTCGCCGACGGATCTCTTCCCGCGCCGCTGGTCAGCACCGCCGTCGTTCCGCCTGCAACCAGCTCTCCGGCTTCGGGCTCTGGATCCAAGAGTGCTGAGATGGATGAATAGTGGATCCGATCGTTGAGGGCTTGGTTTCAACTGCAATAAATTCAAGGCCGATCGTGAAAATTGTTTTGGGATGGTCTTAGAACGCGCGACAATTTGAGGGGTTTTGGTGGATGTGGCTCTGGCGTGTAAAGTAAAAATCAGAGTGTGATGCAACGCAAAAAAAAAAAAAAAAAAAAAAAAAAAAAAAAAAAAAAAAAAAAAACACCAAAAAAAATTCGACTGCGACGAGACTCGAACTCGTGCGCCCTTGCGGGCATCAACTTAGCAGGCTGACCTCGTAACCACTTGAGTACGCAGAAGCCCCGCATGGGCATATGCATATCTGAGTCGAAATGCCGCTCTGCACCATCGAAATCGCACCGAGTTCCACGAACCATGAGGTTTTGTGCGATCGCTAAAGGCAACGTGTAGCGCAAATATGCACGAGTACAGCTTTTTTGTGTGCACCTTGACTAATGGTACGCTTGCGCGATATTCTGCATTATTGTTGTGTTTGTTGGTTGTTTGTTTGTTTGTTTGTTTGTTTGTTTGTTGTTTGTTTGTTTGAAACTGATGCCATTTTGGACAGCCGTGCACTCCATAAAGATCACCATTTGGCTCCTCTCCAGAGCGCAGACCTGCACCTCACATGGGCACGCGAATCGAATTAATTTAGCTGAGTTTGAGAAGACGACAATCTGGAATACGGCAATGATTCAAGCAGAAATGAGCAAAAGGCTTGGTGACTTGTGCCTCCTTGACTACTTTGCATACTCGTCTTTGTCAACGACGGCAGATGCTCCGAGAAACAGGATCTGGGTTTGAACGACAACGACATGGTGAAACAAAAAAATGAGCAAACGCATTTTTGTTTCAGTTCGCCATCCGGCACCGAATATGAGGACAGCGCGCGCTCCCCTTACCTGTGACAGCATAATCAAAATGAGGCCAGCGAACTGGGCATTGACGCGCGGGCAGTCAAAACTAAGATTGGTCACATCCTGCTGAGCCTGCGGCCATTGAAGGCAGAATGTCACCATCGGAGTGGTGATGGGCCCCATTGACAGGTAAATGAAGGACGAAGTGAACACAAAGGTGTGCAGGTGGTTCAGGATCCAAGGCTTGACGACCGCGATCAATGAGGCAAAGTGGAAGACCCAGATCAAGATGCCGCCCCATGCCAATTCCAGTACGGCAGTGCTGACTTCATATTGGAGGTTTGGCTTCCCACGACAAAGCCGTAGCTCACGGATGCGACGAATCCGCCAATCTGTAGCGGAGCATTGCAAGGTGATTGTTTCAGGTGAGTGAAAGGGAATCTACAAGAAAAAGAGAATCGAGTTTCGGGTTTCGGGTTTCGGGTGTGGCAGAACCAAACCATCGCTGAACCAAACGAGTCGTGCGTTCGGTCTCGATGAAGTAGATGAGCATTTATGTGCGATATCGCTGAAGCCAGATGGTGACGAGGTGGATGAAGAACGACGAAAATAGATTGATTCGCGCGAGCAATTTTAGAAACGATCACCATGGTTGTCAAACCGCAAAGCGAAACTCGCTCTCTCGCTCTCTCGCGCGCTCTCTCGCCTGTTGCACCGACGATGGGAGGAGAATCCCTCTCGTGGTTGTCCAAGCGAACGTCAGGTTCTGTTCCGAATGGAAGGAAGGAAGGCAGTCAAGTCGAAGGGAGTGCAGCAGGTGGTTTTTTTGCCGGGTAGCATCACCGCCCCCCCCCCCCATGTGTCAGGTTTCTTTGCGGCTGACGCTTCATGGCAAAGGAGCGACGGATTAGATTGAGACAGCACGCGGGAGTTGAGATAGCGAGAGACAGAGAGAGATGGAGGCGGTGCGCAACAATTCGTGATTAAACTTACGACGCCGAGCGCGCCAGCGGTGAGGCGAATGGAGCGAGCAATCGAGCTTCTCGACATTATTTCACGTTCGGAAATTCGGAGGTTTGGAGGTTCAGATGAGGAGTGACCATTTCGATTTCAATTCCCAATGTAGAGGTGATTCCACAACGCATTGTCCCCCGCCAAGGCGATTCAGCATAACCACCAATTGTCGACAAATCCATGTATTGAAGGGAGCAACACTGTCAAGAGGAGTAGGGTGGGGGGGGCCGCACAGAAACTAGAATCAAATCAACCTCCCGTTGGCATCTCCAAGGACGTTTTTCAACCATCATCCTCCGTGGCAAGACGTGGCCGAGTACGTCGTGTACTGGCACGTGAGGACCGAGATCCGCTGCTGCTGCTGCTGCTGCTGCTGCCGGCTACATAATCCTGCTCGCCATCGTCGTCGCGATTGTAACCACGCGCGGTTCTGCGATTCGAACTTGCATCGCTGTTGCTGCTGTTCTCGCTGGTGGCAGCAGCTCTCTGCCGTGGACTGGACGTCGCCGATCTGACGCGCGATGTACTCGCCTCCCAAGCACGTTGCATTGTTGCATGGGCAGCCTCGGCAGCCAAATCTTGCTCAAGCGCGGATGCTAGCGCATCTCCGCCAGCGCCAGACACCGCAGGTGTGGATGATACAACGAGGGGCGTGAAAGGGTTTGGGGGAGCTGCGGTGCGTTGCTTGCCAGCGCGCGGTGCGGCACCTTCGCTCAACGCCAGCGCCGCCTTCGAAAACACCGGTGCTCGTGAGCGTGAGCGACTGGGCTTGGCTGTTGCAGGGGTGTGTGTCGCAGCCGAGGGATCGGTCGTAGCCACCAAGGGCATGTCTTGTGATGCAGCTGCAGCGGTTGGAACAAAACGCGACGGCTGTTTGTTTCGCAGACCGCTACTGCCGCCAACTGTGCTCAGGCTATCAGACTCCATGCTGTCGCCAGCGACTGGTTCAGTCGCTGCTTCGCCTGCGCTGCTCGAAGACTCGTTCTGCGCCGATGGAGTCTCGCCGTCAGCTTCGGTCGCGGGGAGCTGAAGATATTGACGCAGGATGCGCTCGCATTCTGCCTTGGATTGCTCCGCGCTCATGCGCTTGGCATCGAGCCGTCGTGCTTGGGAATTTTGCCGACGGGCAGAGGCTTGGGCGCGCATGGCAACATTTTCGGCCCGCCGCCGCGTCTTGTCCAACTTGCCTTCCGCCAGTCTCGCACGGTACTCTTCTCGATACTCACCCAAGGTCTTGGCGAGATCCCCCGCGATGGCATTCGAGACAATGTTCAGCGACTTCATTGGCTGCGCGGGAACGGCAGGGACACCCAAGCCAAACGCGGACGCGCTGTTGCCTGCAGAGGCCGTGTGCATGGTCGCTGGCAGGAGAGAGAGCGATGAGGTTGAAATGAATGGCGAGGAAGCGCTGCTGGATGTGCCTTGACCCGACTGGAGCAAGGAATGGCTGCTGCCTTCGTGCGGAGCAAATGGAAGTGGAGAAGGCATTGGCGACGGGCCAATCGATTCCGCGCCAAGACCACCAAGAGCATGGTGAAGCAAAGCTGTGGAGCCATTCGCAACAGCAGCCGCCGCAGCCGCGGCCGAACTTGGCGCGTTGTCGCCTGCTGCCAGCGCCGACAGGACACACTTTGCCTCAAAGTAGCGCTGGAACGTCTTGTCCACGAGTTCAATGCTATCCTCGTCAATGATACCATTGACGGCACTGCGTTCGCTGAGTTCTGAGGCGTAGGTGGAAGTCTGTCACCACAAACGCCAACGTTGGAAATGATTTGTAAAATGAGTGTTGGTCGAAGCGCAATGAAAACCCACATCAACAAAAGCATCCAGCCTTGCTGCAAAAAATTCCGTGCTAGACCAACCCTCGGTTTCGCTCTTTTACCAATCTTCGCGCTCCCATGGCCAATGCCTTATTGGCGTCTCTTGAGACGGGGAGGCCGGCGCGGGAGGCGGTGGCGGTGAACAGAAACGCCTGCGCAGCCTCGAGCTGCTCGAACGTGTACAGCGCATCAACGAGCTTGTCGGCGACCAGTGTGTCGCGCAAGTGGACGAGGTCGGGGAAGGACGTGATGGGCACGCGGATGCAGACCTTTGGGTTGCACAGCTGGCCATTGTACAATGCGTACAGCGTGAACATTCCCCACACGCGCGTCTCGATCAGCTTGCTCGCGAGCATGACGTGCAGCACATGTGCGAGTGCAATCTCCATACTAAAGGGGTCCAAATGGTCCAAAGTCAGCTCCATTCAACTCTCAGTCCGAACGCTCAACAGTCGTTGTTTGTAGGGTGGGGTGTTACTTTTCAGTCTTCTCGGCATTGTCGCGACCTGCGTAGTGGAATGTCGCAAAGTGCACCTGTCGCCATGCACGGGCGAACGCGGCAAAGTCGAGCCCATCGCCCTCGCGGAAGGCCGTCAGCAGCTGCCTCGTGTCGTTCTGGATTGCTCGGCTGCTCTGCCTCATCTGCCCCTTTCGGCCTTTCGCCTTTCGCCTTTCGCCTTTTGCTAGTCTACAGTGCTACTTGCGATTGCGATTGCGATTGCGATTGCTAAATGGAGGGATTGGCTGGCAAAACACCTCCCCAAACCAGCAAAGAACACAACAGCAACAATGCAAACTGAAAGGAGACTGAGCGTCTGAGATTGAAGCGTCGCAATTTCCCTGTGTGCCCAAATACAACGTGCAGTCACGATAGTACAAGCTTTCATTGTTGCCTGATGATGATGCTGAAATTGATAGGATTAGAGAGAACCCTCCTTCTACCGGACAGAAACTGGTGACCATCCTGCATCTGGCTCTCTTCATATTCTTGTTCAACATTATTAATATAGACGATGTGCAAAAAATGGAGGCGGTCGGAGCAATATGAAATTTTGACTTTGCATTGACCTTTGGCTGGGCGCGAAAAATCGTGTCCGGTAGATGGAGGGACAACCTCCGCAACACTCCCGGCACCTTCCAGCCCGTCTCCGACACCGGACATGCAGCGAAGATGCAAAGAAAACCGATCTTGTCCGCGTTGGTGGATGATAGGGTCATGCTGCTGGTACTTATGGCCAGGAGCGTGCGCGGGGTCGAATCGGGACAAAGAATTATCGTCGTTTAATCAACCCGACACCAATAACATACATAAAATTGCACATAAAGTCATACATGTAACACATTTAGTTCGAATTGGAGAGGTCAGATAGCGCGAGTCGCTTCCGGCGATCGGTTTTCGGCGTGGACGACACATTTCCCTCGGTTGACACGAGCTGCATCGCCGCCATGTCGTTTGTCAGCCAGCTGCTCACGCCAATTGTGTTGGCACGACTGAGTGTCACACCTGGAGACGACATGAGCCGCGATGAGCTGCGGGTAGCAAGACGGGGCTCCTTCAGCCGCTCGAGCGATCTTGACGACAGTGAATAGGTCACATTCTCGTCCGACCCGCCACTCTGTGCTGTTTCAAATGATGGAGCGGCCTCGTCGTCAGAGTCTCTTTCATACATTCTCTTCCTGGAGCGCGCTGGAGCGGCAGAAGTCACCTGCATTGGCGACGGCGGAATGCCGTCCTTTTCGCATTCGTCGTCAGAGTCGTCCTGCTCAACCGCCATCGTCGCAACCGATTGCAAAGCCGGTGCCGCAGCTGCTGCTTTCGAGGCGGCAAGCGCGCGGACGTGTCGGACGTCGGGGCGCTTGGGTTTTGCGGCGACCATTTGCTTCACGGTCGCGTTGACTTTGGCGAGCCTCTGCTGGTTCGCGTGAAGTTGCGCACGCACGTCTGCAACCAGAGCGGCTGCCGAGTCATCTGCCTCGAGTTCTGCGAGCCGGGCCTGGTCGGCATCGATCGTCGACTTGAGTTGGTCCTGCTGATTCATGACGGGCTCAATCTCGTCCTCGTAGGTCCGCATTGCCCGGTTGTACTCCGCCATGAGAGGCGCAACCTGAGCCTTTTCTTGTTCCCGAGCTTCTCGCTCGTGTTGGGTAGCACGCTGTGCCGCATCTTGCGGCGAGTAGGCCTTGTTCGGCTTGACGGTTCGGACAGTGGCAGGCTCGGTGCAGCTCGACGACGGTGTCAGCGGGGGCGCTCGCAGCAACTCCTCGAACGTGAGAAGCGATGGAATCTGTAGCAGGGTGCGCACATCACTCAAGACAGCGTCAAGAAGGCGCTGAGATTCCGGACGCAGCTGAAACTCCGCCCAGGCTCGGCCCACAGCTTCCCTCCGGACTTGTCACAAAGCTCCTGCAGACGCTCAAAGAAGCTTCTGAGGGTTTCCTCGTTCATCGCGGCCGTACGAATGGTTTCGATCGAGTGTGCAGCGATCCAGCGGAGTTCGTCGGAAAACTCGGCGAAAAACCGCTCCAAAAACGACTCGCTCGGGCCGTTGGGACCGAATTTGCGGCGAGGCTTTCCATCTGGTCGTGGAGCTTGAGACAGGCGCATGAAGAGTTCGGTTGTCTCGGGTTTGGTGAGGGCGACGTGAGCAAATGCGCTGCGAACAAGGTAGTTAACGATCTTGAGCTCCTCCGACCGGAGGAAGACGTTGCGGTCCCCCGAGATGGCGTCATCCTGAACTAGATCAACTGCCTGGTCGAGGGTAGAGCGGGCGAAGAGATCGGCTTGATGGCGGTGATGCGCGATCCATTTGCCGACAGTAGATCGCGAAACGTTGAAAATCGCCGCCAGCTGCCTGATGGACGGTTTCGTCTCCTTGCCGCCCGCGCCACCTGGTCCACTGATGTCAGCACATGGTGTAAAGTAGGATTTGAGCACGGCGGCCTTGAAAAAGCGAGGAGAGTCGGCGTCCTTGGCCTGTCTAGCCTCCCGCAGCAGGTCGAAGGCCAACTGGTTCCGCGGACTGACGTCTCCGCCCGGTGTGCCCAGTGGGTTCATCAGATGCTATTTAGTGGATATCCGCAAGGAGGGGGTAGCAGAGCAAGACTCAGAGCCACGTATCGATCGTGTCCGGTAGATCAAGGGAAGCAAAAATATAAATGACTGGAAATGCATTATGTCCGGTAGAAGGAGGGTTCTCTCTAGAACAGTTCCAGGTCCATTTCCAGGTCCAGTCTTTTGCTGTTTCAAGCCCTGTTCTGATGGATGGCCTGCAGATTGATCCCCACAAGCGCCATCTGCTCGAGGTCGGTGGCAATGTGCTGCTCGAATCCGAGGAGACTTGCTTTGACGTTGTTGATTGTGATTTTGCGTATGAGGAGAGGGTGGTGGGGCGTAAGAAGCAAAACTGTCAAACGATTCTCAACGTCCGCGCCAAATTTCATTGCGCTCGACTCCAGCTGCCCAACGCTGGCTGCGAACGCAGACCCGCTCTCGAAGCGAGGGTGGGCCCTCGTTGGTAACCATTGCGTACTTGTTCATGCAGCGCAATCTGAATCGGCCGTCGTTGCTCCCAAGTCCCGGGCAAGCATGGAAAGATGGAACTTTGTCAACTTTTTTTCCCGCCAAAACTTGGCCAACAACAAAAAAAACCGCGAAAACTTTTTCTGCGCTCGACAGCGTTCTGCGCTCCCTCTCTCCCCACCCTCCATCACCACTCCACTCAAACAAGCGATGTCAAGAGGCAGTGCATGTCCCTCTCACCGAGCGTGCGGGGCCAATCATCGGCCTGGGGTTGCTGGAAGGAGATGCGTGCCTTTTCGTTTCCGCGCCATCTTTCCCCATTCATTCGTTTGCTGATGTCCAACGGTTTGATCTAACCCGCTCGGTGCTTCCTTCTTGCTCTGTTCTGGGCCTTGTCAGGTTCGCATGATGAACGGTCGATCAGCTTCCTCGGGATTGCTCGCAAGCACGCAGCCAGCCGCGCAGGAATCGTTGTTTGGAGGAGGCCTCTCGCAACAAGCCACGCTTGGCACTGTGCCAATGCAGATTGCTGACAAGGAAGTCTCGACGAATAGTAGCCCGATCAAACAGATCACGGCAGTAGCAGCAGTGTCTGCAGCCTCGGCCCAACCCCAATCGACCTCCCGCGGCTTGCCACAGGACGTCGCCGCCACTGCCCAAGCTGCACATGACCCGCACGAACGGGCTTTGCATCAGCAGCAACTGGCCACGCTTGGGAGCGACCAGCCTGTGCTTGCAAGCGCGCAGCAAGCAATCAATGCCAACAGCAACTCGCCATTTTTTGCGTCAGAGCGCTCCAACATGTCCCTGATTTCTGTCTCGTCGGTATCAAGCAACTTGGCGTCCGACTCCTTGAGCGGGGGCGAGGTGGACACTCACATGGCCAATCCTCTGGGGTTGCGGTCCATCCGGGCCGACGATTCTCGCAGTAACGACGTGGGTTTGGCACGCTTCCCGCGTCCAGATTCGCCAGGAACGCGCAGCACACCAGCCAGCAAGCGGAAATTCTCAACTGCCGAAGACGACAAGATTAAGGACGGTGTTGATCGGTTTGGAGAAGATTTTGACAAGATTCGTGCCGCTTACCCGGAGCTCGACCGGACCTCCGAGCAGCTCAAGGCTCGCTATCACCGTAGCAAAAAGCGTGCAGCATCTGAAGATGGCCTTCCAGTTCCAGCGTCGCCCCTTCCCCATGGCGCTTCTGCTAGTGCTGCGGTTGCGGCTGCGGCGGTTGCGGCTGTGGCTGCTGCAGCTGCTGCTGCCGTTGCGCAACGGCCCCGACCCATTACACACTTTTTTGCTTCGGCCTCAAAGTCAACCGTGCAAACCAGCCCAAGCAAATCCTCTGATCCTGCGGGGATGCATCTGGCATCAGCAACTCGCGCGCCGCAGGTCGTATCGCAAGCAAGTCTCGTTGTCGAGCCGATGCAGACAGAATCACCATTGACAAATCCGATGATCGGGGCGGCGCCTATTCCTGCACCTACCCGCTTTCTCGAGCCTGGCCCTTCTTCCATCGTTGCTGCTGCGTCTGCTGCTGCTGCTGCTGCTGCTGCTTCTCCAAAGAAGGCCACGCCTTCTCCCAGGACGCCGCCGAATGCTGCTGTATCTCGATCAATTCGCCCCGACATCATGCAATCTGTGCCCAGGCTGTCGATGGCACTCCAGACTGAGCTGAGCGGCGGCGATTTGGATCGGCAGAGCGAAGCCGCACAAACCGCACTCAAAACTGCTCACGAGTTGGCACGCACACAGTCCGAAGATGCGCAACGGCTTACTGTTGCCCTTCGCGACTCGAATGAACGCCTTCGCGCCGCAGTTGCTCAGGCTGAGGAGGCGACCCAGCTGGCCCAGGCGCTCAAGGACTCGGAAGAGCGCTTGCGCCTGTCGATGGCTCAGGCGGATCGCTTCATGGCATTCATTCCACAGCTTCTCACTGCGCAGTGCGTTGAGGAGAAGCGTGCTGCTCGTGAGAAATGCGTCCTGGACAGTCACCGCATTGTCAGCTTTGTGATGAAACGCCGCGGCGCCGAGTTTGTGGAAGCGTGGCAAGAAGGTGTTGCGTTTGACGAGCACCGAGCCAAGATGCAGGCCATCGTCACCCAGCGCGAAGAGCTCGATCGGCAACGAAAGGCGCTCACCAAGCGCAAGCCCGCCACCCCAAAAGCGGCCAAGGGCGGCAAGAAGGACGACGATTCCAGCATGGACACGACTGCAGACGGTGTGTTTGCCAAGCCCGCGTTGCCTGCTGGCACGGTTTCCAAAGCCGGCAGTGCCGCGTCAGGCACATCTGCCCAAAGCGCGACGAGCAGCAACAATCAGTCCCTCTCCGCATCGTCAAGCAGCGACGAGATGTCGGCGATGGAGCTGTACGAATTGGATGAGATCATCAAGATGCGACAGCTCATGCTGAAAAAGGAGGAAACGGTCCTTCTTGAGCAACTCGAAGAGCTCGAACGTGATCGCAATCTCCACATCCGTGAACTCAAGCGCATCCGCGATGAGGATGGCTCCCGTTTCAACAACAACCCCACACTCAATGGCCGCTACCTGCTTCTTACTCTTCTTGGCAAAGGGGGCTTTAGTGAAGTGTACAAGGTAGGGGTTTGTCGAATGCGGTCGGATTTTTGGTTGTTCTGCCTCGATGGACTTGCTTGACTGACAAACACACTTGTTTCTGCAGGCATTTGATTTGAAGCAGTGCATGCATGTCGCTTGCAAAATTCACCAAGTGAACAGCGCGTGGAATGAGCAAAAGAAGGCGAATTTTGTCAAGGTACGGCGATTGGGTCTATTGCACTGTGTACTTTGGCGTCGATTCTTACTCTTTTGTGAATGTTCTCTCTTTGGCCAACAGCACGCTTGCCGCGAACTGAAAATTCACGAAAGCCTCGACCACCCTCGAATCGTCAAACTCTACGACGTGTTTGAAATTGACGCCAACTCGTTTTGCACGGTGCTCGAGTTTGTCGGTGGAAACGACCTCGATTTTCACCTCAAGCAGAACAAGATGCTGCCCGAGCGTGAGGCGCGCCTCGTCCTCGTTCAGCTGTTCAGCGCACTCAAGTACTTGGCCGAGCTCAAGTCGCCCGTCATTCACTACGATCTCAAGCCTGGCAACCTGCTGTTGATGAACGGCGAGGTCAAAGTGACCGACTTTGGCCTCTCGAAAATCATGGAGCTCGACCAAACCAACGGCGAGGCCTCGGAGGGGATGGAGTTGACGTCGCAAGGTGCCGGCACCTACTGGTACTTGCCTCCCGAGTGCTTCCAGATGGACCCGAAGGCGCCGCCCAAAATTTCGTCCAAGGTGGATGTTTGGTCTGCCGGCGTCATCTTTTATCAATGCCTGTATGGCGTGAAGCCGTTCGGCCACAACCAAACCCAGCAAGCCATTCTGCAGAATGGCACCATTCTCAATGCGCGGCAGGTTGACTTTCCCGCCAAACCCGCAGTGTCTCAAGAAGCAAAGGTAAAGCAAACCCCGGCTATGGTGATGCTGCAATCGATGGCAAGTCTTTGCTCGTGCTCATTTTGTTCTGGGTTGGTTTGGGGTTTTTTTTTTTTTTTTTTTCGTATTCTGTGCGTGGCAGGACTTTTTGAGACGCTGTCTTATGTATTCCAAGGAACAACGCCCTGACGTGTTAACGCTGCTGCGCGATCCCTATCTGCAAATGAAGAAACCGCCGAAAGACTAATGTGTTTTTTCGTTTGTTTGCCGCCGGCCCCAGCTTTTGTCACCAGCTTTCGTCCTTGTAGTTATGTATTCATTGTATATCTCCATGTATCTTCGAGTCAACATCGATGAGCATTGAAAACAAGTCAAAATTTCGCATTCAATTGTGTCGCCTACTCGGCCTGGGAACGATCGAGGTTGTCAAACACATTCATCACGTCGGCGTGATCATCCAGAGCCTCCATGAGCCACTCGAACTGCTCTTGTGTTTCGGCGTTGCCAATCGACACTTGAGATTCGGATAAAAAGTCGATTCGCAGCATGGGCGGACCAACACCAAGTTTGGTCGCGGCGTCGCGAACGGCAGCGCTGTCGCTCGGTTGACAGATGAACGACAGGGTGGATTCCTCAACATCCGCCTCGGTATCCTCGGCCCCGACATGCACGCCAACCTCCAGGGCTAGATCGTCCCACTGGGACTGAGTCAAGCTCCGCAGGGGAGCAGATGGCGCACCACCTGTGACGGAACCGACAAGTTTGGCCAAATCCTCGTCGCTGGCCAACCGAATGGTCACCACCGCGACGCGCTTGAAAATGTATCCTACGGGCGCCGGTTCACCGCCGACTTTGCTGAGCAATGCGCGGATTTCGGGGAAGGTCCGCCGCGTATTCTCTGTGAGCGTTTCAATCAGCAACGAAACATTGCCAGGGCCTCGCGCCTCAAAGAAGTGGACCTGCGCCTTGTCGTCAACCTCCTTGCCCGACGCTGCGACCTTGATGGCGTTGCGGATCTTGTCGATGGGGACGTCGTTCTGGCGAGCGCGATCAATGATGGCGCCCAGGCGAGGATTGAAGACTGGATCTTCGCCACTTTCGCGCACGCAGCTGCTAATCTCGCGCGAGAACTTGGTGATGAGCTTGCCTCGCTTGGCGTCGGTGGCTGCCTTGGCGTGCTTGATCGTCTTCCACTTGGAGTGCCCGGCCATTCCACGCGCTGGTGGCTGCATCCTCACCGCGGCGACCGACACGCGTTTGGCTGCAGACAACGGCACCAGTAATGCTGCTGCTGCTGCAGGCGTCGCAAACGTAGGAATAGTGATAGTAGGGTGACGCGATGATGGATCGTGGGGTAGCCGTCCGGCTGTGCAGGCGAGTGAGGTGTATGCTGCTCGACCAGCAACATGTAGACGGATTGTTGATCTGCACAGATGGTGGAGCATTGCGCTGTAGAATGGAGACTGGAAGAAGGGTGTTGTAGATGCATTGATCATTGTTGGATGGATGATGGTTTCAACAAAAGAACTTCAACACAAGAACTTCAACCAAACCACAACTACTGTCCTCTTCAGTGGCAATTGTTCAGGAAGATAACATCAGACACAGCCATGCACATCGCAAGTGCGGATTGGAAACAAAGAAACAAGCTGGCAAAGGGTTGTCAAAAAATGTTTTTAGTTTGTTGTTGTGGTCAAAAATACGGGCGAAAAAAGACCACACATGCAAGATTGACGTCAAAAAAGGCCTTCTCTTTGGGCTGGGAGTGTGACGAGAACGACTTGAACGAACGAGCAGTACAGCAAGATTAATAACGGACACAAAACAAGGAATGAAAACGATTGTTCCCAATTTGTTTAGATCTTGGAGTAACCGCCGCTGCCACAACGGAAGGTGAACTTGAAACCATCCTGCTCATCGAAGACAACACGAGACAGCAAGAAATTGGGGTGAGCAAAAGGTTGAGGGACATGGGCGAGACAGCCAAACACTCGCAAAAAGCACTCAAAACACTTGCCTTGATGAGGCCAGGAACCTCACGCCAGAAATCAATGTTGGGGACCATCTCAACACCGGAAGCGCCGCTGCGGGTGCGCTTGAAGATCATGCCGCCGACAAGGTAAGCGAAAACAGTCGGGAAGAAGCTAGGGTTTGGACAGAACAACAAAAAAATAGAGGGCAAATGCAGAGTGTCAGTCATCTTTGAACAAATGACACCAGGAGTTGGAAGAGGGGGGGGGAGAAGAATTGCACTTACATGATGAGCAGGATTGAACCACCGCTGAGGCCAGACGATCCAGAGTCACCACCACCACCGCCGGGGTTGTAGTTGCAGGTCGAACCGGGGCAGAAGCAAGCGTGGGTGAACGCCATCGTGTAGGTAGCAAGGCAGCCAAGATCTATGCGACATGAAGAGCGGACAACGCCAATCGTGAAGCATGAGTTGAAGGCCGAGCAGGCAAAAAAAAAAACCAGACACAAACGACAAATCATACCAGCAGGCTTTTGCTCGGTGGCAGCGGTCACAGGCTCGCCCTTGGTATTGGGGTCGCAGTTGAAAATAACACGAGTGCATCGGGGAGAAGCGTCAGTGGACTTGAACTCGACCTGAGATTAGAGAGGCAATCAACGTCAGAAACAACTCTTCCATGTCCAGGCTTTTCTCTTGCAACGAGCTTCACATACAGTGTTGGAGTTGGTGCCATCGGTTGTGCTCATGAAGTTGGTGCCGATAACATAAGTGGAGCCACCAGTAGACTGCTGGCAGACCTGTAGAAAACAGTCGACCAAAGAATGACAAAGTGAGTGCATGAGCATCCACGATGACTATTGATAATTGACGAGTATGTGGTGTGTAGATGAATGTTGCAGTGCCACAGAAGCGAACAGGCGATTGTTGGGGAACGGGTGAGAATGTTGGCGAGTGGCAATTGGAATGGCGGACTGAGTCGTCATCGTCGCAAATGGCCGATGCACGAGACTGTGGCACACTCACTCGTGACAATCATAAAATAAAAAGGAATAATAATAATAAAAATAATAATAAAAATAAAAAGGGAGATTTGTTCCATTGTTCAGGGCGGAACGAACCCCCGTGAGGACGCATCGTCTGCAAATCCATCGTTCGAGGACGTGCGAGACTTGCTCGCAGGTGATCGATCAGAAAAGCGGGCGAAGGAAAGCAGGTGAAACGAGAAATATGCGGAAATTCAAAAAGGAAAAAAAAAAAAAAAAGCCATTGTATCGGTTGAAATCTGGCTTTGGCTTTGGCTGGACAACGACAGCCATCGAGAAGAGTATTGAGGAGTGCTGCGAATGCTCACTAAATGATGAACCAACCCACCACCAAACCCACCAGAACAGTGAAACAAGCCAACGAACGAACAGACAGCAAAGAACAAAAAGAGAAAAAAAAAAAAAAAAAAAAAGACACAGATCGCTTTTTTTTTTCGCATTGCGTTGGTCCAGGCTTCGATGCCGATGCCGCGTTGCCTCACTCGGCACCACTCGGTGCAAAGGTTCGAGTGTAGGTAGAATGCTTACGAGATCGGTGGCAGCGCAGGAGCCAACGGCTTTGCCGAGGCCAGGGCAGAAGTTGTAGAGGTAGTTGTAGCCGTCAGGGCCGCCAGTCGACGAAACGCCGGGAATCGACCAAGGCGACGAGCGGTGGAACTTTGAGACGGTGAAGGATGTGCCAGCACTGGTTGCGAGGAGCAAATGATCGCGAGAAGCGAAGCACGGAAAAGAGAATGGAAATCGAACACGACAGCAGAAGAAGGAGGACAAATCGCAAAAAAAAAAAAAAAAAAAATTGAGTCAAAATGGGACAACTTGTGACCAGCCCGGCAGACGAAACGAAAAGACACAAAAGCACGCATCCTGCTGCGACGGAGACGTACGTGGTGGTGTACTTGCAGGCGGATGAATCCCAGGTGCCTGCGAGAGCCGAGTTGGCGATCGCCATCACAGCGACGACGCAGAGCAGTGCGCTGAATTGGGCGACGGGGGCAAACCAAAAAAAAAAAAAAAAAAAAAAAAATTACAAAAATTTGGTGAGCTTTTTTTTTCTTCCTTCTGATTTTGATTTCACAAAATTCATTCTCACCGCATGATGGTTTGAAAATATGAAGACTGGGGAAGGCGAGTTAAACTTGGACGTCTGAGAAAATCATGACAAATTCATCATCATGTTGGGGTTTAGTTCCAAGGGGGGTAGACGTGGTTGAGGTGGTTTGTGAATTCAGGAGATTTGGTTTTGGCATTGCAGCTTTTGTGTCAGACAATCGATCAACGAAAACTGGCCGATCGCTCCACAAACTCAGCTCCTGGGATTCAGAGTCTCATATTTGACAATTTGAATTGATATTCCGGTGGTTGTGGACCGAAGAACAGGGCCGGTGATTTTCGGGCGAAAATTGAGAGGCTGGGGTCGGACGCAACTGTGTTTGTCGGAAGAAGACCACAATCTGTGATTTTTTGCTTCAAAGTTACTTGATGGAGTTATCTCAGACTAGGATATATGAATCAGCACATTGTCATCTATTCAACATTTTATCGACAGAATATCGAGACTCGACCCACCCCGTAAACACGGAATTCAACCAACACCCGACCATTGTTTCATCGCTCTGGGTCTTCGTGTCATGCAAGTTTGAGGCCTGCCAAACTATATTCCTGAGTATTAAATTAAATTTCTCACCATTTACAACCGCGGGGACACCAGTATCTCTTGTCGAGGCGTTCCTAGGCAGGCTCAAAGCAGCACTGCTGGAAACGTGGTGGATTGTTTTTGCCGATTCCAGCATGGATGTGCGCAAGGTGCCTTAGTCCCCATGCTATAGTGCACAACATGCTATTCAACTCAAACCAATCTACGTTCGGTCGGTGTCTCCGAATACTCGCTTGCAATGACTTTGAAAAGCTAGAAACAGACAAACGGAGGATTTTGGTCGCAGAAATGAAAAAAACTAAATTGTGTATTAACATCCAACTAAGAGATTATGTACAGACAACGACGAGGAAATAATGTTCGGCGAGCGCATCTTGATCAGAGCAACCCATTATTGGACAAGGGTTTGCCCGCTACGACGAAGCGCCACGCCTCCAATTTATGGTCGGCGTTGGTGGGCCTTGGGTGCAGCTGTTTCTGCGACTTGCTGCCACGGGAAGGGATTGTTGCGATGGTCAAAGACAACATCGGTCTTTCGTGCAGTGTGGATCATTGATCCGACGCCGTAGGTGACAGCGGTGCCGACAACGGCAAGGAGAGGAAGAATTTCCTTGTACTGCTTGACGTCGGCAATGATTGCGGTCATAGCGCTCATGGTTGTGAAGGGGTTTGTGATTGATTACAGAGAAGGAGTGCTTCTAGTGTAGGTTTCGAGGCTTTTTCTTGCTTGTTTGTGACAACAGTAGAAAAGAGGAGTGAAGGGCAGCTCGGTTTTGGGCGAGCGCTTTTAAAGCAAAAAAAAGTGCGAAAAGCAAAAAGGAAGTGCGAGCCGTTCTCGCACTTTCCCCTTGTTTCGCGCAGCCTCTCGCTCTTCGTGCCAACCACGAGTGCGAATGTAACCAAGCTCACCTAGAACACCTCAGAAGGAACACTACGAAAAAAAAAATCAATGTACTCTTTGCATCCATCGGCATGATGGGGGTTGGCATCGATGCACGACGACGCTTGAAGATCGACAAAAGCGGTTTGGCGTCACCCGACCTACCCCACTTTGGGCACCGCGACGCCCCGCCTCTTCGTTGTGCTGTCATACAGCGCTCAAACAACATGTCTCTCGCTACAATGCAGTAGAATAAAATGTATGTAAAAAATAGTTAACATGAAAACGCTGCAGGCACAACTACAGCTCAACCTCTAACGCCTGAGCCGAGTCTCCATTCGTCGTACCAGGTAGACAATCGAAAAACTCAACACAGCCATGAACAGCATGACGAAAATAAACGGCCAAAAGGTGTCTGAAAGCGGCTGGTCGCTGCCCAGCTGGAAGGGCAGGTAAATGTTCATGCCAAAGATGCCAGCCACAAGGGTCAGGGGCAGCAGGACCGTGGCGCCGTACGTAAGACGCTTCATGACGACCGCAATCTCGTTACTGAGGAAGGCCACCTCGATACTGACTTTGCCAAGGTACTGGGACTGCGCCGTGTTGAGCGTTTCGCGCGAAACCTCGAGACTCATCATCAGACCAAGGACGTGATCAAAGACATCTCGAAAGTACAGCATTGTGTTTTTGCTCACATGCGGCATGGGACGACTGAGCAAGGAACTCAGAATCTCGCGCTTGGGGTGCAGCCGGCGGTACAGATCGGTGAGGCGCTTGCGTGCCTGGCCAGTTCTGCGCAAAAAGTCGGCCTGCTCCGAGCCGCTCAGAGTCACCACGAGGTCGTCAATCGACTCGACTTCGGCCTCCGACACATCCACTGGCGGCCCGTGCAGCTCGACAATCTCGTCGAGCACAAAGTACACCACCCAGTCAGGGCGGACGTGGCTAGCTTTGCGCTTGAGACGCTGATACACGCGCGTAATGGGCGGCGAGACCACATCATGGAACGTGATGACGTAGTTGGCAAACAGACAGACAAACACGAGGCCGTTGTCGTTGAGCGAGTAGTCCATTTCGTTGAGCGAGTACGAGTGCAAGCAGATGAAGAGGTAGTTGTCGTAAACTTCCAGCTTTTCTCGCGTGTCGTCGGAAAGCACATCTTCGGTGGTCAGCGGATGCAAGTTAAAGACATGCTCCATCATTCGCATGTCGTGCTTGGTGGGCTTGTGAACATCAATCCAAAATTGCTGGCCTCCCGGCGAGAGCACTTCATCTGGGTTGTGCGAAAGCAGCTCGCTCAAATCAGCGTAGGTGCGGGTCGAATTTGTCTGAGACATGATGGTGTAGCGAGGATGGGATTCGGCCAGGCGCGGACGTGCATCCGAGACGAACGAGACAATGCTCCTCACTTCCTCTCCGCTCCTGGACGTGTGGTGCCCGCTTGTCGAATGGTGCTCGAGCAGATCAGTCATTCGCCTTGCCATGGCTGGGTCGAGGGTTTGGAGCTTGGGGATGTGAGGCAGGCCAGACTGCGGGAGACGCACACAGCCAGCGCGGTAAGGTTACGCAACAACAAACCAGCAATGCAAAAGGGGCCCCAAGATCGCACACCCCTTTCCGACACCCTTTCCGACACCCTTTCCGACACCCTTTCCGACACCCTTTCTCCAGACAACACGATGAAAAAAAACCCTACATCATCTCCATCTTTGGCGCCTTGTCTCAGCAGCTGCATCAACCATTGGTCACGATAGCGGCCCATAAGACTGACGGCGTAGGCGGCCGATTGCTTGTCTTCCGTGCCCTTGTTCCGCTTGCGATTGAGGGTGCGCCGCGTATCATAGTGGCTGCTTGCGTCTGCCTCGACCCGTTCCTGAATGACAACTCGGCGAGGCTGGCGTGGAGTTGCCAACGAATCTTGTTCGGCCAGCGCAGGACTACTAAATCCGCGAGTCAGCGGCGGGGTGTGTTGCATGTCTGCCGCCGAGTCATTTCTCGGTACGCCTGGTGCTTCCGAGAAAATAGAGTCTACATGGTCATGGTGGTGGTGGTGGTGGTGGCTTCCCCCGTGCTCGATATCGTCGTCCTGCGTGTTGTACGCGAGCGGCATCCCCGTGAGTTCCATCACATGGCGCTCATGCCGATCATCAGGAATGGCCGACTCTGTGTGAGTAGGCCGTAGCACGGAAGGAGCGCGACGACGCGAGGAGCGCAACATGGCCTCCTCGAGCAAGTTGGTCGAGCTGTGCACTTCGTTGAAGAAGCGATCGTCGATGTGGTCTTGCATTTCCTCTCGTTCCTGCTCGCTTTCGCGTCGAGCGGCGGTAGTTTCAAACACCTCACGAGTGTCTGCTTGACCGATAGAAGGCTTGCGGTTGAGTGTCGCGGATGATGCTGGCTGGGCGCTCGCGCTCGTCGGAGAACGGGCACCTCCCAAAAGCGCCGCGCCAAGCGTAGCGAGCGCCCCCGCCGCAAGGGTACCGTTGGTCGACGAAGCTGCTGCTGCTCGAAGCTGGGGCGAACGCATGACGAGACCCGTCGACTCATCAGCAAACGGATCCGAGGACGAGTCCTGGACGGTCAAGGCAACCGTATCGTGGTCAGATGGGTTGCTAGGGCCTGCCTCTGGGCCCCGAGGCGGCACCTTGAGAGTTGCCATCGCAATCATTTCAGGTGAGAGAATGCTGTTTGTGCGTGACGAGGAAGGAGACGATCGAGGCGTGCGTGCACCCTTCGTGAGCGCGGCCACAGCCTTTTCAGGCACCAAGCCGTCCAAGTCACATGCGTCCGGCGTAGCTGGCTCCACAGCAGCATCGCTAAGGGCGGATGCGATGCGGGGGATGATCAGATTCGGACGACTGGCATCCGGCAGTCCTGACGACGACCCGTGAGGCGATCCCAGAAGCCGCACGGGCTCTGTAGAGACAGGATTGGCCGGATATAAGTGACTGTTCAAGCTGTTCAAGCTGTGCTCTGGAGCTGGAGCTGGAGCTGGAGCGGGATCCTGAGCAGCGGATGCGGACAGTTGCGAGGAAAGCGTGATGGTCGACGCAGACCGGCCAGTTGCCGACGGGTCTTGCGGGGGGAAGAGGGAATCTTGTCCTCCATTCCCAGATCCTGGAAGAATGCCGGTGGTGCTTGCTTGAATACTGCCACGGCTCGAGCCTCGACTGGAGTCAGAACTCCCTCCCTCGTCCTCAAAGGTGTGAGCTAGCAGCGGGGCGGTCGAGTCTCCCGAACCAGTCCGATTCGACGACCTGCTCGTGGCAGTTGACGCAGAGTCGGCATCGCGGACATGTGCTTCGTGCACAAGCACGGTTCGACGCAAGGAGCCGTTGGAGTGGTGCACCCCTTCCGATTTCAGATTTCGAGGTTCTGCGGAGGACTGTCGAGCAAGTCGGTTTGCCTGCCAGTGCGCTAAAAACAAATCTGTCGTGTGCAGCAAATGAGCACGCGCGGGCAACAAATGAGTCAAGCGAGCAAACCCAACAAGGTGAGAGATTGCCTGAAAGCTCGTCCGATGAAGCAATAACCTTTGCCCCCCCCCAATTCCCCAAAAAAGGACAAACCTGGATTGCGAACGGGGCCAACTTTCGGCGGCAATGGTCCAACTCGTGCACACAGCGCGCTTGTTACGAACGAGAGCGCGTCTGCAGGCCAGGCATCACGACGCCCGAGCTCAATCCACGGCGCGAGCACGTCCAATCCGCCGTCCAATTGGCGTGAGTCGTCCTCGTCGCTGTCATCCGCGCTGCGCACACACACCGTGTCGCGGCCAAAATGAGCCAGCAGCAATGTGATGCACAGAGCACAATACAGCGATGCGCCGTTGGCCTCCTGGTCGACGCCGCGTAGCACGACCCGTCGCAACGCCGACAGCGAGACGCCCGAAACCTGCCGCTGGGCCGTCGTGGTCGCACGCGCCTTCTGCAGCAGCGCGCCCAGCCTTGCTTCGGCATCACCGCTTGCCGCATCCAGCAGTGCATTCTCTGCAGCGCGAGTGTCCTGTGGGAGTGGTGGTGGTGGTGGTGGGGCGGTGGTCGTGGTCGTGGTCATGAGTCGAAGGGCTTCACATGTGAGTTTGGAGTCAATTCCCACGATGCTCGGCTCCAGCAAAAGCAGCCCAGCAACCAACTGCGGCTGCAGCGTGCGCACTGCCAATGCGAGTGCCGTGTCGCGGCCGTCCTGATCGAGCGTCCGGTTGCAGAGGTCGTTCTCCAGTCGCGACGCCGTCGTCGGGTCTGCAGCCGCAGTTTCAAGCGCTACAGCAACGCTCTCGAGTCGCCTGGGCAATGAGACGGGCTCTGCATCATCCACAAGAGCACGCTGCAAGACGCCGAGGACACAGCCCGGAGCGTGGGCTACTCGGTCGCACGCCGAGTCGCACATTTTGTGGGTGTGAAATTGCGACGAGCTGCCGAACTGAGACAATGACCAAAGAAGGAGAATAAACGAGTGGAGGGGGGGGGGAGCATGAGGCTGAATATGGAATAGCATTTATGATGGAGGACAGGAAACCGTACAACGATGGCAGAAAACATCAAGCACACAGAAACCAACGAACGAAAGACTCGTCAATCCTGCACTTAGACTTGCATCATTGCGGACGGAGAGGCCACGCTGCTACTGGTGATGGAGCTTGGTCGTGTTAAGGCTGGGGTGGAGCGACCCGAAGGCGGATTGGACTGACTGGAAGTAAACACTTTACGTTGTTGGAACTTTTCCAGCGCGGCCGAGATCATGTCGGAGAGCGGCGCCACCAACTGCGGAGGGGGAATCGCAAACAACAAATCACACGATAGGACACAACGGGACACAACGGAATGAGTCGGACGAATTAGACGCGGTTGCGTGCGGACGGTCCCGCAGCAAAAAATCCTAACTCACCTCGGCATCGTTGGCCGACAGTCCTTGCTTCAGTTGGATGACTTTGGTGTTCCACTGCGACAGCGATGTGGCAATCCGTGCACCCTTCTCTTCTTGCTGCTGCGTGGTGATGGGAAACAGCGCCCACATGTGTCGAACCAACTCCTGAACGGCATTGTACTGCCGACGAATGACTTCTTTGGTGGTTGTGTGAACATCGGCAACAGCTACACACAAAAACCAAGGACGGTGTTGCAAAACATTCAGTGAGTGAAGTTCACGACACAGATTTTTCGTTGATCGAGTCGTAACGTACTGGCAGCGGCCTGTTGCGATGACTGACGGAGCTTTAATGAGTGCTCTTTCATTGTCTTTTCTGCTCCGGTCGAAGGAACAAACTGCGGGACAGCGAATGGAGGCGGTAAGAAGAGGCTCAAGAAGACTTTGAGAAGAGAGGGAAATAACAAAAAGAAGAATGGCCTACCATCGTTAACTGGGGTTCAAACTGGCTCACGGCAGACTGCATGGCTATCAAGGTCGACGAGACATCATTCTAAACGCACCCATCAGACAAAGGCGTGGCGGCAACGCGCGTAAAAAACGAGTGAGCCAAACAGCCGACACACACGTCCGCTCAGAAATAAGCTCGGCAGGATTGGGAACTCGAACAAACCTCTTCCAAACTGTCAACCGGACGGCCAGCAAACATGGCAAAACGGGCCTTCTCGGAAAGGGCAAGTGGAATTGTGTCTGCTGCTGGCTCGGGTCGCAAGTCTAACACCTCGCCGTCGTCAATGGCTGCGGGCTTCGGTCCGGCCGAGTCCATCTGTCCGTCCACTCGAAACAAGGTCAGCGTTTGGTCAACATTCAACAAGGAAGGAAAAAGTCTCAACCAGAAATACCCCCCCCCTCAAGCAAGCATGCAAGCAAACAAACAAACAACATAAAAAAGTCAAGCCCCACCAGATTTTGATTCGTTTGGAGAACCATGGTCGAGTGTCGGTTGAGTTGAGCCACCACAGAGCCCTTGTTGGCAGCAAGTGGATCCTTGCCAAACAATTCTTCAGCCTGCACAACGTTGGGATCTTTGACCGTTCGCTCGTTTTGGCGATCTCGGTGAAAGTAGTGCGATCGCAAAAATCGGAGCCAAAAGTCCTGCTCGGAAAGCTGGTTTGAAAAACAAAACAAAACCAAAAAAAAAAAAAAAAAAAAAAAAAAAACCAGGCGGTGGCGCAAGTCAGAGCAGCAAAACCCAATCGGTCATCGGTGGAGCGCAACAATACAAATGAACTGCGAACATACTTTGACTGGCACGTTGGTGTCATACGCTTCTCGAACTGTGCAAGGGCAACGAGAAAAGCAAACATCACACAATCAGCACTCTCGTCACGCTCTGAAAACAATCACTGTTTCCAGGCAAAGGCACACGTGCTGAGCAATACCTTTGGGATAGGTTCGGAAAATGTTGGCAATGTCGACTGGTGTCAACGTAAATCGTTTGATGCCGTCTGCTCCAACTTCTACATCCTGCTTCATTTGAAGCAGGAAGGCGCTCGGCACACCGACTTTCTGTGCTGGTGTGCTGCGACTTTGCTCGCCCTTTTGGGCTTTCCGAATGAGCTCGCGCTGGCGCTCTTGCCAAAACTCCTCATCGGTGAGGGCGTGGCTCGTTCGGACGAGATCGTCGTAGAGTTGCTCCAGTTTTCGGTCACTCGCCAGCAGTTTGGCACGCATTTCCGCATTGGGCATTGCCAGATTGCCTGACATGCCAATTACGCTGCTGCTGCTGGTGGTGCTGGCGGTGGTGGGAACTGGACTTGAGCTGGACGATCGCTCGGATTTGACGACAGCTGCTGGGGACGAAACGGCAGTGGATGCCGCCGACAGCGGCGAGCCGTTTGCCACCGACGGTGCAGCTGCAGCACTTGTCGAAGGGGACCCTGTTGTTGAAGATGTCTTTGCACGCTGTAGCATTTTCGCAATGACCTCCTTGGCGAGATCGCGTTCCTCCAAACCCTTGAACGCAGTGAACAGCAAGATGACGGACTGCTCAATCATCTTGGGTGCTGCCGGTCCTGCGCCAGCTGCAGGTGTCGTCGAGGACGTTGTTGCACCACTAGCAGCAGCAGCGGCAGCGGCGGCAGCAGCATTCGCAGCAGCGGCAGCCTGCCACGAGTAGACCTTCCCGCCAACGGGAATGACTGGCGTCGGAGCAACCGCTGAAGCCTTTGCGACCTTCGGCGTGGGTGCTTGTTCATTGTACTTGATCATGAGTTTGGGTTTGCCAGTCGCGATGGCTTGCTCTGTGGGCAATGGCAGCAGCAGCAACAACAAGGTAACGTTGGTGTAACGTTGAGCATTACTACGACACACACCCCTCCCTCCAGAAAGTGACGAGTTTGGGGAGAACGACGGTTTGTCACCTTTGATGCGGGACCACGGCAGGACAAGCGTCATTGCTTTGGACGCGGCGACGAGCGCTGCGCCGAGCTGGCTGGGCTGGCCGGGCTGACCGATCTGCCCACCACCAGCCCCAGGTAGCCCGCCAGTCTGACCTGCTGCTTGCTGGGGCAGTGCAGCCTTGCGCTCGTACCACGCAAAGCGCTTGGTGGTCAGGTGGAGGACGCCCGGACGCTCCTTGATCTCCACTTCAAACTTGTCGAGCTCGGTTTCGTCGGGTTGCAGCACAAACCCAAGCCGCGCAGCAACAGAAGCCATCTCTTCTGTAGTAGTGTGGGAAATGAGAAATAAGAAAAAAAAGAGAAGTGATACGTGATCGCGAGTTAGATCTAGAATGGATGTGTAACAGTGGGAGGCTCAGTTTTCATGGTGCTGAGAATCGACAAGTTTCTGCTTTCCATTTCAATCCGAAATGCGCGTCCAGTTTCCCCACCCCTCCCGATGAATGCATGAGCACCTATTCGGGACAAAAGAGTCAAGGCGAGAACACAACAACAGTGAGGGTTTGCTCGTGCTGCAACTGAGCAACTGTCACTCTGAGATTGTTCGTTTTTGTTCTTTTCTTTTTGGAAGCAGTCAGTTTTTTTCTTGTTTGTTTTGTTCTCAAAATGCTGTCGTATCAGAAAATGACAGAGAAACAGCGCGACCTGTTTGACAAGGTCAAGAGCGCGAGTCTCTATCTATCGTAAGTGAAAACAAGCCGAAAGCTAGCTGGAGCAGCGACGTGTGTGTGTGTGTGTGTGTGTGCTGACGAGACGAGACGACGACGGGAAACAAAAAACAACAGGCTGCATAAAGAGCGGATAGGCGATGCGGAAGCCCAAGCGATTGCTGCGGGGCTCAAACAGAACACGGCGCTGACTTCGCTCGTGTAAGGCCAGCATCACTTTGAACGGGATGCATGGGGACGGGCAGCAGAGGGCGTTCAGAGCGTGCTCACTGATGGAGGAGTTGGGCGGCGCGGAAACCGAGCAGTCTGAGTGAGCAGCAGATTGGCGATGTCGGAGCAATGGCCATTGCAGACGCTCTCAAAACGAACCGAACCGTGAAGGAGCTCTTGTATGTCATCTGTTTACTTTGATTGATGCATGTGGCATTTGCAGTGCTCACTAATGGAGCCGGGGGCGCGGAACAACAACAATGGGCAGTTTGGCCAAGAATCAGATTGGCGATGCTGGAACGCTGGCGCTTGCTGAGGCACTCAAAGCAAACAAGACAGTGAGGACGCTCTAGTAAGTCAGCTCTGACGATCACGGATGCCGCAAAAGGCACTCAGAGTGCTCACTGATGACGGGTTGGGTCGGACAGTCTCAGTGACAACCGGATTGGCGATGCCGGAGCCCAAGCGCTTGCGGAGGCACTCACGGTCAACGAGACGCTCACTTTTCTTCGGTAAAGATTGATTGCTTCAAGCTGCTCTGAACAGTCGTTCGACTCATGCTAAAATCGGACGATTGAACAACACCAGTATGGACAAGAACATCTTGACCTCCGCTGGAATCACTGCGCTCACGCAAACAGGCAATGCCGTTTGTAAATTGGAGTAAGAATTGCATGTTTACTACAGGATTTTTTACATGAAGCAAATTCGCAAACAACAAAACCATTCACTTGTATTGCTGAATTTCTTTGGTGGCAGCGGTCTTGACAACCAGCGTGTGCCATCGCCTGCCGAATTGGCTCAGAATCAGAGCGCAGCAGCAGCACGTGCCGCAGTCACTCAGCCTTCTGCCAACCTTCAATCCGCGTTTCAGTTTCTGCGTTCCGACCTCGCTGCCAAAAGTACGCTTCTTGACTCCAAGCTGGCTGCCAAAGCGCAGCAGGTGCGCACTACCAAAGCGCAGGAGCGTACTGCCAATGGCCAGGAGCTCGCTCCCGAAGATCAGCAATTGCGCTCCAAGCTGGCTGTCAAAGAAGCGGAGCTCGCTACCAAAGAGCAAGAGCTGAAGCAGCTTCGCTCAAGTCTCGCTGCCAAAGTCCAGGAGCTCGCTACCAAAGATCAGGAGCTCGCTGCCAAAGATCAGACGCCCAAAGAGCTGGAGCTCGCTGCCAAAGAGCAAGAGCTGAAGCAGCTTCGCTCAAGTCTCGCTGCCAAAGTCCAGGAGCTCGCTACCAAAGATCAGGAGCTCGCTGCCAAAGATCAGACGCCCAAAGAGCTGGAGCTCGCTGCCAAAGAGCAAGAGCTGAAGCAGCTTCGCTCAAGTCTCGCTGCCAAAGATCAGGAGCTCGCTGCCAAGGACCGTAAATTGAAATCAGCTCTTGATCGCATCGACGTATTTGAGCGCAACCAAGCATCCGTTCACGGACCAATCCCGAAAGTTCCATTCACAGCTCTTGTCACCGCCACGAACAATTTTTCTGAGGATTCGCTGCTCGGTGTAGGAGCATTTGGTCGCGTGCACAGCGGCAGTTTGCCTGGGCCTCCTGTTGCCGTTGCCATCAAGAAGCTGCTCGCCGAATCGATCGTTAGCTATACCGCATTTCAATCGGAACTGGACTCTTTGTCGAAATTCCGTCACCAAAACATCATTACCATTCTGGCCTGCGCTGAAGGTCACGGTGCATATTGCTTGGTGTACGAGTTTATGCCAAACGGTTCTGTGCGCGACCGCTTGGATTGCACGAACAACACCCCTCCGCTCGCCTGGACTCAGCGCCATCGCATTGCTGCTGATGTCTCCCGTGGCATGAACTACGTCCAGACAGCCTTCTTCCCTGACCATGTTCTGTTCCACCGCGACCTCAAGACAGACAATGTGCTTTTGGACGCGCATTTCAACGCAAAAGTCTCTGATTTTGGCCTCGTTCGTGACGCCCCACACTTCGATGATAAGAAATCCCTTCACACCAAGAACTTTCAAGGCACCGGTCCTTACATGTGTCCGCAGCTCCTCGAGTCAGGCCGCATGACCATCAAGACAGATGTCTACGCCTTCGGCATGATTTTGCTGGAATTGACGACTGCTGACAAACCCGGGATTGGGCTGAAGTCCAAAGCGCGAAAGGCTGTGAGGCACCAAACCATCAATGACATGCTAGACCCGGCACTCAACACAACCGACGCAGAGCGCCCGCTCATCAACGAGCTTGTCACTCTTGCACTCGAATGCCTTGAGGATGATGCTGACGATCGCCCGTCCTTTAACACCCTTCTTGCTACGCTGAATCCTGAATGACAAGCGAAAGGTGTTGTATCAATGTTGCAGCATTAGGATATAGCATGTAGATGGCATGCTGCGAATGAGGGCGTATCTACTCCTGATTCTACACCGTGTTTTTCTGTTACAAGCGTTTTACTTCGTTATCTGCCGTTTCTGTCTCTTTGCGCATTGTGATTTTTGTATTTGAATGAATTGTTCTGTTCTCGAGACCTCTTCTAGTGCTCTTGCTTGGTCCCAACTCAACTCACTGGACGCGAATTCAATCGTCTCGTTACAATCGAACAAAGCATCAATTCAAACTTGGTGCAGCAGTGGTGACTGCCTTCTTTTTCTTCTTCTTGTTCTTCTTGTTCTTCTTCTTTTTGCTCAAGCTCGATGCGGTGGATGTGATGGGAGTGACCGATTCGGCTGCGTTATCATCCTCCTCCTCATCGTCATCGCTCGAGTCCTGATCGACACGCGCCTCTTTGCGAGGTGGTAGTGCACCATGGTCGTCACTGGTTTCCTCGATTCGTCGTTTCGCCGTTCTGCGCTGGAATAGGGAGACGAAAAAGCCGTTGGTGTGATCTTCAGGACCCGCCCGAACGCATTTTGAGCCTGAAGCGGCAATCATCATCAAGCGTCAGCGTCAAACGATCGACATCACTGAACACAAGCCATCACCAAGCATTCAACAGCAAACGGGCCGTGTACCGAAAGGATGGGTGTCAAGGCCTCGGTGCGGCCATTGAGGAAGCGCGTGAACCACTTCGAATGCGGGATTCGCAGCCAAGACTCGCGCAACCACACCCTCGTTCTCTTGCTCGTGAATGGAGCAGGTCGAGTACGAGACTTTAGATACGTTGGAGACTGCTCGAGGAGGAAAGCGATCGCGTCAACGTTCAGACTAGCAGATTGGTTTTCACTGGCAGCAATGGCGACTCACATGTCATGGCATGGCTAACTGTTTGGAACTGAAAGTCTGATAGTGCTGTCAGGCGCTGCTCCTGCGTCTCGGTGGCTTCTGATTCGTTCTCGTCGTCATCTGACAGGCAAATCAACCGGCAAACCTCAGTTGGACCATTCACTCATGACGAATATTCAGCAAAAGCGCGCGCAATCAAACCTGCTGCTAGATAATCCAGGCGGTTGACGATTCCCGAACCAGAGCAAGAGGGATCGAGGAGAATGGCCGATACCTGAACCAAGTACAAGCCGAGCCAAATTCAATACTGGCGGTTCAGACAGAAAACCTTCTCATGATATGATACGGCGTCCTACCTTTGCATATTTGGGGTCTGTCGGCTTGATTTCAAGGAAGTTGCCGTTCATGCACTCCACATCTTGAACAACCGAGTCAGAGCCGAGTCAGAACCGCGTCAGAGTCAACGCCCAGCAACACGACCATCCTTACTGGAAGCACCAAACTTGCGCATGGCATTTTGCATGGTTTTAAATCGACGAGGATCCAAATCAAACGCGTGAACATGGCCCTTCAGGCCGACGAGCGCCGCAACGTGGGAAGTCTTGTTGCCCGGAGCAGCGCACCCGTCAATCACGGATTCTCCAATCGATGGCGAGAGCACATGTGCCGGAAAGCAACTCGCCTTATCCTGCATCACACACAGTTGAGCAAGTGTGGAGGACAAAGTCATCGCAACAGCGGAGGAATGAGTACCTGCAAAATCAGTACGCCAGAAGTGTACAGTTTATGATCGTGAAAGTCTGTTCCACTGGGAAACACGAGCAAGTCTTTCAAGTGCTCGTCTTGGCAGAAGGAGCGCCCACTGCGAGTCAAGCGAAGATGAGGACCGAGCGCACAAGCCGGACCAGCAGCAATCAAAAAGACCATCAATCAAAATAAACCGCCCAAAGACCAACATGAGCCCAAGTGAAGCGGAACTGGCACGTACCTGAGAGCCGAAATGTCGGCGGGGCGGTCCACAAGGGCAAAGCCTCCAGGCTGTTGCTGAAGTGCTTGGACGGCGGCCGCAACAGACATTTTCAGCGTGTTAACACGGACGTAGCGAGGGATTACAATCGCATCCTGCTCTCGAATTGCAGCAGGCAGCAGATCGCGCACATCCTTGACCTTTGCGCGAATTTTCATGCGCACGAGCGCGGCGTTGAGGTCGCCCTTGCTTTCCGTGACGGCGCGCTTGATGACGCCGCCGCACTCAATGCTTCCTCGTCCAATCAGCAGGTCATAGACTGCGACCAAAGCGACCGACGGTGCAATCTGTGCGAGTTTTCAAGGATCCAGCTTTTGTTAAGATGTGCGCTTTTGTGTTTGTTTGGAAAGTGAAACCAATCTTAGAAAACAATGTTTTTACCTCCTTGTTTTTCTTTGTGAATCCGGATACTTGGAGCAGTTCTTCGACGACGGTTCGATCTGACGCATTGCAACAATAGCAATTTCATGAGTGTGGTCTCTGAGATTCTGCTTGAAGTAGTAGTAGTAGTATCCACATGGTCAGGTGGTTTTCGGCTTGAAGACGCTTCACTCAATCTCAGTCCCCCTTCCACTTCTCCACTCATCATCACGCTGCGCACATTGGTTTTTTATTACATTTGAGTGCCTCGCAGATGAGTGCAAAGAGGCGCTTCTTGTCGTGGAAGGCACATGCGAACGCGAGCGACTTGAGCGATCCCCGCTTGTCCCGCAGCCGATCAATCACCGACGCAGCCGCAAAGTAGACATTTGTGAACGTCTGCTGCTGTTCTTGTCCTTGTCCTTGGGGTTGAGGTTGGACTTGTCCTTGAGACTGAGGTTGGACGTGCTGCTGCTGCGGTGGTGCGTTCGAGCGAGACTTGTGCTTTGGCCATCGATTCCCAGCCATCAGTGCAAAGAAGAAGAGACTGGAATGGATGCACTTGGATACAATACAAATGAGTGTGAGCGCAGAATGAGTTTGGATGAACATTTGACAGTCAGCTGGTGAGATCGAGCATTGCATCCATCGTCCTCTTTCATTCACTTTCATGATTGCAGTCCTGGTTTCTGAGTTTTTTTTTTCCTTGTCAATAATGTCGCAGAATTACATGCCACCGATGGTAAAACTAGATGGAATACCTTTCAGAGTGCTGATGATTGTTGACTGACCACCTGTTTGTGCTGTTGTATGGGACTTGCATTGCGCTAGAACTTTGGGATGGTGGAGGAGGACTTGTACCGGTCTGGCCAGCCGAACGAGCTCAACTTTCCATTCCTCGAGAAGCTGCATCTCAAGACGATCGTCTTCCTAGCTGCCGAAGACCCGTCCCAGGCACTGTACGAGGGGGGGGGGAAAGACTTGAGGATGGAGGACTAGCGGACTTGACTTGGGCCAATGCAGAACAACTCACACTCGCGACGATGGATGGATGATGCCGGTGAGAGCAGAAGAAACTTTGCCGATGACCATGACATCGAAGTGCTGCATCTGGGCAAGGCGCAGGCGTCGGCGCTGACTTGGGCGCCGCTCGCAGAGGAAACAGTCATCGAGGCACTCAACGTCGTGCTCAACCCAGAGCACTACCCGCTGCACGTCATGTGCAATCTGGGCTCACACAGAACAGGCACGCTCATTGGCTGTCTGCGCAAGCTCCAGCGGTGGAACCTCACAAGCATCTTTGAAGAGTATCGGAGACACGCCATGGGCAAAGTACGCCTCCTCAACGAGCAGTTCATTGAGTTTTTCGACACGGATCTCGTGCGGATACCAACGCAGCGACCCCGGTGGATTTAAGTGAGGCCAACGGAGAACGGAGAGAGAGGTCTGTTGAACGTTTCAGATTGCTTGCTTTTGTTGAATCCGATGATTTTGCGATTGTGGCCAGCCTGGGCCACTACCCAAGGCAGCTGCAATCACAGCACATGCATTGTCCAAGTATCTCGCATCTCGTTGCTGTGCCTCGCTTGGTGTCGGGTGCCTTTTTTGTTTGTTTCCCTGTCAATTCATCCAATGTCCTCGATTCATCCAATCCTCAAAGCCCACTGTTCATAGCAAGAACTATTTGCCCATGCTCGCATTACTAAGATTCGCCATGTACGGCATTGCAATTCCCCAGTCCAGTCGTTTCTCATCACCAACACTTGCTCATGCTCGCTGGTGGCCGCCGCGTGCTGGTCGTCCGCTCGCCCGCGCCGTGCACCGCCCTCGTGCTGCAGACAGCCACCAAATTGCAGCAGTCATCCCCCAAGCTGCATGTGCAGCAGCCATCCGTCATCAATGGCTGGCCGTCGCTGCTCCTTCGCAAGCCGGACGGGAGCGCAATGCTTGGCACCGAGCCTGACACGAGCTCGGGCTCGCAACCCCAGCGCTCCACAGGCGCGACTCCCGCCATCTTTGGCAATGCAGCCAGTGCCGGATCTGCCTCTGGGCGCGTTTCCGATCGGATTGTCCTGCCCGGCGTCCGAGTATCAGCGTGGAACCACACTGCGCACCGATTCCCGTCGTCCTCGTCGTCGTCGTCGTCAGTGTTCTCGTCGACGTCGCCGTCACAATCCACAACAATGCTGCTGAGCAAGAGTGCGTTGGCTACAGCACCACGGACGCCGATCGAGTCGTTCGCACGCAACGCGATTGCACACATCCAGGTAATGCCAAGACAAGGACACGAGGAGGATTTGTGTTGACATTGTCTGAGATTTGGAGCAAATGGGGAAGAAGGAAGAACCTACAACAAAGCAACAAAAAAAAAAGGGTGCTCAATGGTTTGCTTGTTGCCGCATTTCATCACAGCTTACGTGGCGCAGAGGAGGCGTTCCGATCGTCATGGCATCGCGAGAAATGGACGAAGCGCTGCAACAAGCTCTCGAGCATGTCGAGCAAGCGTCAAGTTCCGCTGCATCGTCTTTGTCAGAGTAAGGAGCAAACAGCGTGCTGCCTACCCCCACTTTGCTTACGTTGTTCAAACTGACCGGATGTGTGTTTGCAGCTCCGAGTCCAACTCGGCACAGACAGGTGCTCTACAAAGGCTCGAGAGCAACACCACACCGTCAGGCGATGCGAATGCCACCAACATGTCCCGACAGTCGGCAAGCTCGACCAAGCTCGACTATCGCGTCGTCAGCCTTTCAGCGTTGCTCGACATGTATCACCTCGCCTCGGATCTGCATATAGAGCAAATGATTCATTCCGGCCTCCTTCAAGTACTGATTCCTTGTTGTCAAATTGCCTCATTGCCTCGTCAACCTTTCCCCTTTGCTGATGGCGGTTGCTTGTACTTTTGCTTGCGCAGGAAGCGACGACCATCTTGAAATCCTATCCCGACGAAGCAGCGGCTCGGCACCTCCTTGGATACCGACAAGCAATAGGCTACATATCGCACGAATGGCTAAGCCCACGCTCTGTATGTTGCGGAGTTGTGGAGGATTGGACGCGGTGCATGCTGGATGAGGAACGCTCCAAAAAGCTCACCCAACGTTTGTGTACCCTCCCCTCCATTGTAGGTGTCTGCAGAGCGTGCTACACAGCAATTCTTCCGCTTTTTGCGAAAGGCCATGAAGGATGGACGCCTAGCGGTGGATGCCCAGCTTGAAATTGACAACCAAGACCCCGAGACGGGTGGATTGTGGTTGCCACGCACTGCGGTCGAATCAGATACTGCTGCACAGCTTGCCGAGCTTGCTACCATCCCCCGTGCCGAGTTTGAGGAGCGGAGGGACCTGTCTCGTATCCACCGTGTCAAGCCATCGACCACATCGCCGGCTGCGCCACGGCGCTACGCCGATGTGGCACAAGTCTTCCATCAGCTTCAACGGCTGGCTGTTGGCGTCAAGACCGCCTTTCCTCCTCCCGCACACACGCCACGGCTGGTTGGGCAGCTATGGCACGTCACCCGAACCTAGTAGTTTGTCAGGCTGATTCTTGTGCTGTTTTTCCCTGCCTGGTTGTACTCTTAATCAATATTATCAAACCTCCTACTACTTGGAGCATGCATTCTGTAGCATGACTGTTGCTCTTCGGTTGAAAGTGAATGCGGTCCGCCAAACGGTCACAACGATAAGGGTACAGGTTGGTTCATTTGATTGAATAGCAGGCGCAGCGAACAGTCAAGCACACATTCTGTATTTCGTTCTTTCAAGACGAGCAGTTGGCCGTTGTACAGGGACTGCAGAGAGGTGAAGAAGCGCAGGATGAAAGATGGACGTTGCGACATCACCAGGTTGGTCGCTCGCCTTGTTGAGGTGCATCGGCGACTTCCACATCCGTTGCAGATTGAATGTACTGCACAAACGCCTGGCTTTGCTCGGCATAGTGCTTTGTGAGCGAGTTACGGGAGGCTTCACGCTTGGCCTTCGACATGGACGCAGCAGTGCCTTCAGCAAGAAGTTGCGAGCCAGAGTAGGCGCCAACAACGAACGTGGGTGTGGCAGTGGTGCGACCAGCCTCCTTGTGTAGCTTGAATGTCAGAGGTTCCTGGTTGGCATCCTCCAGGCACGACTGGAGGAGGCGTTGAGGGTTGGTAATCAATATACTATCGGCGGGTCGTGCGGCGGCAAACTCCTTTTGGGCGACATCGTCGACAATCTGTCGAACGCCAGCAATGCCCTGATTTGCCAAATGTTTGAAAAAAGATGTCAAGAATGGAGCAAACGTCAGTTGAACTGTCTGTTGGATTTTGGGAGCAATACGCAAACTTGATGACATGCTGTAGTTGGTTACCTTCACTTCGACAATCGCGGCAATGACTGCAAAGAAGGAGGAGCGGAGCAGCAGGTCGGACTGCCAAGGAAAGAGACAAACAAAGTCAATCCAACGTGGAAATTGACCAAAATTGCAGTGCCAGAGCTTGTGCCCCTGCTCGCCTTGATTGCCACAGAGAACACTATCAACATTGCGTGCAACACTCACCTGAGCAAATTGGTGCAGACCGAAGGCACGGGCGTACTGCGAGATGCTCGGGGCATCCATTACACTCTCAGTGATGGACTGGAGAGCCGGTCCTGGCAAGCGGGGAAATCGTTGAAAGACATGCTCGGCAAACAGGGCATGGAAGTATCCTTGGCCTGTGCGAGTGTCGACCAAGAGAGGGAGCAACGACAGCAGTGAGCACTCAGCGTGTGCGCGGGTTTCGATCGACTCGCTCGGGCGCAGAGCCCCCCCCCCGCGTGCATTGAGACCTACCAAGCGCCGACATGCGCTGAGACGGGCTTTGCCACTTGTCGTTGGACATGAGAGCACGCTTGAGCGCAGCGAGGGTCTGTGCACCATCGGCCTTGAGGTTGAGCCTGCCAGCGAGCGCGGCAATCTCTGCATGGATGGGCTGTCCGCGTGCGATCGCCGCCACTCGCTTGTGTTCGTTCTCTTGTGAGTGGTCGATCGGTGCGCGTTGGTGGAACGCATGGACGCCTAGGCAAGCAGGAAGGAAGGCAAGAAGACGAAAGGAAAAAAAAAAAAAACAAGAAAGAGCACAGAAAGGATGACAGTGAGTGAGTGTGATTGGGTTGCTCTTCTTTGCCAACGAGCAAGACAAGATCGAGCAATGCAAATGAATGAGGGGAAGGCGAGGAGCGAGTCAGAGCGAGATAGAAACTGGCAGAGACGGAGCGCAGAGAAGGCGAGATCTCTCGGATGTGGGTTCCAGCGACAACGACAAAGGGCAGCATGTGTTTTGTTCCGTCCCCACACACACACACACACACACACACACAGACGGACGGACGAAGGCACACCAAAGAGGAGGAGTGAGGAGGAGTGAGGAGTGAGGAGTGAGGAAGATGGAGCGAGAGTGTATTGGCAGCATGCTCGCTTCTCTTCTCTCTCTCTCTTCTCTCTCTCTCTTTGTGGCGGTTGCTTCGTGGCTGTTTACCCTTTGGCGCTGCAGCGTCGGCGGATTCTGATGATGCTGATGCTGATGATGCGGGTGTGGCGAGCGAGGTCATGCGTGCGACCGGCAGCACTGCGCCACGTGCAGGAGCAGCAGCTGAAACGAGGCGATGGCAAAGCGTCGAGGCGAGCATTCAGTAAGGCGACACAAAGGGACTGAGATGTGAACAATGCTCAGACGAAAGCAAGACGAAAGCAAGATAAAAATGATGGTAATGACAAAATAGTGTCGTTATATGATTGAGGTGGAGGGAGTCAGGTAAGAGGGACTTGGCTTTGCATTGAAACGAGCTCTCTCCAGTGGATGTCTATGGATTGGGGTCGGGATACCGGTTTTGATATTCCCGTCTCTATTGCATTGTAAATTGTAAATTGATGAATGCCCCAGTCGTTATTCAGTGTGTGGAAGAGCATTCAGCAATGTCGTCTGCTCCTGCAGCAGGACCAGCAGTCGGTGAATCGGCCGCCGCTGCCACCACTGCTCTTCCATTGCAGCCATTACAGCCAGCCACGCCATTCCGACCGCACCATCGCCGCAACCAGTCGTCCATCTCAACCACCATCAGCCTCACAGAGCTCGACGTCAACGGCAACAGCAGCAACAGCAACAGCAGCAGCAACAGCGGCAGGTAACTTTTTTTTTTTCAACCGTTTGCTTTCTTTTTATTGTATTTTGTGGTCGTTTCCCTCCACCACTCCACCACTCCACCACTCCACCACGACTAATGCCAAAAAGCTTCATCCTCTGTCGTGTCGATCCAAATCGCTCGTGGCATCCATGCCCATCGTCAAAGTAACACAATCATAGAGACATGGCGGAAAACCAGAATTCTTTATTATTTTTTATTATTTTTACTATTATTATTATTATTATTATTTTTGAATTTATGAATTCTCAATCGCCGAAGTTAGTGCTCGCTTCACCCACAGTGCCAATGATGCTCACTCTCCAATCCACACCTCTGTGTTTACTGCTCTCTTGCTTTGAATTTTGCGCCCGCTTTTTGCTTGGGGGATTGTGAACACAAAAAACGAAACAAACACCATCAGTGCGCTGGGACGTAGCGGATCGGCGAATCAACCACCAGCGACGACCACCATGGCCAGCGCGTTTGCGAGCCAAGGCGACGAGCTCCAGTCCTTCCTGCTGTTTAGCACCGACGTAAGTGTCAATGGAACGCTTTCTTGGGCTGCGCTGCATTGCATCACGGACTAGAGACACAGCTCGAAACGTTCAATCTCACCAACCTCGAAATGCGCTCGTCCACCACACACCGACTGCATTTATGGTTGACTCTGTTGGTAGGCGGATGACGACGAAGATGATGCAGACTTTGCGCTGTCCTATGCCCGGCTAAGTTCACTGGCTACAGAGCTCAACACCACCGTCAAGACATCGCTTCAAGGGAACACCTTGACCCTGTACGCTCTAGCCGTCCGATCCACCTACGAGACACTTCTTGCATCTCCATGGCGGTCTGCTGCAGCAGTCTCACCGGCAGCAACAGCAGCCGCAGCATCCAAACACTCTGCCCACACAGAGACCGATGTCTTGCGATACAGTGCGACCACGTTCGGCCCGCTGCTTTGGGATGCACTTACTAGTCGAGCACATCACGAGATTCATATCTCGTTTGACATGCGCGAACGAGTGCAGTTTCTGGTGGCATTGCGCAACGCCTTTGCTGCCGAAATCAGTGCCACCTTGCAGCTGTTGCAATCCGCTGTCGATTTGCACCAGCTCGCTGCACCTTCCTCGCAGGCGTCAAGCTCGCTGGCTTCCGCGCTTGATGGTAGCTTGAACAGCAACAATGCGAGCGTCCGACCACATGGCAGTGCATCAAAGAGCGGGTTGACATCAGCAGCAGCGACCAGCTCCTCCTCTTCTTCTTCTTCTTCTCAACCGGTGCCATCGGAGAACTTGGCTTCGGCCATTCACACACGGCGCGTTGATGTGCTGAGTCGCGAATCGCTCCTCGCATTTAACGCGGCGCTGTCGAAATGCAAACAGATTATTGACAAGATTTCGCAGCACTCCGAGCTCGCCTTGTGCCGCAGCAACACCTCATGTATTGTGATGCTTCGGCGGATTTTCAGAGCGCGACTAGTTCTGTCGTTGCGACAAAACCCGGCCAGCGTTCTTGTCCACGTGCACCGCTTTGAAGCCGTCTGCGAGGTCGTGCTGCAGCAGCATTACAAGTCCCTCCTCCACCCAACATGTAGCCCAGGTCCCGACAGCCTAACCACTCAAACGCCACCACTATTGTCGCATTCGACTTTAGAGCAGTCGCTCGCCTTTGGAATGCGTCGGCGGCGAGCCTTCTCACTTCCCTCCCGGTCCAGCTCTATCGCGCACGAGCTTTCCGCAGCACCCTTCACCACCGCAGATGATGCTCGAGTTAACGGAAAACTTGTCGAGTCCCCTCTACCTTCAGCGGCCACCGCACTGCCAAATTTGCCACCTTCTTCGTCTTCTTCTTCTTCGTCCTTTTCTCCTTCTTCTACACCCCTGCACAGCGTCGTCGTCTTCTCCCGCGAGAGCCTGCTTCGGCGGCTCAACTACGCCTTCGACGCGGCCAAGGGCCAGCAGGACTTTGTTGCCCGCGTGGAGCAGACTGCATCTCTCGCCACGCATGCGGTGACTGCCGACGTGCGGCATCATTTGAGCTTGATTGTGCGCGACATGCATCCAAACCATCTCCCGTCAATGTACGCCTCAAATGCTGCGTACAATGCGTGGAAGCGCCGCGAGTTGAAGCGAGCCACTTGCATCTTGCAGCAGATCGACCACTTGCAGCGTCTGCGTCGGGGTCTTGGTGCGCAGCTCGTCTCGTCGTTGTGGTGCCCCGGCGCCCCCGACCACTCGTGGTTTACCGGTACCCTGACTGTGCATGTTCTCGATCTTGTTCGCGACCATGCGCAGGGCGAGGACAAGCTCAACCTCGCCCGCCGAAAAGTGCAGCGTCCTGCTCCCGACGCGGTGCTGCCGGCCATTGCTCGTGACGATGACAGCAACGCTCTCACCAGCGGCGGTATTGTCCCTCATTTCGCTGGCGGAGATTATGTGATTGACGCTCCGTTTCCCGTGCGAACGGTTGCCATCGATCTGTGGAACGACGATGTTTTGAGCGACTCGAGTCTCTTGACCCGCCCATTCGATCCATGGCATCGCCACGTTCTCGACAAGGACGACATGCTGGGGCGTGTTTCGATCGACTTGACGCACCCGGTTTTCCAGCAGCCTCGCAGCCAGTCCGGTGTTGTCGTCGGCTGGTTTCGCATCGACGCAGCCGCATCTGCGAGCTCGGCTTTGCGCACGGCGACCTCGAGCAACCCTCTCACTGCTTCTTCAAGCTCCCAGTTCGCAGCCACGCGACCAGATCTGGGAGATTTGGAAGCAACCTCGACAGGGTTTGCGACTCAGGCGGTCGCCGGGCTCGCCCGCCTCAGCATCCGGTTTACGCGCGAGCCGCTGGTCACCCCGTCGGCCTGCGTTGTGGCCGCTCATGTGGCGAGTCCCATCCAGCCGACAACACCAGCCGCACCAACGGCTCCATCGGCTCCATCGGCTCGAGCTGAAACAGCCGGTCAGGCGGCAGCCACCGACGACGCATCCAAGGTCAACTGGATTACGGCGAGTGGCAGCTGGTACGATGCATCGCATCCGTTCGCCGCACAGACCATCACCCTGCCGCCTGTGGCGTCACCCGTGGCATCCATTCCGCTTCCGCCGTATGCATCCATGTTCCAGCAACTCGCGTCGCGCATGGTCGAGTCTGAGCTTGAACAGCGAGTCCGAGAAGCAGAGCTTCATGACACTGCCGTGCTGAGTGTCGAGCAGGCCGAGTCGCTTGCGCTTTTGCGCCAGCAAGGCCGATCGTACTCGCAAGAGCTCTTGCCAGGACCGGCTTCAGCTCCCTTGAGCGGGCGTTCAACGCCACCACCGTCATCTCAACCACCCACTCTGGGCCATCAACGCCACGCGTCCTTTGGCATAATTGAAACGACACCAACTCTCTCAGATTCGAGCGGTTCCCTGTCCTTTGGCGGCGGCGGTGGCGGCGGCCCATCCACACCCGACATTTTCGGTGGCCCAACGCACAACCCTTTGACTTTGCCATTGAAAGCTCGCTCCAAGGCGGTCGAGCGCCAGCTGTCAGTGGAAGCGCCGGCGGGAAGCTCGTCGTCGCATCGGGCATCCTTGTCCACCGCTCCATCCGGCTCGACGGGCAGTCTCAAGCCGCCGACAAACCCCTCGGGTCGCCGAGCCAGCACGGTGGCTGCCCTGGAGCAGGCGACCACCCCAACGCTTCCCGACACTGACGATCTTGTGGCGTCTGTGGCCAACGTGCGCCAAATGTTTGGTCACTTCCCAGGTCCGTTTTCCATCCACTCGCTCTGCCTCTTGGAGGAATTTGGTGCTCGATATGGAATTGGCATCACAGCGCGGCGATTGGCGCTCTTGGATGCCCTCCTTGGCGAGCACGACCGTTGCGGATCCGTGGATACGATTGTGCTGCAGCGGATCGTGGAGGACATTTTGCGCGACGCCGGTTACGAGTGCGACCTTCCTGTGAAAGTCTCGCCACTCACCCAGCCCAAGCTGGTTGCTCAGACCAACCCGACAAGGCTGACATTCCCGGAAGTTCGCAAGCAGTCCGCTGCCGTGAATCCGCTTACACCTGGCGAGCAAGAGCAGTTTTTGAATACGCTCGACCAGCTCGTGGAGCGCTTGGTTGACCAGATTACAAAGTACAAGTACATTTTCCCGACCGAAGAGATTGCCACTTGCGCCTTCTCTCGAACCATCAACTGTCTGACCTTTGTGCTGTCTTCCTCATTCTACCGTCTTCGGCACGCCAATCCGTTTGAGCATCACCTCAACCTCATGAAACAGCAAAATATTGCCCAGGAGCAGTCCTTCCGCATGTTCAACGCGGGCGCGACCGAAGTGGCAGGCGGATTGTCTTACTCTCCCTACTTTTCACGCGTCAAGTCACCCTCTTCAAGCACATCCAAGAAGCAGCAAGCCGCTGGCAGCCCGTTGGCTCGATCTGGCAGCTCTGGCAATGCACCGCCACTCGACGATGCTGCATCGCAGTCGCCTGCCCCGTCTCCTTCTCCTCTGGGAATGCGCCCAATGCCACAGCACCTCATGACGCAGCAGCGCTTGTTTGGCACCACCGAGTCATCGGCGGACCTGCTGAGCTTGCTCACAACGTGCATTGAACGTGGTGCTGCGGACAACTATGTTGTCATGTCTGCGATGGCCGCGCCGAATGACTCTCTGTCCAGCACTGTCAAAAAGACTGCGCATGTGCTTGTTGTCAAGCTCGTTGCACTGTGCGAGCGGATTGTCGAGGCGGTGCGCCGCGACCTTGCCTTTGTGCCGGAAATCTATGGGATTGATGTGGCGGCAATTGCCGCACATCTCTACCTGATCCGGTTCACCGCGGAATTGGATGTGTTCTTCATGTCGATGCCAGTCGAGTCTTCCTCCGGCATGTTTGATCTGTACTTTGCCCTGCGCGACATGCGACGACAAATGACTGCCATGCTCCGAAACTCGACCATTGAGACGCTGCTGGATGAGCGCATGCTGCTTTCAGAGTGGTTTATTCCCTTCGTGTTCCGATGGATTGAGCAGAAGGGCGACAAGATGCTGTCGTGGGCTGATTCCGTGCTCGAGTCGGATCAGGTAATTTTTGAAAGTGTTGGTGCCTGATGGATGACATTCGCTCGTTTTGTTTGGCCGTTTACTCACATCCCCGCGCGCGTCTTGCATGTCGTGCTTTGATCTTGGTACTTGTTCTTCTTGCGACCAGCTGTTGCATCGTTCTCGTACCGAGCTGCAGTCCACGTCCGTCAGCGACATTTTTGACAACATTCAGCAGAACGCTGGGTTTCTCGTTCGTCTGGATTGGGTCGATCATCACATGTTTGTGATCTTTGTCGCCCGATTTGCAGTGGTGAGGAGCAGCGACGATCGAGAGTTTTCCTCTCTCTCTCTCTCTCTTTTTTGTTTTTTTTTAAGGGGGTGGGGTTTTGCCGAGGTTTGTCGAGTCGTCGTCATCCTGTTCACATTTTTCACTTGATCATTTGTCTGGCATGGTTTATGTTGTCTATAGTGCATTTGTCGTGTCCTCGACTTGTACAGTGCAGCCCTTCGCCGCACTGTCGCAAAACGACTGGCACGCAAGCCAGACCACATTCTCGACATCAATGTCATGCTTGGCCAGTGGATTCAAGGCCACCATCACAAGCAGAGCAAGCCAGATGCCGCGAAGCGGTTCCAAACACAGCGCGAGGTAATACGTTGTTGTTGGAGCGCTTTGTTGTTTTTTGTCGCAACGAGTGTGTTTTTTTGCGTGCCTGACTTTTTTTGATTGCTGCTTCTAGGTTTGCGTTTGCCTGGACAACATTGAGGCATCTCGTTCGCACCTCCAGCGCTTTGTCTCATCCATCCTCCCGACTCCCAGCGCACCCATGGTCGCGCTTGGGATTCACAGCGCCATCGTCGACGAGCTTCCCGTTCATGAGATGTTCAAGGAGGGTGTCACTGCGTTGGATCGCAACATGCAAGCAATGGTTGAGATGGTAGCTGGCGAGGTGAGCCTTGTTGCATGGCGAAAACCAAACGTTGAAGCCGGGGGGTTTATATTTCAATGTTGCTCACTCTCAAATCCTTCTTCCACCGGGGTCCGATGCGGATTGCTCGTGCTCTCCAGATTCACGATTCTATCTGGCTGATGCTGACAGTTGCAACTAGCACCATCCCAGAGCGCCAAGCGATTCGGGAGAGTCTCGTTGCGACATCGACTCTGGTTGCTCCTCCGCCTCCCTTGTCCGCTTCATCCGCGACGCCGGCACCTCCGGCTCCTGTGTCAGCCACAAATGCATCAAGCCACTCGAGCCTTCCCAGCGTTCTGACGCACGTTCCGACCAAAGCCGCTGCCATCGTCGTTGCCGCCGTCTCAAAGTCGGGCGGCACTGCCACCTCGATGCTCTCCAAGTTTGCGAAAAAGCTTGTTGGTGGCAAGGAAAAGGACCGTGACTACTTTAGCATTGGCATCATGGAACCCGGGGAGGAGGTGGACGAGTCAGAGTTCCATGCCATTCTCAGCCCCGTTGCCGACTATCTGCGCACGAGTCTCGCACAGCACCACGAGCACCTCTTCCACAAAGTCTTTATCGAGGTTCTCGAGCGGCTTTGGAGCCGCTTTGTCACGACCTGCCTCGCCGTTCTGGGCGTGGCACCCTCCGGCAACCTGTCCAATCAACAGCTTCCCCTCGTCCAAGTGATGCTTTTGAGATCACTGGTTGCAGTAAGTCGAGCAGAGCGTGAAGCGAATTGTTTGGGGGGGGGTGAAGGGTTTGCTGCTGGCACGTTTGCTGACTTTTTCTTGTTTTCTCTCTCTCCCTCTCTCCCCCCCTCTATCTCTCTGCTGCAGATTGTGAAACCAGTGTTTGCATCTGAAGACAACCAACGCCTTACTTTGGCTCAGCTGGAGACACCCGCGTTCGTGACGCTGACTCAAGCGTTGGATCTTGCTCGCAAACCGTCCATCGCTGTCATGCAGGTGTACCAGCAAGCACCGCGCACCGATCCCATTTGCCGCATGTGCCTGCTTGTGCTCAAACTTCGAGCGGGCAGCGATTCTGCTGTTGCCGACTTTCTCAAGCACAACGACTCGGCCTCCCCGACAACGCAAGCGCCCTCCTTCTGGGAAACCGGGCTGGGTGCTCAGATTGGCGCTCACATTAGTGGCTCGCACAGCAACCGGTCGTCGGACGGTCGACACAAGCCCTGAAAACAGGCGACCGCCTGTGTGTGTGTTTGCGTGATTTCACAATGGGCCTTTCCCCCTCCTCCCACGCCACCCCACCCATCCATCTTTTTTCAGTACCATGTTTATTTATTACACGCTTTCTTGTTCCAATCTATGCGCCCCTTTCCCTCCAATTCCCAATTCCAAAATCAGTTTGGCAGGGCAGTTCACATTCAATTCTGAGCACTTTCTTTGTGGCGGGAAATGGAGTTTGGTCGCTCGCCGTTCTCCCACGCCGCCTCCGGTGCTGCCGACGGACCTCCACCACCACTGTCGCTGTCTGGATTTGTAGCAGCTGCCAGTAGCGGCAATGGCCCGGACGATGCGACAGACTGGACAATGACAGAGCTGCGCAATCTCGACGCGCTGATGCGATGCGCGGTCTGTCTCGAGTTTTTCAACACGGCCATGATGGTGACGCACTGTTCCCATACATGTCAGTCGACACACGACGGTTGGGTGATTTTAAATCCGAGGAGAGATGGGGGGGGGGTAGAGATGAGGCAAAAGTGTGTGTTTTTTTGTTTAAATCGACTTCTGGCTACTGTTCTGCTTACTGACCCGACTTGCATTTTGCTATTTCGTGTTCGATACTGTTTCATTCATTCCTTTCTTTTTCTCGGCTGTTTTCCCCCAGTCTGCTCGTTGTGTGTCCGTCGGCACGTTGAGGCTGACGGTCGCTGTCCTTCTTGTCTCAAGGTACGCGCTTTCTTCCATCCCATCCCATCTTGGCCTCTCAATCATCCTCAATCTCAATGCAGCTGCAGCAAACCTTTTCCCGCCATTTCATGCAATCCCGCGCGTTTCCCCCCCCCCCGGGCTTTCAGTCCAGCGACGTCGTTCTGACGATTTACATCGTGTTACTTGTTCCAATTCGATCACCACGAAATGAAAGCCGGTGGAAGAAAAGAGAAAGGCCGACACACATCTCAATCATCCCCTTTTGCTTTGAACAGGCGACATCCTCGCTCGACCTCAAGAACAATCGATTGTTAGACGACCTCGTAGCTGCATTCGTACATGCTAGGTATGGAAAAAAGTACTGCGTGGGAGCTTCAGCATTCTCGAACATTCAACCCCTTTTTGTTTAATTTTTTTTTTGGCTTTGTTTGGCAGACCTCGGTTGCTTGAGCTGCAACGATCATCCAATACGACGATGGCGATGACGACAGGCGCACAAGCTATACCAAGTAGTGGAAGCCCCGGAGTAGCACCTCCGATCGTCACAGGATCGGCAGACCATCATCGCCGACCATCTCAAACTGTTAACACTCAACCCGCTTCTTCGTTCGTCCTTCGGTCCACCGCTCACGGTACAGCAGCAGCAGCGTCGTCAGCGAATGCGGCGTCTCTTGGAAGTATTGCTGCTTCTGCTGCTGCCACGGGTACATTTGCTCCCAGCACCGGAGCGTCGCGAAGCCCTCCGTCAGATTTCGACGACGCAGACTACATGCCTTCTCGGTCTGCAGCCCAGAGGACTATCACAACCACAACACCAACAACAACAACAACGTCGACATACTTTCAAGCTCGCAACCAAAACGCTGCACCGACGGTTCCGGCCAAAGATGCAGTTGCGTGCCCTGTTTGTTCGCAACTCGTGGCTGGTGCGACCATCAACGTACATCTTGATGCTTGTCTCAATGGTTTGGAGGCGTCAAATCCACGCAGGTATGGTATCGTCGAGGGTGTGGAGGCATTGGTGGTTTTGATTCTTGTCCCTCCCATTGATTTTCGCCCCCTATTTTCCGTTGTTCTGTGTTGTTCTTGGCAGAGTTTTCGGCAGCAACAACGCCGGGACTCCTTCGCCACCCGAAGTACAGCCACCCACCACTCGCGCATCCTCCGTTTCACCCTCTTCTGAGCGCCGTCAACCGCTCGCAAAGCCTGTTTATAATGTGATGACTGAGAAAAATCTCCGGAAAGCTCTGAAGGATCACGGTCTTTCTTCGACTGGCGATCGTTCGGTAAGAAGATCCTGCCTGTCTTGGCTGTTTGTCGCATCGTCCGGCGGCTGCTTTGCTTGCGCTTTTGGCCACTCATTCCTGGCCTTGGTTTGGTTGCAGCTGTTGATTTGGCGACACAAGGAATTCGTGCTGCAGTACAATGCTCAGTGCGACGCATTGCATCCCAAGCCCATGTCTTGGATTCTGCAGCAGGTGGAAAAAGAGGAAAAGCACGCTGGCAAGGAGCGAGAGCGTGATCGAGCGCAATTACTAGAGCGCGACAAGGAGAAGGAAAAACTTGAGACGCTTAGTCGACTCCATCAGCAGCGCAAGCTGCTCGCTCCTCTGAGCGATCTTTCGCGCTCGTCCACTCCTACTACTGATGCAAGTACCACTCCAACCACGCCCGGCGCAATATTTTTGGATGCTACGCAAGCTGCTGAACAAGCCGCCGCCGCAGCTGCTGCCTCTGCCGCGAACAATAGCACTCCAGTCGTGGAGCAAAATCGTGGATACGGTATAGACACACTACTCATCTTTGTTTCGTCGTGCGTGCGTCGAGCTTTTTTTTTTTTTTTTTTTTTTTTTTTTTGATATCACGCTCACTTCGCAAGCCGATTTTGCTTTGTGAAAAAACAAACACAAAAAACCAATTGCAGTTCAGCAACACGCTTCTCAATTTGCGGCACTTATTCAGCAAGTTCGACAGCAGAAGCGGAAGCTTCAGGCAACATCAACGGCCGATTCGGAGGAAAATCCCGCTCCCGAGATTGACGACGACGACGACTCGACAGGGATGCGAAAGCGATTTCACTCGTCGACCGAGTCGACCAGCTCCACTGCACCAGTCATGCACAGTACCAACGCAGCGGACGAGGCCGTGTACGCCGCTGAAAGTCCAGAGGCGGCCCCAGCGCCGGCAATGGTCGTGGATGATCAAGACGAGTTCCAGTTTTTGGACGATGACGACGTTATTTTAACTCAGGCCGCAAGTGTGGCAGAAGCAACTGCTGCTGTCGCGACGACTGCTCTAGCTGCTGCGGCATCTCCCTCCGAGCGCTCCTCACCCGCTTTTAGTGACAGGTAGATTCCTTCTCTCCTCGACAAACGGACCGCAATCCGCTGCTTTTCGTGCTGACTTTTTTTGTGCATTGCTTCTTCAATAGTAGCAATCATTCCCCTCGCCGCCGAACACGCCGAGCAACATCCAGTGATAGGGCGTTGGATCCTCCAATTCCGACAACGACTCGACCAAAGCGGACATTATCACGGTTGCGGGCTTCCCAAGAGATGACTCCATGAACACTACAACAGCAGGCTTTTGGCAGTTTGATGTAGAAGGTGTCAAGTCGAATTATTATTGCGTTAACGTAACGATACAGCTAGCTCCAAGATCAATCAAAGAGCAAAAGCGTTCATAAAACTACAAAGGAGAAAAGATTTTGAAAAGCAAAAGTCAAAGCGACCAAGCGGAAAAAAAAAAGAAAAAAAAAAACGGCGCACGGTGTTAGATCAACTCCAACGGCAGCTCGTGGGCTTCGGGCTTTTCGTTGAGCGCACGCAGCACCGCTGCTGGGTCGGGGGCTGACCAAGTGGGGACAAGCGAGACCACGAGAGCAGGCTCGGACGAATCGAGTTGAGGCGGTGGTGCTGACGACGAGTGTAGCCCATGGAGGACATCCCTCGGCGGTGCTGCGACTGGCTGAGGTTGCGGTGATGGTGCGAGCAGCGGTGCGGATGCAGGTCGCGACACGCTCGCCATCGAGCCATCCTGCGGCCTTGCGGGACCGGTCGGATTCTGCCCAAACAATGTGACTGCAACGCGGGCGAACAACCGCTTTTGCAACTCAATGTAGTAGGGCAAGGGCATGCCCAGCATTGACAGATTGTTCTCGCTCCACTCTCGGACAACTCGAGCAAACTGCGCGCCGACAGACGTCAATAGCGCAGTGCCATTTGAGGGATCTTGCGCCACGAGCGAACGACAGTTGTAAAGCAGCTGATGTCCGACGGGGTGAAGGTATGCTGATGGGTTCAACGTACTTGCAAGACGAAGTACTTGCTGATGCTCCATCGGCAGTTGCTGCTGCTGCTGCTTTTGGGTTGGGGCGCGTGCACGGGAGCCGATTTGAGAGGCTGGTGATGCGTTTTGAAAGGCTGGTGATGCGTTGGCATTGGGAGCAGCCGCGATGTGTGGAAGGGGAGTTGCGGCTGGTTGGACTGCAGCCGCGCTGAGTTTGGGATTGGCAGGTGCGGCGATCGCAGCGACATTCTGCTTGGCTCGCGACTTGCGCTTCTTCACCAACGGAGGTGCAGCAGCAGCAGCAGGTGCAAATGACGACCAGCCCGCGGGGTTACTATGCACCACTGGGTCGACTTGGCGTTTCTTCACCAACGGAGGTGCAGCAGCAGCAGCAGGTGCATATGACGACCAGCCCGCGGCGTCACTACTCACCACGAGGTTGACTTGGGCGACTTCTTGCTCAGAGTCAAGCTCATCGGCATCGGCGACCTCAAGCGTCATTGGGTCGGCTTGTTGGGCAACTGCTTCTTGCGCAGGGTCAAAGTCATCGTCATCAGAGTCTCCCTCGGGACTAGTGTCGCCACCATCTTCACAAATAAACTCGAGAATGTCTGGCCGTAGCTTCTTGCCGACAGGAGAAACAACACTCTCCGACGCGTCAGGTCCATCAGCACCCATCGGTCGTTTGGCGGAAATTCGAGCACTACCGGGGTCCTCGCTGGTTGAGGCCGAAGTGCCGGCACCAGATGTCGCAACGCCATAGTAACCGACATTCTTCCTCCGGCGCTTTCCTTTGCCATACTCTTCGAGCTGTTCCAAGGTCAGATCTGACGAAAACATGTCGAGAGTACCTTTGGATGTGTCCTCTTCACGCTGTCGGTTTTGAATAAGACGGTCCCAGAACTCGGAGGCTTGGCCGGAAGTTGCTGTTGTTGTTGTTGTTGTTGTTGTTGTTGCTGCTTTGCCTTCGTCACTGCTGGCGCCTGCCGCGACGGTGGCGGGGGTAGGCGACGGGTTGACTGACATTTCAGCGCTCACGGGACCGGTAGAAGACGCGCCGTCCATGGGCTTGATGTTGGCATCAGCCGCATCTTCATCCGTCCAAACTTTCGCCGTCTTGAAGACAAGACCAAGGCTCAGCTGGGAAGGATTGTCGCCACTGGCAGCCTGATCAGCGTTGCCCTCGTTGGTGTCATTATTTTCCTTGGCGTGGTCGGCAACAATCTTTTCACGATCGAGCAGGTTGTTCAGCAGCTGTGGATCGTACTTGGCAGCAACAAGCTTCTTGCTGGATGGCTTGCGGTTGTTGTTATCGCCGGGCTCGGCGAACAGCTCTTCGGCGCCGAAACGCAAGAGCCGATCGAGGTCGTTCGAGTTGATGGACTTGCTCATCGAGTCAACGACAACGTGCTCCAAGAAAAGTTTCGACTGCGAGCGGGTCCAAATGGCCTCCTCAACCGTTCCGACAGTCACAAAGCGGTAGGCCACGACAGGGTGGGTTTGGCCATGACGATGTGCACGCGCAATCGCCTGTTGATCGGCTTGCGGGTTGAAGTCAGAGTCAAACAAAATGACAGTGTCAGCAGTGTACAGATTGATACCCAGGCCACCGGCACGCGTGGAGAGCATGAAAATGTTGAGTCCTTCTTCGCGTCGATTGAAGCGGTCAATGAGGTGCTGACGCGTGTCGGACGGCGAGTCACCGTCCAAACGGCAAAAGTCGGGGTAGCCGTTGGCAATGAGATAGTCGTGCAGCACGTCCAGCACAATCTTGAAGGTGGAAAATATCAAGACACGATGACCAGCCGCGAGCAAACGAGGAAGCATGATGTGCAAAAGCAGCAGCTTGCCAGACGCCTCAATGAGCGCAGTGTTCATCTCCTCTTCGGTGGCAAACTCGGGTTCAATCCCGTCGCGACAGAAAGGATGATTGAGAATCTTGCGGAGCTCCATCAGCACGTTGTTCAAGGCAGACTTGTGGCCGGGTTTATTGCCTGTGCTTGAGAGTGTGGCGAGGTAGGTGACGTTCTCAAACAGGAGGGCCTTGTACAATTCGCGCTGCAAGGAGGACATGCGACAGGGCACAACGACCTCCACACATGGCGGAATTTTCAGCACATCCTTCTTTAAGCGTCGCAAAATGTGCGGGCGAATGAGCTCGTGCAGCTGCATCACTTTGTCTGCCTGCGTCGGGTTTTCGCCGGCCGCTTCTTGCGTCGGAGACGACAACATGCCAGTGTCTGTGGAGGTGAGCTCTGCGACAGCAGGAGCGGGTGCATCCTGCACGGCCGCTTCACCAGCCATAGTAGTGACAGACGTGGGCGCGTCCTGCTCGAGCACCATTGCCTCCACGGGACTTTCCGCGCCTTCTTCACTGGTGACAGCCGAAACAGCGGTGGACTGCTGCTGTTTTGCGTGTGCTGGGTCTTCTGACGCCTCCTCCGCATCCAGCTCCATTGCCTGGGCATGATCCTCCGTGCCACCAACAACATCATCACCATCTGGCCGGACGTCCATCGCCTCGGGTTCCGACTCATCTGGTATTATTGCCACAACCTCGTTGGCCACTGGCGGAGATGCAGCCTTCTTCTTGTTGCCCAGAGAAGAGCGGTTTCTTGGCGTCGTCGCCGCGTCATCCTGTTGCGCGGAACCGCGATCCATGATCGGACGATGAAGGCCCTTTGAGACGTCGTCCAGATGACGGATAAACTCGGAATGCTGAGCGAAGCGCTCCTTGTCGAGGAACAAGAGCAGGTTGGCGAGCTCGTCCATGTTGTTCTGCAGCGGTGTGCCTGTGAGCAAGATTCGGTGTTTGACTGGAAGCGAGAGAAGAGTGGCAAAGAGCTTTGAGTCGGCCGATTTGACGCGATGACCTTCGTCAATAATCAGTGACATCCATTCGAACGACTGAAGCAGGCTGCGCTCTCGCAACGCCGTCTCGTACGAGGTGACCATGATGTGAAACTTTGGCGGGCCCCGGCCTCCTCGCCTTCCGTTGCCCGTCCCAGGGAATCTGAGCTCAGTCTCGGTCATGAGCGTTCGAGACACGTTTTTGCCGGTGAAGATGATGGTGGTGAGATGGGGCACCCAAGTAGCAAGTTCGCGCTCCCAGTTGCTACAGGTTGTGAGCGGCGCCACCACAAGAAATGGGTACTCTTGGGTCACGGCATGCACAATGCCCATGTATGCCGCGGCTTGCACTGTTTTGCCCAGGCCCATCTCGTCGGCCAGAATGCAATGGTGGCCCTGCCGGCGGTTGAACAGCATCCAATTGACACCATCGAGTTGGTAGTCCTTCAACTGCCCGACCAAAAAGTCCGGCTGGACTTTCAACGCACGGAAGGACTCGGGACCCTTGTCGTCCGGCTGAAACATGCGACGGTACTTTTCCCGCTCGGGCCAAACCGGGGTGCTCAACTTGACAAAATCAACGGGGTTTGATTTGCCGCGAAAGCGAGCGAGAGCTTGACGCCCTTGCGGATCGGCAAAAATGTGTGCCTCCTCTTCCCACGTCGCTTGTTCGACCGCCAGGCCGACCCATTTGACCTGGACAATGCTCGCAACATCGTCTTTGTCGTCGTCGTCGTCGCCGCCGCCGTCGTCAGGGTCTCGCTGAATGATTCGGTCCACCTGCAGCCAATCTCTTCTCACGGCCTGGTACTCGTCTTGCGGCACAATGACCTGGGAAAACTTGCGAACATAGTAGCGAATACGAGCCGGGTCCATGCGCATCAGCCAGTACCCTGGCACCCATTCATCGTGGCGGTGACTGAGGTGCTTCCACTTGACGAGAAATTCGGCAACGTCAGGGCGCGCCGTTTGCAGTGTCAATCGATGGGCCTGGTTGCGTGAGAACGTTGTTCCCGCCACAGCACCCTTCTCCATCGCAGAGGAGGAAGAAGCTGACGTTGCAGCAGTTGCTGAGGGTGGTTCAGCAGCAGAGGCAGCGGTGGCGGCTTTGCCATCCGTTCCAACCAGCGGCATGACATCCGTGTGGGGCTGCGACAGACCAGCGGCAACAGCAGCAGCAGCAGCAGCAGCAGCAGCAGCAGCAGCATCATCATCAGTCGCGACGCCAGTTTCATGACGTTGAGGAGGTCGAACAAACCGGTGCGTGATAATAGATTCGAGCGAGTTGGGCCAGAACGAACAGTCGATGCAAAACCAAATGATGGTCGAGTCGACTTTCGCGGACACGACAAAATCAGAGTCATCGGATGCATCAACGTCCGCCCAAATCGCATAATCCCGCTCTGTAAACGGACCCGGAATGCGCGGCCGTTCCCAGGGCTCGAGTCGCGACTGGCGCACCGTCGTCAAGGTCAACGATCGGCGATTGAGGTGAGGGTAGACACGGTCGCGGTGGTCTGTGGTTGGGTTGATCAAGTGGCCGAGGTCGGACGTGCCAGCACGCAAGCACGTCTTGTGGAACCAGCCTTGACAAGCATAGCAACGCCGCATCGGTTCGTCGCTGAGAGACGGTTGAGGTGGCGCCTCCGTTGCTGTCGGCAGGGCAAGCTCGGGGGCAGGGAGGGCAAGTTTGGGGGCAGGGAGGGCAAGCTCGGGGGCAGGGAGGGCGGCGTCTGCAGAGTCTGAGGCGTCTGGCGGTGAAACGTCCATGACGGCAGCTTCGTTGGTGGAGGCGGGCGCTGGGAGGGGCTTGTGTGACAAATCGCAAATCGCGCATTGGGGATTGCAGCGTGGGCAGTACCACATGGCGGGAATGCGAGATGGGTCGATGGCCGGTTTGAAACAGAACGTGTGGTAGACCGAGGGGCAGCCATTGCACTTGAGCATGAGTTCGGCAGGCCCACCAGAGGAGCACACATGACAGACATCCTGGTGTTTCCATCGACTGACGTTTGCCGCAGCCTGTTTGGCTTGGTCTTTTGATGATGCAGATTTGGTTTGGCGAAGCGAGTACGTCGTGGAGCCGTTCCTTGTACGACCGCCAGCTGATTTTGGCTTTGACTTGATCGAGTACGTTTCGTCCTCCGAGTCTGACTGATCATGCTGAGCAGTCTCGTCCAAGGAAGCCTCGTCCCAGCTGTCGTCGTCTAGCTGTTGCTCTTGTCGAGAAGCTGATTGTTGTCGCGGCGCAGATTTTGGTGCTGATTTTGGCAGCGGCTTGGGCTGCGGTTGTTGACGTGACGCCGACAGGCGGGAAGAAGCACCGCGCGTGCTTGACCGGCGTTGGCCATACTCGTGGTCGACTTGTTCGTCGGCCGAGAGACTTTCGTTGAGGTCGGAGTCGACCGTCGTTTCCTCCTCGGAATCGGAACGATCACTGCTCTCGCTGCTAGGACTGGCGCCGGCGTTGTCACGCTGCTGGCGTTGTTTGGCGCTCAGGAAGAACTCTTCGTCGAGTTCAATATTGTGGGACTTGCGCTTGGCGGGTTGCTTGACTTTGGGCTTTACGACCGAGCGGGCAGGTTTTGTCGATGTCGCGGCGGCGGCGGCGGCGGCAGCGGCGGCAGCAGCGGAATGATTACTGCCAGTGGTGGGTTTGCGATTTGGTGACTTGTTGGTTTTGCCTTTCGGAGACGACGAGAGATCAAAGTGCTCTGGCACTTGCATCAAATCCTCCCCATCGTCGATGGTACCGTCTTCCTCGCTCGCGCCGTCAATAGCATCTTCTTCGTTACGATCATCCTCGACGAGGCTTATGTCTTCACTACCATCGTCGTCCGATTCCGGCAATTGGGCGGCTTTCGAGGACGCCGCCGCTGCTCTGCGAGGCTTGCTACGGTTGTTTTCGCTGCTGAGATTGCTGCCGGGCCGAACACTCGCAGCGCGTATTGGCGCATCACCCGAATCATCGGATGAGAGGAAGTCGGCCTGGTCAGATTTTCGTTGCTGTTGCTGGCGGTGCTGACTCTTGCTGATGCGGTGGGGTTGCGATGCTTTTCGATGCTGTTGGCGCGATCGAGGTTGCTCGTCCTCAAGCTCTTCCGATTCCTTGCTCTCCGCTATGGCATGCCGAGAGTTGGAAACGGCTGCGGCACGGACATTGCTCGACCCGCGCTTTCGGCGCGAGCGAGGCTGCTCGTACGACTCTTCTTCTTGGAATTGCTCTGAATCCTCGCTCTCGTCCGCTGTGACAAATCGAGGACTGGGAGCAGCCCTCACACGTGCATCGCTCGATCTACTCCTCTGCCGCGATCTGGCGGAGGCTTTGGAGCGAGCGTCCTCGTCGTTGGCGCCCTCATCGGCGCCATCGTCGTCGCCGTGCGCGTGATGACGCGAGCGAGGACTAGGAGTGCCAGCAGGAGCTGATACCTGTCTAGTTCCTACTGCAGGACTCTTGACATGGCTGCCAGCGGCCTTGGCGGCTGCCTTGACTTTGCCAGGTGGCGCCGCTGGTGTTGACTTGAGCGAGGACTCTTCGAACAACGCGATCAGTTGCGGATCGAGGATGTTCTCGGGCGGCTCCCAGGTGTCTGCTGACTTTGAGAATCCTGTCACAGCAGGCACGCAAAGTAGGGTCAGAGGTCCACAGTGTCAGAAGTTGATTGTCAAGCGAGTTTCGCGCCAAAAAAAAAAAAAAAAAAAAAAAAAACCAGGAGAAAAAAAAAAAAAAAAGCGCGCCAAAGTTCGAAGGCAGTGTGCCCCGGATCAGCGCAACCGTCCGTCCGCCCACCGACGCATCAACACACGGAGTGGAACATGAGTGGTAGGGAGGCCTGGGCTGAGGCAGGGAGGTTGGCCAGGAGCAGAGGGACTGGACAATGCAGCGATGCACGCACCTTGCCAGCGAACGAGAAACTCTGTCTGGCCATTCCGCACACGCTTGGCGAGAATCGAGTCGACTTCGAAAACGTCTTCAGCCATGAGCAAAAGACTGGGGGAAACAAACGAAGCGGCTGAAAACAAAAAATATCGAACTAAGAAACAAAGAAATAAAGAAGAAATTAAGAAACAAAGTGCAAAACGAACAACAACAGAAACAAAATCGACGCTGGATGCGGAGGATCAGAGACCATAGACCACAGTGCAAGTCTTGCTACACATCGAGATCAACCGAACGCAAAAAACTGCAAGAGAAAATGGAGTCGATCGAAAGCACTGAACTGAATGTTGCAGCTTGGGGGAAAGCTGGCATCCTACAGCACGCTGCATCACAACTCTGCACCCAGAGACACAAACCTCAAAAACACATGAATCATGAAACCAAAAGCTTTGGATTGATGGACAAGCACAACTGCAAAAGAGCAAGGACACTGCAAATCGCGCAAAAACCCAAAGATGAGAGACTCTGTACGAAAGGATCCAGAACCAAATTCTTGTTGTTTAAGCAAGCTCGTCGAAGGGGAGGGGCGAGAGGGTCTCGGGGGAGACCTTCTTGGTGCGGACGACGTGGCCGACGCGGGGCTGCTGGGGCTGGCGCTTGAGGGAGACCTGGACGCCATCCTTCTTGGCAGCGAGGCGCTTGGCCTCGTTGACCTTGACGCGGTCGAGGAAGTCGTGACGGCAAGTGGAGTGCTTGACGTGCTCAATGCGGAGGTTGACGCGCTTGTTGATGATGCGGTTGCCGACCTGCTTGTTGACAACAACACCAACGGCGTGGGGGGTCACGTTGAAAACGCGGCCAGTCTTGCCGTGGTAGTACTTGTAAGGCATGCCGCGCTGGACAGCACCGTTGCCCTTGATGTCAACAATGTCGCCCACTCGGTAGGTCTTGAGGTAGGTCGACAGGTGGACGGCACCATGTTGGCGGAACTTTCGCGCGAAAAGGTGACGAGTGCCTTCACGGTAACCCATTGCTTAAGATCTGAGTGTTGAGAGAGAGAGAGAGAGAGAAAGTGTGTGTGTCAAAGCGACCACGAGCAAGAGAGCGAGAAGAGTGAGTTTGGCGTGCATGGCTGAAAGGACAAGGAGAAAAAAAAAAAAAAAAAAAGAAAATAAAAAATGCGTGCTGGGTTGAGCTTTTCACGCTTCGTCGCCTCATGGAGGGTCAAAACGGCTGCATGACACGGATCGAGGACAGGGATCGAGTCGAAAGTGTCATGGCGTCCATCGGACTGGAAGTGGAGGAGAAAAACAAAAAGGAAAAAAGAGAGAAAAAAAGAAAAAAAGAAAAAAGAAACGAAAAAGCGCGACCGCGTGGATGAAAGCCAATGTCAATCCATACAAAAAAAGAAAAAAGAAAAAAAAGAAAAAAAAAACAGTTCCAGACGTGCGTTCACCGAGGCGACGATTGCATGGAGCTGGATGACACAACACACACGTGGCAAATGGACGAGGAACAGGGGACGCCAGGCTTGACAGCGGGGCGACCAAAAAGAAAAGCAAAGAAAAAAAAACCAGCAAGGCTCGAAAAACGAAAAAAAAAAAAGGCAAAAAAAGAGAGCCAGCTTCGAGTGCTAGTCTCCTGCCGCTCGCTGCTCGCAAGAGCCAGGGAAAGCCAGAGATGCGTTGGCTGCAACTACGCGCACCACGGGTGAGCGCGGGAGAGGTCCACGAGCAAACGCGCCGGCAGGAGACCGAGAGGGAAAACCAACAAAAAGGACGAGATGTCTTTTTTTTTTTTTTTTTTTTTCCAAACGTCCCTTCTCCCATCCTTTCAAGCGCTCCTATTTCCCCACTGATCGCTGGTCGATGCCGATGCCTGATCCCGTCTCCCACTCGCTGAAAACACTGCCTTGATGACAAACAACGCCAGTGCAAATCCCCGACCACTGCCAGCCCGAATGCTGCGTATTTGTGCAATGCTACACACCTGGATGAAAAAGAAGAGAGCGAGCAAAAGACAAAATGGACGAAAATATAAAAAAAAATCAAAAAAAAAATCCAAAAATAAAAAAAAAACAAAAAAAAAAAAACCCTAACAAAAATCCAGTCAGAAAAAAATCAAAAACAACGTGGGTAGGACTTTTTGGTGAAAAAACTCGTAGCGAAAATTTTCTAAAAACGGCTTCGGCTACCCGCCCTCACTCTTTTCCTCCGCCCTACCCCCTTTTCTCTGCTTTTGACTGATTTGGCTTGCTCTCTCTCTTCTTTCAACTTGACGTAAGGCCTTCCTTTTTTTTTTTTCCCTTCTTCTTGAGCACGCTGGCGAGCGCATCCAAGCGCCCTGCATCCGGACACGACCAGCCTCCCTGCGGCAGCCATCCGCCCTGTTCGACAGCATGATTTTTTATTCCGAAAAGCAGCTTCAGAGGGGAAAGGAGAGGGAGAAAGGGGAACAGAGAGGCAATGGTCTTCTGCAGGAAAAGCATGGAGATCTTTTTTTTTTTTTTTTTTTTTTTTGTGGCTGCAAGGATTTTTTTATTTTTGTATTTTCGTGCCGTTTCGAGTCTTCGGCTGTCATCCACGACCAAATGACTTGACCAACCCATGCGCGTAGTAGACTTCCTGCCATTGCCCAGCAGAGATGGGGTCGCACGACCAGCGTACGGCCTCAAGGGCAGCGACAAGCGGTTGGACGCGAGACAACGTGGTTTTTTTTTTCTTTCTTTCGTTTTTCTTGCGCTTTGGACGTTGTGGGGCGTCTAGCTCGCCGTGTCGACCGTCAGCCTGCAGGATGCACCTGCTCAACGGAGCTTGTCGCCCGGTTTTTGCGTCCCAAAGCCCGCTCTGACGCAGCGACCGAGGTTTCCAGGCTGCGCAAAGTTGTCTATGATTTTTATTTTTTATTATTTTATTATTTATTTTTGCTCTTTTTTTATTTTTGTGGTTCCCGTTTCATCGCCATCCATTGCTTCACGTTTGGCAGCGCTGAGGCGCCCTTATGTGTGCGATGGCTCTTGGAACTCATGTGAAGAGTAGCGTTTCGTGGAGCTGTACCGAGCCTGCAGAGGTGGACTTTTGTCTTGCACGTATCCTCGTGTCGTCTTTTGTCTTGTCATTTCCTCGCTCTCGGCCTGCACCACTCTGCTCGCTCTACGTCCATTGCTCTGTTCCACTTCCAAGGGTGGACACGGATCCACACTCTTGATCTGCCTTTCGAAGCTAGTCCGTTCACTCATTTTTGTCTCGTTTCCTTTTTTCTTCATTTTTTTTTTTTTTTTTTTTTTTGCTGCTTCCCCCCACCAGAATGCCCGGTGTCACCCTCAAGGACGTTGAATCGCACGCATTCGTGAAGGCATACGCCGCTCACCTCAAGAAGTCTGGCAAGGTTGAGCTGCCCAAGTACCTCGACCTCGTCAAGACCGCCGTCGGCCGCGAGCTCCCCCCTTACGACCCCGACTGGTACTACGTCCGCCTTGCCGCCATTGCCCGCCGCCTCTACCTCCACCAAGGCCTCGGCGTTGGCGCTCTCCGCGTCCAATTCGGTGGCAAGAAGCGCCGTGGCGCCAAGCCCCCGCACGCTCACCTCGCCTCTGGCTCCGTCATCCGCTCGGCTGTTCAGCAGCTCGAGAAGCTGAAGGTTGTCGAGAAGGACGCCGAGGGTGGCCGCCGCATCTCCCAGACTGGCCAACGCGACATTGACCGCATTGCCAGCCAGGTCGCCACTGCCGCCAAGAAGTAAAAAAGCGCCGAGAGCTTCACTTGCCGTTTGCGCCTGCAAACTCATTGTTGTGATTCTTGCGTTTATCATCCGTGTGTTGCGTTATCGGATTAATTTTTTCTTTGGAGAAAGTGATAAAAAATCAAAATACTAGACTTTAGCCACAGGAAAGTTGAGCGTTTGTTGTTGTTTTTTGTTGTTTGTTTTCTGAAAAAAAGTTAATCACAGGGAAGAGGCATTGGCGTTCACGTCCATTGTCCTTCGCCTGCCGCCAAGCCTTGAGGAAGCCTTGAGGAAGCCTTGAGGAAGCCTTGAGGATGTGAGGGGGCGATTCGATGCCGCTACTGATGAATGCCCAAAGACGCACGCAGATCGTTCGGAAGCTTGCTTAGAATAAGATCAATATGAGCTCCAAACTGGCGTGACATGGCGGGCGTAATGAATCTTTGCGAAGCAGGGTTGGTCTGCGACAGGAGCAAAAAGAGGGCGGGACGTTTGAAGTGAGAGAGCGTCGACAAAACAACAAGAACGTTCCTACAAAACCAGAGTCTTCGAAAACATCTCACCATCTCTTCCCGCAAGCGGACCAACAGGTCTACAAGGTGAAGCTCATCCTTGTCCTGCACCCACTGCGCGAGATCGGCTTCGCAGACCTTCTCCAGGTACAGCTTGCGAAGGCGATCGTTTGCCTCCCGCTGTTTGCCTTGGTGCCATTCCTTAAAGTTCGGGCATTCCAAGAACGCCTTGTACAAGCCAATCCAATCGCCTTTGCGACCGGAGGTGACTTGCGGGCCCAGCTATTTGATATTTTCGAGCAAAGTGAGAGGGCGGGGGAGGAGAACCAAAATAACAAAAAAAAAAAACCCAAACAAACAAAAACAAAACACTTTCACACTCACCTGCTCGACAGACTTGAGAAAATCTTCGGGAACAAAGCGGCTCAGCGCAGGCAGATGCTTCCAAGGGGAAATGTGACGCTGGAGCGGGAGCAGACTGGCAAAGTAGCGCTCAAGCGGGCCCATGAATGCATCCGTCAGGGCTGCAAAATGTTGCCGCAAGAGAGCTGTTTTCGCCGAGTCGGACATGGATGCGTCAAACTCCAGTTGCTTGAGAAGCGCCTTTGACCGCTCAATCCGGGGCTTGTACTGAACTTGGACGCACTGTTTCCACTCGGACTTTGGTCGCTTGCTGGCAGGAGACAAGGCAAACGACTTGACCGGAGCTGCTGCGCTCAATCCCGAGCCTGACGGCTGAGCACCGGGTACGGGCGAACTTTGGCGTTTGAGTGGCTCGCCCACGACCACCTGCAATGGTGTTTCCACAAACCCCGCGAAAACCAACCAACAAAAACAAAAAAAATAAAATAAAATAAAGTAAAATACAGCGAGTTAGTGACAACAACATTCGCAACAACGTTGGCAGACTGCGGCAAACTGCTGACATGATTGGGCCAGTGATGGAGTGCCTTGATGAAATAGGGGTTGGTCACACCAAGAATGGCGGACGGAACCGACCGATTACGCGCCGTGTACTCTTTAAAGTCCGAGTCGTGAATGGTAAAATACGACCGAAAATCGCACGCATACTGTAGCGGATTGATCAAGCTATCCAAGACACAGAGGGAGAGGTGAATTAACTACAGTGCGCTCGCACCATCGCGACAAGCAAAACGCGTTTTTTTTTTTTTTTTTTTTTTTGCTTCAATTTTTTTTTTTTTTTGGTTGTTGCTGTTCAACTGTACCTAATCAAGCCCAGAACAGCGTTGGACGAAACGGCAGGCGACGGAGAAAACACAACAATGGGTTCACACACGAGTACGAGCTCCCACAGCGTCTGGAGATCGGGAAGCACGGCCTTGAAAACGCTGTACAGGTTGACATCGTCGAGAGTTGCGTGGATGACGTCTGGGTCATGGTCTGGAGCGTTGCTCATCTGATAGAAGGACGGCTTTTCATGCACAGCCGGAATGCGCAGACGCAGCACATGCCCGAGGATGGGAAGCTCATAGTTTTCTCCCAGCCGTGGCGCCGGCCATCGGCTAATGTTTTGGCTGGCAGCCTCGAGCAAGGGGCGACCGTGGGCAAAGTACTCTGGGGCAATCAGCGACACCAGCTTGCCGTACAGGGATGGGTAGGGATACGGAGAGACAATGACGACAGACTTTTGAAAGTAGCCACGCTTCAAGCCGCCGTCGCGAATCTGGCGGAAAAAGACGTGGCCGTAAAGAAAGTTGGACACTGCGCCCGAGCCGCTGGACGAGTCACTGTCAGCGGAGCTGGAGGTTGATGCGTCGGCCGAGAACGTTGAAATGGGACCGACGGGCAAGTTGGCGGCGGCTCGACCGCCGGCAGAGTACGCTCCATTGGCAATGGCGGTGCTGCCTCCAGTATCCTGCAACGAGGCGGAGCGCGAGAAGGGCACGTGGCCAGCCGTACGGCTCACCCGTGTAAAAGCGCTCGGCGAGGCGGGAGGTGCCGGAGAAGCCGACGGTACGCTTCGCTCGCCGTGCAGCCGAGCGCCAACGCGACTGGCAGAGCCTGCGCTGCTGCCTCCGGCGACAGCAGCAGCGACGAGTGCATTCACACGCGCCGCGTCGGTCCCTTGCGACTTTCGAATGCGAAAGCTGAACACAGTGTCGCCCATGCATCCCGAGTTGGAGTCGGGGAAGGACAGGTAGCAAATGTTGGCCTTCTCAAGGTCGGTCAGTCGCGTCGGCGGGTACATGTACTCCATGGACTGCCCCAGCTCAAGGTCGAACGTAATCACGCAGAGGCAGGTCAGCCAGCGCGAAAAGGCAGTCACGTCAAGCATTTCTGCAGCCTCGCCATCGCCGTGAACAATGCCGTCCTCAGTTCCACCGAGGCCTCCATCGTCGGCAACAGCGCTTGCATTAACGGCAGAAGGTTGTCCACCCGAGTGACCCAATGCCGACCCAGATCCAGACGCTGACGGAGCCACCGATTCGACCGGAGCCGCAATGAGATCGACGTAGGTCGACGATGGGCTTGACGCTCGCTGGGTTGTCCCGAGCCAAATCAAATAACCACAGGCAGGGAATAGAGTAATTTGCGTATCAAACAAGCATCAAAAGCACATTTCATTGTATCAAAATGATGTACGATTTGTGAGTCAAGCAGAGGAACGAATTTGCGCACAGAAAAACAGAAATTGGTCGGAAAACCAAAAACACAGCTCAGAAACCCGATGCAAAACTGTGACTCCATCAAAAACAAAGATGGAACGCTGCCTCCTGAAAAGCTTGTTGCTTACCTTCTCAAAGTGGTGCGTCGTCGGTTCGTACACTGACTGGACGTCAAAGCGGCCGCGGTTTGCATAGCTTGAGGCAGCTGTGCCTCGAGTGCCATTCCCGCTGGCGATGCCACCACTACGACCACCGCTACTATTACTACTGCTACTACTACTACTAATACTGCTGCGGCTGTGAATGGCACCTGCGTTGAGCAGTCGGCCGCCGCTGGGATCGGTGGCGCTACGGTTGCGATTCCCGCGCTCGACGCCGTTCGCCTGGTCCATGGCGCCGTCCGCACCACCATCGACACCAGCATTGCCGTCATCATCATCGTCGTCGTCAATGAAGCGCTGTGCAGACGCAGCCGCCGAGGTCGTCTGGCGATGATGCATGCCCAGCAAATCGTCATTGGCTCCTCCTCCTCCTTCTTGTTGGCCGTCGTCTTGCTCTCTGTCCGGGTCGTCGCTGGGCCCACCGCTGGAACCGTGCGAGGTGGACGGATGCACACTGCTGCCCGCCGTCGTCCCAAGCAGAGCACTTGTCGACGGGGTGGCAAAGCTGCCCAAATCGAAATTCGTCTCTTCCATCATGATTGCAAAAAAACAAAAAAACACAAAAAAGCAATGGACAAACAAATTTAGGACTGAAGCTGGATTTGTCAAACAATAGGATGAACTCTGAGCGGGAGGGAAGGGGAAGGGAAAGGGGAAGGGGGGTTTGATTCAAACTGACACACTCTGCAGTAGTAAGATGCATGTATCAGTACAAGATTCAAAATAAACAACACACAAACGGCAAACAAAAAAGGGTGCAACCAGAACGCGCGTTGGCAAACTCCTCCGAGCATCTAGTTGCACAACAGCGAAACTCAAAGCCTAGTCCTGTGGGGCAAAATTCACGAGAGCAGCTCCACTACTGGCCAGAGTCGGCGAACGGGGAATCGCCAACAACTGAGATCCTTGGTACGGAACGACTATGTGATCCTTTCCCGGAAGGCGCAATTGCCAAGTGTCACACTGTGAGTGGACTTGCTTGGCGGTGATTGGTGAGCGCGTGTAGAGGAGCGCATGAGATCCCACAACACCCGTGGCCGAATCTTCGCCATCCTCAAAGTACCTCTGAAATGGCACATTCAATGCGAACGGCAGGTGGTCTTCCCCGTTCGCGTTCAGCGGCTTGAATACGACGTAATGATTGAGAGGATCAAATGTCCACTGACAGTCGGTCTGATCGCTGATCGCCAGGGTAGTCCCGGGTTGACGTTGGAATGCAATCAACGGGACTGGTTGGCTTGAGCTTGCGCGACGCAGAGAAGACCTTGTCGACACCACTGGCTGCCCAATGACGATTACTCCAGCCATGTCCGAAATCAGAACTGGTGGCGCTTGACTGTCCAAAGCAACAGAGTAAACAGCCTCTTCTCCCGCCACGACCACACGCGTTTCAGAGAGGAACGCGACCGAAGCAATGGAAGCGACTTCAATTGTGCGAATGGAGCGCGGTGTGCTAGCGTTTCGAAAGTCAAAACACTCGGCTTGGTCCAAATTTGCACAAATGACGCGAAGGCCGTCGGAAAACAATCGGGTCACCTTCGGCAAGTTCAGCGAAAGCGGCACTCGCTGAACGTGCCAGAAAGGCCGCTCTTCACAAGCCATTTCGTGCCCGTCGTCTTGGTCACGGGTGCAAAGGGTCAACACGACCAAAGCACATTGCTCACTGAGATACTGATGCTGTTGCGGTCTCACGATGCACACGAGACGCCCATCAGCCAGCGCCACGTACGCGTCAATTCTTGGGCCTTGACAGATTTCTGCAAGTTGAGGCGCCGGAAAGTACTTGATCGAGTGCGTACCGCTCTCCCAGTTTTGCAAGGTTCGAGACCAGTGCATGAACGCCAAGTACCACTTGCTGAGCGGTTCTTCGCCGAGTTGGGCAGCCGAAGTAGCTGCGGTGCACGACTCAGTGAGGCGAAAGGGCTTCCAATGCTGGAGACTTGTCTCATAAGAGACAAAACTCGACGTCAAAATCCGTTGTGAAACCATCTCGCGCTCACGGGCCAAGCAGAGCTGGCGCCACAAGGACGAGCACCGGTGCAGCACATGTCTCCAGCGCTTGCACACTTTCGCGACCACCATCACTCGCACGGCGCATGCCGCAGCCGACGACGGCCTGAAATGTGGATGCACCAGAGAATAATCGCGCAGAGGTGCTGCGACGTGCATCAAGATGAGCTCCATGACCTCGAACGGCAAGTCTAGAATGTTCATGGGCAAGTTGGACGAGTCGTTGGGCTCGACCGACGCGGCCGAAACGACCAGCGGAGCCAAAGACGGCTGAGAGTCGGACATCAACTGGATGTCCTGAAAGACATTGCGGCACATGTAGCACTGGTCTTGAAAAAATGGAATAGGAAGCTTGATCGACGCGGGAAACGCGCCGTGCCATTGAACCGCCTTGGCCACATCTGCCAAATCATCCAGAATGGCTTGATGTTTTTGGACAGGTACTCGACTACACTCAATCCAAGTTGTATGCCCGACATCCTGTGTGGGTGCCAATTCCCAAAAAAAAAAAAGCAGCAAAACAAAACAAAACAAAAACACAGAGTCAGATGACTGCAAGACTGCGCCGTCGCGCGAGTTGCTGTTGTGGATGGGGCATTGAAAGCATTACAGGCTTAACATTGGGGTTGGCAGAACGAATCGAGCGACTGTGCACTGCTCCAACAGTGAGATTGCGCAAATTAAACACTTGTGTGGCGCGAAGAAGAGCACCGCTTTTGTTGGGAAGTACGAACGAGTAGGCGCTGACTGTTTCGCAACCAGCAGGGCACAAGCGTTGGGTTGTTAAACGCAGCAGGCTCTGTCGACGGCCTGCTTCGTGGCTGGTTTCTGGACCTGGATTGCTCGTGACCATGGCGAATTGCGATTTGACCCATGCATTGGAAATTGTTGTCGGCACATGGCAGATAATAGAAAGTCCCATCACGGCCGCTGTTCGATGTGAGACGACGCAGTTTCTACGGCAAAGCGAGGATGAGCACAAAATCGTTGTCGTCTTCTTCTTCTACTTCATCACCTTCTTCTTCATCACCTGGTTCTTCTGGTTCTGCTTCCTCTAAAACACGAATGAAAGATAACCGAGCGGACTTACATGGCATATGACTCGCGCGGCGATGAATTTTGCAACGCTTGCGCATGCGGGGCGACTTCATCAAGGGTGTAAACTCGGTCCTGCATGACTGGACCGAGAAAAACAGTCGACAGCCAATCCTTAAGGCTCTCGTCCGCTTGTTCTGAGCAAACGACCAGCTAGGCGATTGAAAGAACAAAGTTCGGTCAGTTTATCCTCGATCGATCGAGCAACACGGCCACTGCCCTCATTTTTTAAATTGTTGAAACAAGGTGGAAGGGGCTTACATTAGAGTCCGAATTCGGGTTGCCTCCAGGAATTCGAGCAAGAACAAAGGAAACGGTCGGGCAAAACGTGCACAAGATTCTGAGATTTGTGTGGGCGGCGATCGCGTCGATCGTGTCCAGAGCGGGTTTTGCCACCGATTCGATGTGTACGACTGCGACATCACATGTACCATCACTAATCGCAGCAAGAGCCTATTTTTGCAACGCCAAAGCCAGCACCAAGCTCAAGTTGTGAGATGCTGAGAGTCACCAGTGCTTCAAACACTTGGCTGGTTTTTTATCTTGATTTGTGCTCCTGTTGCAATTGCGAAAATAATGTCACTACTGTACCGAGTTTGCATTGCTGTTGTACTTGAGCTGGACCTTGTCAAACTCCTGCTTGCCTTGGTAGCGGAGGTGCGGAGCAGGGTCCGATGACAGAACCGACGCGCTGCCCGTCCGCTCACCAGCGCGATCTCCAAGCTCAAGCATCCCGAGGCGCCGTCCAGCGTCATCGAGGTGCACGCTGTACGCCAAGGTTGCGGCCACCTGTGACGGTGACGGGTCCATGCAGCGTTGCAGCGCTTCATTCAGCTGCAGCACGGCATGCTGATGGCGAGCAACATTGACAACACAACAGCAGCATTAGAACAGGAGCAACCCAGACAGGCAACCAGAATGGACAGCAGTCGAGGTCAGAGTTCGTGATGTTGTTTGGCAACTGAGCCGTGATTGATGACTGTTGCAGGACTGTTTTCACCTCACCTCGCTCTCGCTGCCCGGTGCGCCTACAATCGAAAACTTCATTCCCCTTCCGTCGGATCGGATTGACTTTGCATTGATTTGATGTCAGAGAGAGCGAGAGAGAGAGAGAGAGAGAGAGCGTATGAATGGGATGGCAAGCAAACAATCAAGAGAAATTGAAACAGAGAAAAACAAAAACAGACTGAGCTGGCTCAGAAATGCTCAGAAAAGCTCAGAAAAGCTCTGATAAAAGCCGGGTGTTGCACGATTCAATCATGTCGTGCTTGTTTTGTTTGGCTTTTATCAGCTCAGTCTCAGTCTCAGCGTCAAGTCTCAGTCAGTATGGATCGCTCAAAGCGACTCTTCCTGCAGCGACCAGGGACGGAGACCACGCCGCCATCCGCCTCGGCCACCAATGCTAATACAAGTACCAATACTACTAGTGCCAGCACGAGTGGCAGGAATATCAAGGCAAAGGGCAAGAAGAAGCGCCGCGCTGCAGACGAGTCGAGCGACAGTGAGTTTGAAGAGCCAGGCAGCGACAGCGCAGCCGAGTCCGACGATGACCACGACGACGACGACAACGACGACGACCTCGAAGACGATCTCAATGATGACAATCGCAAGGCGAGGCAACGCCATGGGCGGGACATGGAGACATTCGCATACTACGACGAGGATGAGGACGACGACGAGGACGACAAGGACGAGTACGCGGCGGCTGCGGCGGCACAGGCTGCAGTCAGGCAGCAAATGCAGCAAGAAGGGCTGAGTCGATTCACGCTGGCAGGAGCGGCCGCCGCCGGTCACAGCGCAGGCAGTGCTGCTGGCGGCGCAGCAGGCGGCATTGGCGCGGGAACGAGCGATTTGGCGGGCTTTCTGCAACAACCAATTGCTGCAGCTGGCTCTGGCTGGACTGCGACGGGTGGTGCTCCAGCCAGCGCGAGGCCCGGTGTCAGCAAGACAGTGTCTGAAAGCGAGGAAACAACCAGACAGGCGCAGGCGATCGCACAAGTGGCTGCTCAAGCAGTCTCAGAGTTGACGAGTGCTTCACTCGCAAAAGCTCTGAGTTTGCGATTGGCAGACCATCAAGCGCTCATTCGGCAGATGGCGGCAGCGATGACGATGACGACGACGACGACGATGATGATGATGATGATGATGATGATGATGACGACGACGACGACGATGACGATGAAGGCGACGAAGACGATGAAGGCGACGATGAGGACATCGGTGCACAGAGTTCCAGAGCAACAGCTGTGATGGAACAAGGGTCGCAGCCGCAGCAACAGCAACAGCAACAGACGTCCTTCGCAGTGGCGATGGACACCGCACCCCTTTTGCGCTCTCAACCGCTCTCTGGTGCCGAGGCGGCCCGCCTGAAGGCTCTAGAGCAACAACAGCAGCAGCACGCCCGTATTCGGGATGCACCCAACCCCCAACTGATGGCAGCAGCAGCCCTGTATGCAAAGCGGACGGCGACGGCGTCAGAGTTGCTCCCTCACCAGCTGATTCAGCGGTTGGAGCAGTCAGAGACTGCTTCGTCGCGCTTCAAATCACCTGCACCGATGCAGATCGAGCCATCAAGAGCTGCCAACGCCTCCGCTTTGTCAACCACACCAGCTGAAGCCGCGGCATCTTCCTCATACTCCACACCGTATCCAGTGCAAGCTGCAGCAACCTCGGACGCATCCTCCTCGACCCAGGGCTCCAATTTCTTCTCTTCTACAGAATCCTTTGCAGCAACGCCACTCACCCAAGCACGGCGGCTACCGCATGGCAGCTCGCCGTCGGCTCGCGGTCGAACCAGCGACGCGGATGCGTCGGCGTCGTCTAGCAGCGCCGCCTCAAAGCGAGGCAGCACGGGCTACTTGTCTGCCGCGGGAGGACTCACAGTCGGCCGAATTGGACGTGGAGCTCAGGAGGAGCAGCAACAGCTCATCGCTCGTCTGGCGTTGCAAAGCACGGGCGGTCGACAGCGCAGAATTCTCGAGCGGCAGCAACGCAGAGACGAGCGAGAGGCGTTCAAGCGCGAGCACAACTGGAAGCGGTACCGGAAGGAGCGTGCCGAGACCGTGCAGCTGACCGAACAGTGGCAGCTGCATTTCCAACATGCCAAGCAGCTGTTTGAGGAAGGGCGCTACGACGAATGCACGGTCAAATGCGACGAAATTAAGAGCCATCAGCCGCGATGTCCCGATCCATACTTGCTGATTTCGCAGTGCCAGGAGGCCAAAGGCAACGAATCGGGTGCGGCTGATTGGCTCTACCTTGCTGTGCAGCTCATGCCGGGTCGTTTGTGCATCAGCTGGTACCAGCAGCTCTCCATCAAATGGTTCCGCCTGGGCAAGGTTGACCACGCCCGCTGGGCGATTGATCGCGCCGTCCGCTTTTCCCAGTTCAAAAACGCTGGCGTGCTGGCAGACCGCGCGCGCATCTGCGAGGAAATGAACGAGCTGCCCCAGGCGCAGGCCGACTTGCAGCGCGTCATCGACCTTGAGCCCCTCGCCATCAACGTTCGAAACCAACTCGCCGAAATCCACATCAAGCAGAATAAGCTTGCACGGGCTGAAAAGGTGCTGTCGGCCATTCTGCTGCCCTCGGAGGAGCAGGCCCAAGGCCTTCGCACGGCACGTCTAAAGTTTTGGCACACGGCCATTACAGACTCAGTCCACTCTCGAGACGAGTCCGGCATTCTCCGAGCACAGGCCGTCAAGCGTGTACGAGAGTCCCGATTTGTCGCGTGGGGTATTGCGCCTGGCGAAGAGCTGTTTCTCGACGTTCTTTCGCCCGACGAGCTCCGCACCGTCCCCGAAGGCACCGCTGATGAAGAGGCGATGCGCAAGCACGAGTACATTACGGATATGACTGAAGCCTTGAACAAGTTGTGTGACTTGCTCTTGAAGCATCACGAGTACTCGAGAATTTTGGCTGCAACTCGCAAATGGGAAAGCGAGGTGTGTTTTCTTCCTTATTTTGTTGTTGTTGTTGTTGTTGTTGTTGTTGTTGTTGTTGTTGTTGTTGTTGTTGTTGTTGTTGTTGTTGTTGTTGTTGTTGTTGTTGTTGTTGTTTGCCTTCTTGGCATCTCTGCTCGTTGAAGTATTGTTCTTTTCGCGTAGTGTTTGCTTTGTTAACGCGTTTGTTTGGTTTTTGCTTTGTTTCTGCTTTGTTTTTGCTTTGTTTCTTTGCGCGCTTCTCGCCAAACAGCACACACGTCACACCGGAAAAGGCCCCGCGCACTCGCCGTCGGTGCTTGCTTCGCTCATCCTGGCATACTTGCACGAGGAGCAGCCTGATCAGGCCATTGCACACTTTTCGACGCTGTGCAATGTGCCTGTGGCCGTCGGGTATTCGCAGAGCCAGGCAGTCGTCCAGGCACTTCGCATGGCTGTGCCCGCAATGCAGCGTGAGATGCACGACCAAGCCATTGTGATGCGCAAGTGTCTCACCGTGTGCCACAAGGTGGCAAACCGGCTGGAGGCCGCAAGCAAGTCTGCCAATCCGCTCGGCACCGACCAAGACGCTGCATTGTTCCTGACCTGGGTTGGCTTTTGCGCGCTACAACTAATGCGCCTTGACAAGGACAAGGCAGACCATTTCTTCAGTCTCGGCACGACTGTGCTGGCCCGAGCGATTGAGCTGGATTCGCACCGCGCGTCCGCCGCGTCGTCACCCGTTCCTGGGGCAAGCCCAGTCTCTTCCGCCCGTGTCCAAGCCACAGTTCGCGTGCTGCTCATTGACATGCACCGCCTGAAGGGAAACCACGAAGACGCCAAGGCCTATCTCCAAGAGCTTGCGAGTCTGCCAGTGCAGCGAACTTCGGCCAGCAGGAAGCCTCATCCTGCGCTGCAGCAACTCGAAGTGACGAGCCACGCGTGGCTTCCCGACCTCGCCGAAGTCTTGTTCAACTCGAGCGATGAAGAGGCCCAGGAAGAAGCGCTCCACGCATCGGCCAGCAGCGAGAGCTTGGGACCGTTTGGCCGCAGGCGCCGCAGATCTTCCAGCATTTCTGGGCTTGGTGCGATTTCTGCGAGCTCCCGCCGTCGCCGGACACTGAGCGGGACGAGTCAGGCTGGTGGGGACATTCCGGCCCGTTCTGGCAGCGGCAGCGGAGAGAAGGACGCCACGGATGCAGCAGCGGCGGAAATGGATGAATCGGGCGACGCGTCCTCTGCTGCACCACCACGTCGTCGACGCATTCGGCGGCACGCCTCGACCAGCACGGCCGCGGGTAGCGGCACTGCCATTCAGGATCTGTTTCGGGTGCGCGACATGGATCGCCAAGACGAGCTGTGGGCAATGGTGCAGCCGAGCGTGCTCCAAGCTCACCGCGCCGTATTTGAACTTGCCCGAAGCGAAGTTCAGCACGCACTGGTCTCTGGCGCAATGCAGTCGTTCATCGAGCTGGGCTTGAGGGTCGTGGCGGTCTGCTTCTTCCCGCGCCTCGTCCATTTGCCCGCCACGCACCCACTCGTGCGAGCGCTGGCGACCCTGCCTGCAACACAAGCCCCAGTGCCATCATACGCTCGGTTCCACAACGTTGCGAGCGCCTCTGGGATGCACGAGCACAGCAGTTCAGACTTTGTCCCCGTCCTCTCCCGTTCATCGAGCGTCTATTGGAATGTTGCAGAGTTTCCGCTCGCCAATCTGGCCCAGTTAATTGTTTCGGTTGGTGTCACTGTATTCTTGTTGGGTGCGGTGTGTTGAATTACGCGTTGCTCACAATTTTCATTGCTTGCTCACAGCTCCATCGCGTCTTGCTGGGCCACCGGTCGCTCCCAGACGCCGCAGCCATGTCCTCCTTTATTGACGAGATTATATCCACATCCGCCTGCTTCAACGCTGCCGAGCAAGCGCAGCTTCAGATGTCCACAGCTTGCGTGGCGTACGTTGTTGGCGATGCCGAAGCGGCCGTTTCGCGTGCGCTCCGGCTTTGCTTTACTTTATCGAGCCGAGATGAGCTCAAGTGGACTGTGCTTCACCGCGCCTTGTACATGGAGCGGTCGGAAGCCAACATGGACGGTGCCCGGCGTATGCTTTGGTCGTTGAGTGCCGGAGCTTCCACACAGCCATCCGCTCGCGTTCGCTGGCTGACCATTGCCTTCCTCATGACGTCTTGTCGGTATGCTCCAGCAATAGGTAATGAGTTTTGTTGCTCTTGCCGCAGTTGTGTATTCAAAGTGGACTTTCCGTTGTTCCGAGGATCTCATTGCGCGATTCTCTTTTCGTGTGTGTGTTTTTTGGGGTTGCCAGTCCGGCTGCGCGAACTTCTCCAAAGCTTTGGCGCCACGCCCACGCTGCAACTTGCACTCGCCATGTGCTACCTCAATTACTGCTACTCCAAGCGCGTAGGCACTGACTCTCATGTGAGCGCCGTCCAAGCTCTCTCGTGGCTGCATCAGTACTTTGAAACGCGCAAAGGGGATCAGGAGGCGTGCTTCAATGTTGCGAGGTTTTTCCATCAAATTGGTAACGGAATTTCCTTTGTTTTCAGAGTTGTGGTGCCGGGCAACTTAATTTTCTGTTGTTGTTGTTGTTCGTGTCGTCGCATCGCAGGGATCAACCATTTTGCTCGAATGTACTACGAGCGCGTGCTTGAGGCACCAGACCAAGACGAGCAGCCCAATCTCAAGTTCGAAGCAGCATACAATCTCCATCTCATCTACCTGAGTGCAGGCTCTCTTATTCAAGCTCGGGCTATTCTCGTCCAACATTGCACAATCTAACCCAGCTCCGCATTTCTAGTTTTGTTTGTTTTCTCCGATTGATTAGCTTTTTTTGAAATACAAAAATCGATTGTTCATAACTCAAAGCATGATTGTTTATCTCAACTGCTTGGCCGAGCGGGATCGAGCCAGGTGCAACTCGTAGCTTGCATCGTCAATTAAAAACGAATACCAGACTACAATGACTAGAACGGTACTTCCGTGCCAAAGCGCATGGGCATCAAAAATCCCGAAAACTGGCGGGAAGTCTGCAATCTCAAACGCAGCACATAGCCCGAGGCCAACAACGGCGGCGAGTGCCTTTCTGCGATAGGCAAGCGAGGGTATTGGTGGATAAGAGCCGCCATCAATTGCGCGCTGCGGGTCGATTTGCAATGGTCTTGGTTCAACGACAGGAAGCAATGGATGAACTGGGGCAAACGCGCACCACAAGACCCACAGCATCGCATTTGCGGCAAACACAGCCACGCTTGCAGTCATGTTGTAGCCGTAATCAAAGCGGTCCTGCGAGAGATAGATGACGTGCGCTCCAAACACAGCCATCATCAGCGCCATCACCAGCCAGCGGAAGCGATGCAACACGTTGCTGATGCGCACCAGTCCGCAAAACATGGAGCACAGGATGGACGCTGTGGCAAACCAATAGTCGAGCCTCTCCGTCCAAAACAAGTCTCGCGTGTGGTAGATTGCCGACCAAAACCAAGTGTTGACATTGACGACGGCATACCTGCAGGAGAAGCAGAAGAACGACAGAGATGCAAAAACGCAACGAAAACAAAGTGAGCTATCGCAATCCAGCCCCGGCTCTGCGATCTCAACGGAAGTCAATAAACCGAACGTTGCACATCAGAGATGTACGAGAGGAATTTCTCCAGCAAAATCTCAACCATGTCTTTGTCTGAGAAACCAATCTCTGACGGCAGCTGCGCTTACCCAATCCACAGCCGACGGAAGGCGTACTGCTCGGGGATGGCCTGGGCGTATCGCCGTGCGCCATAGATGTGCGCCATGCCATTGAGGATGGAGAATAGGACGGACGCTGGCTCCTGCATCCCAGCGAAGCGCGTGAATGGCCACTTGCCGTGGAACTGCTGCACGGGCTGTCCCGCAGCGACGTGCGCTTCCGTGCAGGCGTGCATGCAGTTGTAGCGACATTCATCCATGCAAGTCCATCGCAGCGGATTCAGCGAATCGAGCACCTTCAGAATATCAACAACCCAAGATTTCAGTCAAAATTGGTGAGAAATTGCGAAAACGAGTCGTTCACTCTTCTGCGAGCGTTGTTGAACTTCTCACCGACAACGAGGACGGCTTGTCGGACTGTCTGGCACAGTCACTGAAGCATGGCTGGCAGCACTGAATGTAATCCCAGCTGCGATCGCCGGACGACGCATGTGTCTCGGCAGCCAAGTGCGCAACAATCACAATCACAACAATGACGATCAGGAATACAAGCCGATGTGTGCTGCCACGATGCAGCATGCTCTCAACAAGTAAGACTGAGAGTGAGTGCGACAAACAACGAAACGAAAAAAATTACTTGGAATGATAATGATTTACCAAAGACACAAAATTGTTAAAAAGCACGGTTGTAAGAAAAAATACAGTACAAGAAAAGATGGAAAGATGGCTCGGCTTTTCACCCGTGTGCAAAGTCGGTGAAATCCTCGGGACGACCGCTGTACCATGTTGCAGTGTTATTGGTGTTGGTGTTGGTGCTGGTCGAGTTGGAGGTGGTTGCTCCACGGGCTCCAGCAGAGGAGGCGGAAGAAGCGGCAGCGCCGCCAAACCGGTCCTTCATGCGCTTGATTTGACGAAGTCGCTCTTGCCAATTGGAAGCGTACTCCATTCCAGGCTTGTTCAGCCGCATGAGGCAGGCAAACTACGGTGCATCATCACACCATACCGTTGACAGGACACAAAAATGAGCATTCGTCCACGCAATCTAGTTGTGATTGCACACACAGAGAAAATGACACGAGAGACGTACGTTCGCGTGCAAGGCCATTTGACGGACAAAGCCGCCCAACGACGAGTCTGCCACCAGGCAAGGGTCTGGGAAGGGGAGCAAGTCCTCATTGGCTGATTGATGAACGTACACACAGCAACAATAATCAAAGGGTTGGTCTTCTGTTGCTTGAATTGCTTCAACATGAGCAAACGCCTGGGGATACATTACCTGGCTCCGACATGCATCGAACCAAATTGGTAAACTCATCCACAGGTTCAACAACAACTTCAATATAGTTGAATTGGCCCTGCCACACACAAAACAAACAAACACGCTCGAGTTAGACACCAACTAAAACGAAGAATGATAAGGCTCGATAAGGCACTCATTCGTTGAAAACTAGGACTACCTTAACAGCCCCAAACTTGTAAGGCAGACCAGAGTTGTTGTAAACAATCGTGATGAAATCGTTGCCAATATGGAGTTTCTTCGCCTGACGCAGTGGGTCGGTTTCTCGATTGGGCATCAGCGTCGCCACATGGAAGATGACTGATAGACGAGAGAGAGAGAGAAAAAAAATTCACACAAAGCGAGACTTTGAAAATGAGCGTTGAGAACCAACAACAAACAACGAAACAACCACCTGAAATCACACTCACGCTGAGTTAAATCATCTTGCCACATGTAGGAAAACTCGCCGTCAATGTCATTCGAGCGGTCAAGACCTCCTGTGTAGACGTCAGCTCCCCGAAGTCGAATGAGCCGACCGAGGCCAGACAAAAAGTTGCGGTAGCGCTGAGTTCCGAAAGCGTTCGAGAGAATGTCCGCCTCCACGTGCGGCTGGTTGCGAGCAATGTACACGACACCAATTTTGTGCATGTCGTACGGATGGATGCGATCGAGCACGCCTAGAGCGCGGTCAACTGCTTCTCCTGCCGGGAGAGCTTGCGGGCGATCCTTGAGCGACGTGAATGGCTCCAGCTGCAAAAAGATAAAGCTCGGGAATACAAGGTTGTCGAGGGCGGCAGGAGTCGTGAGAAGCGGATGCGCAGCAGTTGCCGCAGGCGCGCCGGCAAGGACCGATGGCAAATCGAGAGCAGCCGGCGGCGGGTGTCCAGCGTGGGCGGGAACGGTACCGACCAGCAGAGGAGACCGCAGCATGGTCAATGGCGCTTGTGGGCCAGCCGCGGGAAGTTGTTGTCCGGATGTACCCACCACGAGGGACGAGGTTGCCGCGGGAGCAGGTGCTGATGCCAAAGTGGTGCCGACAGATGCTGCAGCAGTTGTGGCGGCGGTGCTAGGCCCTGTAGGCTGAGCGACGGCGAGCGCTGTCGAGCTCACGTTCGGAGAGGATGCAGCTGCAGACGACGAGGACGTGGACGAGCCTCCAGCCGTCTCTGCCTGCGGATGCGCTGAGCCGATAAACCCAGTGGCGGGAGTGCCAGTGACGCTCACGGAGCGCGACTTGTTGTCGCTGCCAGCCCTTCGCATACGTGAGAGCAAGAATGTTGCAGTGGCTGGAGCGGCAGTAGTAGGGTGCTGCTGGTGTGACTGCTGCTGCTGCTGCTGCTGCTGCTGGCGAACGGTAGCCGACGTAATCGTCTCTGTCGACACGGCATGCGACAAGCTTGCAGGACTGATTTCTGTACTTGGAAGAGGAGCAGACACGTGCATGGCCAAAGCTTCGGCAGCAGCGACAGACGGGGTAGCAGGCATGGATATGGTTCTCAAACGTGTGGACGGGCGTTGAGCGAACGCCGGGTCAGTTGCAGAATTTCCGCTGCTGCTGGTGGTGCTGCTGGTGGTGCTTGGTGAGGATGTGGCGTCCTTCTCCGCCGCCGATGCAGTCCTCTTGACAGAAGCAAGCTCCGCGTCCGAGACGGCGGATGAGACTGCCGCCGTGTCCGACCCTGCTGCGGCAGCCGATGTGACTGTCATGGTGGTGACTGAGCTAACAGTCGGCAGGGGTGGGCCGCTGGGTGCGGCATCTGCTGCATTGACCGTATCATCGTCGTCATAGGGCATGAGCGGAATGTTGTGCATGGTCGGCGAGGTGCCGAAGGACGACGCATCAAGACCAAGACCGCCGCTGTTCGCCAGGCCGGCCTCGCTGGTCCGACGATCACGTCGGCCCGCCACAGCCGCGTACGACAGCGGTCCGAAAGAATGGGACAAGCCCAGCAGATCGTGATCGCCGTAGCTGTCGGCGGCCATCAAGCGGTACGAATGCGGAGAGTCGGACAGATTTCCGCTGCTCGGCACGTTCTGACGACTTCCCACGCTGGTAGAGGGAGAGTTGCTCCGCGCCATGTCATCGGCGTGGTCGGCGGCATCGTCCGAGGAGCTGCCGTCCTCAACTTCGTCGTCGTCGTCCGAGTGATCGTGAAGGACAAATACACTGGCGTCTGTCTCGGGGTTGCTGGAGGCAAGCCGATGGCGCCGCGAAGTCTTTCGCGACGAGCGACGCGTGGAGCTGACACGCGAGTCGTGCTTTGGCGTTGCGTGGGACGAAGGAATGAGCATGCCAGTCGGCTTGGCGGCTTTTGCCGGCTCGTGCGGTTGCTCGTTGGTGTCGCGGGCTCCCGTGCTGCCGCTGCTGTTGCTTCGAACAGCTGCGGAGCCTGCAGGGTCGGGTCGGAGGGACCGCGGGGCAGAGGACGAGGATGGTGGAGGAACTTGAACACTGGCATCACGCGAGCGAAGGGTGGCGGCAGGAGCGGCGCCGTGCTGTTTGGTGCGAGACTTTCGGCGACGAGAGCTCGGCTTGGCGTCCGAAATCAGTGCCGCGTTTGCGGAATCGGTGTGCAGGGGGTCACGAGCAGCAGGATTTTGCAACGCGAATGAGCCAGACCAGGATGCACGGTCCTCAAGTGAGCCGACAGAGCTCACAGACACGGACGCTCGTTTGCGACGCGAGCGAGTGGGCGCCGGCTGGAAGCCGTCCGTGCTCTCTCCGTCGTTGTTTCGCAGCAGCTGCCTGCTGGTGTCGCGGGTTGGCACGCCAAAGTCGTCGGTTTCATCCGTTGGAGGGGACGTGGCCGAGCTGCCTCGGGAGTGCGACGAGCGCGACACTGACAGCGAGCGATGCCGGCGGTGGCGAGAGGACTTGCGCGTCGGTGTTGCCAGCGAATTGAGCAGCTCGACAATGTGCGGGCGCTGGGACAGCGAGCTGGACAAGAGATGCGTGCTTCCGCTGCCACTGCTCCCAGCCGTCTCGTCTCCAGTAAAGCCCGAGCCGGAAATCGGACTGCCATCGATAGCAAAGGACATGGCAGGCTGGCTTCCTCCAAAGCGAATGGGACGGGAGCCGAAAAGGGCCATCGCCGGCGCACTGCTGGTCAGCCCGCCCAAGCTGCCTCGCGCGTTTCCGGAAAAGCCACCGTCCCCAAGCTCGCTCAGCCCAGATTGCACAGGGAGCAAGCTTTCGTGGGAGAAGGAGGCGGCTGGGACGGATTCGCTCCCGCGAAGCTCATTGAAATCATCCACCAAAGAGGTGGACGAGCGGATGTGCGGCAATTGCGGGAACGAGTGTGAAGAAAACTCTGATGGCGTCTCAGGTGCCGAGAACGGCTGGAAGAGCGAGGTTGTCGAGTTTCGGCCCAAATTCGCCCATGGCTGCTGGTGGCACAGGAATGGCGAGTCGTCTCGCTCACCATGCGGCGTGTCTGCCATCGTAAACAGATTGAGCTGCGGAGGAGAGGAGGCCACTCCTGCCAGTGGTCGGGGGATGGTTTCGGACGCAGAAAGCCCCAACGAGTGCGACGGCTCTGGGAGCTGCGGGGGATGCTCGAGACTGTCTTGTAACGAGGCAGTCACATCCAACTGAGGAAGAAGCGACGATGCGGCCGTTTCAGCCGGCACCAGCAATACAGGAGCCGTGGTGGCGGGTGTTGCACCGTCCACAGGGGGAAGCAGTTCAAGGTGCTGGGATGCCAGGGAAATTTCATCGTCTTCCTTCACTTCGGCAATCGTTTCCGTGTTGGCGGCGTACGTGGCCAGCAAGGTGCCGAGTCGTTGGTGCTGCGAGGAGGATTGGGCGGACTGGGCGTCGGTTGGTGTGGTCGTGCCCGAGCTGACGGAGGACGTAGAGGGCGATGCTGCAACTCGCGGGAGCGCTGGAATGGCCGTTGTTGCGCTCATACTCGCCAGGATGGTCTGGGGCTGAGAAGAGGCCGGCGCATGCGAGAGGTTGTCCGAAGGAATAACAGCGACTGAGGTGCCTGCAGGCTGGAGTAAAGATGCTGGGAGGCTGCTGGTGGCAAGCGGGCGAGGCCGAACATGCCAGGCAGCGCTGGCCAACGCTAGCCGAGCGTGTCGCACGACATCCACCACGGACTTGTACTTGAACCGATCTCGATCGTCCGACAGACTATGAAGCGGCGCGTTCTGCTGCAGATCGGCGTCGGAGCTGTTCTGATACTCGTTCGACAGGAGCAATGGGTGCGGCTGTGGCGCCGTCGGGGAGGCAGGCTGAGACTCGCCGGCAAATGTCCAATCGCTCATGCTGCCGTCGGACTCACCGGCGATGCCATACAAGTCGGTCAGCAGGCTGTTGTAGAGCCGGTCCGTGTTGACGCCCGAGGAGGCGTAGCCGAGCTGCGCGGCAATGCCCAGGACGGAAGGCGAGGCGAAAAAGTTGTCCTCGTTGTTGTACTGGCGGTTTTGGAGCCGCAGCATCCAGGAGACGGTGCCGGTGGCTTTTCGCACGGTGACTTCGGCCCACGAGGTTGTTGGCGACGCACACACGGTCATGACGGTGTGCCCAATCAGCCAGTGCCGCGTGATGGCGTCCGCCAACAGCGCGCGAGAAACGGCAGAGCGTTCCGCGGGCAATGACGAGCAGTTGGAATGAGCAAAGCGCGCAAGCATGTCGAGCAACGTCTCTACGTTTTCATCTTGCAATGAAGCAGTTGTCGTTGTAGTTGTAGTAGTAGTAGCAGCTGCAATCCCTGCAGCGGTTCCTGAGGTGGTTGCGGCGGAGCTTTCAGGCAAGCCCTTGACAATGAAGGGAACGTAGCGCTTGCGGTCTTTGAGCCGACAGCGCAAAAACCAAGCAATGATGATATGGTGTGCAAGGGCGCAAATATGCGCGCCATAGCGCTTGGTCTCGGTGTACTTGAGGCAGATTGCAAACACATACTTGTAATCGTCCTCAATGAAATTGGCACAGAGGTGAGGCAGCCGTACCAAGCCCGAGAGAAACTCGAGAATGGGAATGCTCATGCGAGGAGCGCTCGACACTTGTGACAGGCGCGACAATACAGTCGGCAGCTGGCGAGGCACGGCGTACGAGAGTTCGAGACAGCACAGCAGCAGTGCATACACGCATTGCGCCGGCACGCCGTCCCAGGGAGAGCTGAGTCCGCGTTCAAAGCAGGCGACGAGCTCGTCGCGCTGAAACTTTGCGAGCTTGGACTTGTACGCAATCAGCGCAGCAAGAACGCGATAGGTGAGCACGTGCATTGCAGCAAGGGCAGGGCGCTCGACGAGGGCCAAATCCTTCAATGGCAACGCGTTGGGCGAGCGAATTGTCTCGAGCAAAAACGTGGAGAGGACGGACACGTCGACCGATTCAGCGGCAAAGATACGCTTGTTGTAGAGCATTTCGAGCAACCCACTCAAAATCTTCACATAGGCAGCATGCCGGGCTTCTCGAACCAATCCCTCCATGAGCAAGGAGAAAACTTCGCCCATGGGCAAGACGACCGGGCCGTCCGAACTCTGCTGTTGTTGCTGGTGATGGTGATGGGGGTGATGCTGAGGTGATAGTAGCTGAGATGATTCGGTGGGCGACAGTGGTGGGTGCTCGCCAGTCAAGACGGGCGACAAGAGCAGAATCTGCGACAATGCTGGCTTGGGCTGGGCACTGGCGGCCTGAGATGAAGGATGTGAAGGATGCTGCTGCTGTTGCTGCGCTTGTCCTGGTGCTGGTCCTTGTTGAAAAGCGGGGGAAATGTCAGTGCGTGGACTCGTCGCTGACGGATGCAAATCGGGCGCGTGGCACACTGCATAAGGGCTGGGCTTGGGAAGCGTGTCGTCCAGCAGGTAGATAAAGTTGTTTGCATCGGCACGAAGCGAGAGCAGACACGAGTACAGCTGTTCGCGAATGGCTTCACTAATCTGCAAGCTTGCCGTCGAAGCTGCGCCACCTTGGGAGGCCGCGACCCGAGCGCCCTGAAGAGGAACGGCAGGAACCTTGCTGTGAGCATGCAAGGTTTTGAGCAAGACCTGGAACGTTCGCGAAATGTGGGCCACGGGTTGCTTGTAGAGCGCTTCCCGGAAAATGGACACGGCACCCGTTGCCGCCAAGAGGGCAGATGACACGGGCGCAGTGGGGCGTGTCTTGGTCGAGGTCGAGGATGTGGTGACTCCCGTGGCAGCCAGCGTCGATGCGGCAGAGTTGAATGGCACAGAGGTGAGTGTCGAGGCTTGGCCGCTCGAAGGATGCGGATGGGAAGCGTCGACAGTGCTGGCATTCGATCCTGCGGCATTCGACCCACCGGCAACAGACAAGACGCCAGAGCTCTGGTGTGATAGATTCCGCAGAGGAGACGAGACGACAGCAGTCGCGGTTGAGGGCATTTGTAGGGCAGCAGCAGCAGCAGTAGGGGCTGCGGAGGTGGTTGCGCTACTGCTCGTCCCTTGTAACGAGTTGGATTCGGCGCCGCCATAAAAGCCAACGGCGAGCTTGTTACGATTGGCAATGCTGGGATTTACTGCCAGAGAAGCGTGGCTGGCCTCGTCGTCATCCTCGTCGTCATCGTCGTCGAAATCCAGATTGGCAATGCCAATGCTGATTCGTAAGGTTGGACGACGCGGACGGGTGGTGATGGTCGACGACGTCGTCGATGATTTCTCGGGAGCCACAGCATTGGATGGCTCTACGCCCGAAAGCTGCTGATGGGCTGGAGCCTGCTGACTCGGCTGCTGCGTTGGTGGTGGTGGTGCGGCCCCATCCCGAATCAACAGATCGTCGTCGTCATAGTCTTGTAGTTCTTCGGGATCTGCATTCACTTCTTTGCTCAGCGCTGCACGTTCAATGATCGAAATGAGGCCTTCAAAGCTCTCCGAGTTGCAGCTGGTGGCGAGATCAATCACGACTTCAATACCCATCTTGCGAACGATCGGATCTCGATCGTCAGGGACGCTGCGAAGGGATGGCAGGACGACTTCAGCAACAATCTCGCGCTCATACAGAAACCGCGTCGCCGTCACGACGTTGCTCAAAATGGCCAACGCCTTGGTGCGAATCCGCGTGCGTCGCTCGCTGTCAAAGAAGAGTCGCATCATGTTGCGCGTCGAATCGAGCCAGTTTGACGAGTATGCCGGATGGAGCATGGCCACCTTGCTTGCCAACAGGGCAATCATGGTTGCTTCCGATCGGAAGTGGCGGAAGCGCTCCGCCGTTTCAAAGTACCGCTGAATCGCGCCTGCATAGCGACCCGTGAGGTACAGCATTTCCAGCAGCTGCAAGCAGGTCTTGACGGCACCGAAGAATGCTCGAGCGTCGCTGACAGCATCCTTGCCCGTGAAAAAGACGGACGTTTTCGCGATGGCGGTCTCATCGCGAGGCGCTGACGCGTGTGTTGAGGCGGGTGGAGAGCCGGGACGCTGCTGCTGGGATGGTGCTTGATTGAGAGCAGCGGCAAGACTCGTGATGGAGGGCAGCGATGTGGCAGCGTCCAGCGTTGCCGAATCTCGCGTGGAAGACTTTTGAGATGCACGACCACTTGCCGCCGCTGCTGCTGCTGCTGCTGCTGCGGGCGACTGATTATTGGCGGAGGCTGCATGACCTCCTGCTGGATCCGAAAGATGCTTTCTCCGCAAGTGTGTTGGGGAGGACGGCCTGGAAGAAGCGGGGGTTGTCGAGGCTGATGCAGACAGAGTGGGTGGCAAAATCTCTTCAACAACATCGCTCGCCGATCGCCGCCGGACTTGTGGCAGCAGGTCGAGCATTCCATCGACATATACGCTCAAACTGTCCAGCACATCCAACGCCAATTCCCACTCGACTGGATCAAGCTCTGCGCCGTACTTTTTGAGCAGGCGCGAAAGCGACAGTGTCACTTCGTATGCAACCACCAACTGCTTGCTTGTCAATACCGCCACAAATGCGGGCAGCACGGTGGTGAACGAGTGCCGCAGGCTTTGGACACGCTGTGAGCCCCATGTAGCCATTCCGAGGAAGAAGACGGCGCCTGCGGGAGCACAGAGAAGAGGAGACAAATGAGACAAAGGAGAGAAAGGAGACAAACGAGACAAACGAGACAAAGAAGAAGCAAAATGGAGTGCCAGAGATGAGACCTGCGACTCGCACACCAAAATCAATCCCTCAACAGAACAAGAACACCACGTACCTCGCAGCAAGTCGGTGGGTGGCCGCTGAGGAGGCTGCTCTTCAAGCATCAAACACATTGTGCGAAGGACATTGTACCCAATGGCTGATTTGAGCAGATTCCGCATGCTCTGCCAGGACGTCTGCGACACGACTTCGATATTGACGGTGCGGCAGAGCACGGCGATCGTCTGCGTCAGGCAGGGAACAGGAATGGCTCCGCTGCGAATAAACCAATCTAGAACCGACAGGCAGCTTTGAATGTCGTCTGGCGAGGAGAGGGAGTTGCAGAGACTGCAGGTGTAGCGCACAACGCCGAGGGCAACGCTGTCGTCGAGGGCGGCAATGTTGTGCCGAGCAACGCCAATCACGAGAGCCATAGCGGCGCCGTTCAACTGCTTGGCTCGCGCCTGGTGCGCCATCAGAGAAAGGACGAAAGGGCCGATACGACCCTCAATGTACGTCAAATCGCGGCCACCTCGGGTCAGACGGCGGACGGCGTCCAGCTTTGCGGCAAAGTCGGCGTCGGTCGGCCGCGACGGTCCGCTGGCCTCAACAGTCGCAAACAGGGCACTTCGCAGCATGCCAAGCCGGTCATACTGACCATCGATGAGCGCACTCATGAACGTGAACAGCATCTGGCGGGACTCGACTGTCGGCGACTCGTCCAGAACGTGCTTGCCTGCGCTCCACACAACGCCGGCCATCGTGTCCTTGAAGCGATACTGTCGCACAATTTCACACACATCGCGCATGGCCTTGGTGCGCTGCGAGCTGCCCTGCGGCAGCGCCTTGAGCGAGAGTATCTCCTGCACGAGTTCCCCGAGTTCGAGCTCGTCCTCGATGGCCAGCTGGCCTGCCGCCGGCTGTTGTGTCGGGTTCTTCAGCAAGATGATGATCAAGCAGGACCGGGGAAAACAGGCGTAGTATCAAGCAATTCGCATTGTCAGACGTGAGCGGCAAAGTTCAAGAGCAGCAAGATGAAGAGCCTCTTGTTTGGCTTTGGCTTGTTACCATCATCATCATCATGGACATCATTGCAGCAGCTGTTGTAGCTGTAGCACTTGCATTGGATGCTGCTGCTGCTGATGGTGGCTGGCTTGTCGTGCTGCTGTTGTTGAGAGTGGAGGCCGAGCCGATGGCGGCTGACTGTCCCGCTGCTGCCGATGGCGACTGCATCGACGCTGCTGCAGCAGCATTCGCGCCGTGCTGTTGTGACTGTGGCAATGCAGCAGCAGCAGCAGATGTGCTTGCCGAGGACGGCGAGCCAAACAGACTATGGCGGAGACGAGCAATGACGCCCCTCGGCGACGCCACCTGCTGCTGTAGCTGTTGCTGTTGCTGTTGCTGTAGTTGTTGCTGCTGTTGTTGCTGTTGTTGGGACTGCGATGGTGGCAGTGGCGGTGGTCCTCCGCCTGGGCTCGTTGCTGCCAGCCCAGCAGCGGCGTTCTCGCTCATCTCAAATCCTTTCCCCTTCCCGTCGTCGTCCTGCTTGCTGTGCCGAAATTTGAGGGGAAGGCGAGTTTCCAAATGATTTCAGATTCGTGGTCTAAATGGGGCTGAATGTAAAAATTTAAGAAAAAAAAAAAAGAGGAGGACTGCGAGTTCTGAGAGTTCTGAGAGTTCTGAGAGTTCTGAGCTTCTTCTCTCTCTCTTACAGTACTCAGCATTGTTCAACTTCACTCTTTTTTTTTTCTTTATTCTTTATTCTTTGCTATGGCGTCGAGTGCAGCTGACATTGCCCGTGCATTGTGGTCGAGCGTCACGACTGCGGCCAACAAGCAGCACTCGAATGCATTCGCATCGCCAGCAGCAGCAGCAGCAGCAGCAGCAGCAGAACTCCTTCCGACCATCATGCCGCTGCTCCGGTCGCTGATGCGTGCACAACGCCCTACAAACAACAATGGGAGCAGCAGTTTGAGTTGTAGCAGTCAGCATGATGGGATTAGTATGCAAGTAGCAGCAGCAGAGGGTGAGGGTGAATTCAAGTCTGCCGCTGCATTACTCATCACTGCCGCCGCCGCTGCTGCTGCTGCTGCTGCTGCCACTACAGCGACAACTTCATCAACTTCATCAGCATCGACGACGACTTCGCTGGGGCGGGCAAACTCCAATGCTGCGGCCGCCAATAGCGCAGCCAACACGGCATTCCGGGCAAGCCTGGTGGTCGACGCACTGCTGCGAACATCATCAGATGCAGCAGCAGCAGCAGCAACAGAGCGTCATGCAGCAGTGCCAGTCATGCTGGTGCTCGCTGCACAGCAGTTTGTGGCGGCCGCGCTCAGCATGTGCCAGGGCCCGAGCGACAGCAGCATTGGCATGACGGCGCTGCAGATTGCCATTGCCACGGGTGAGCAGCTCGCGGTTCCCGAATTCATGCAACAGCTCGAGCAACAACATCAGCAGCAGCAGCAGCAACATCAGCAGGTGGCACAGGCGGGAGAAGAGCAGCACGTCACTACGTCGGGATTGCCGCAAATCGCAGCAGCAGCAGAATTCGCATTGCCACAGCCAACAACGACCGGTACATTGCCATCGACCTCAGCGACGGTGACTACGACTACTGATGCGAATGCAAATGCGAATGCTTGGACAAGTCAGCCTGCGCTCGCATGGCTGCCGGACGGAATCATCGCGACGCACTGCCTGCGATCAAGCCCGTCCATTCCCGCGCTGAAGCTCCTGCTGGAGCAGATTCCAACAGCAACAGCCGAATCCCAAAGTATCCTGACGCGAGTTCTCACGCAGCCAAGTGGCTCGCATAGTGCTGTGGGATTTCTGCACGCCATCCTTTTGCGCCCAAGTCCAGCCAAGAGCGCCGCGTCGTCAGACAGGCCTGAAGCACTTCCGTGGACCATTGCCTCGTCCGAGCTATTCCCTCAAGTGCGTCTACACGCCGCGGAGGCGCTGCTCAACCACCCACGACTCGTCGCAGCTCGACACTTGCTCGCAGAGATGGTTGGCGTGCCTCTTCTGGTGCAGGATGGGGATGGGGACGAGACGACAGCCACCCCGGCGTTCACCTACCAGGCCTTGCTGTTGCACGAGCTTGCCGCTCGCAACTGGATTGAGCCGCTGCGCTTGGTGCTGGCCACCTTTCCCGACATTGCTCGCGCACAGCCGGCTGACGGGCTTCAATGCCTGCTCACCCATCGATGCTGTAGCGTCGAGGCCTTGCAGCTGGTGCTTGGACGAGACCCGAACTTTGCCGAACTCGCCTCGCCAAAGCACTCCAGCACCCCGCGTACCCTGCTCGGTACCGCCATGTGCCTGGTTTTGCCAGCACCACAGCCCGTCACGGTGGCTTCCTTGGCGAACTTTGTCGCAACCTCGTCGGGATCGACCGCCTCCACAGCGTTGCCGAGTCCAGCCTCCTCGGTCGTGCCCCCTGCTGCTGGCGACATGCCCAGCTCGACGACACCGGCTGCGTTCTTCCGTTCGAGTGGCACCGTTGACTTTCAGCGGTCGTTTCTACTCGCTGCGGTAGAGTATGGTCTGACCGGGGAGGTACTCAACTCGCCCAACTGCTGCGGCACCCTGTTGGGCAACTACCGCCACTCGGCCACCGTCGACGCCTTGTCCGAGTCGTTCACTGCACTGGAGGCCATGGTTGCCTTTGAATTGGCGTCCTGGAAGTCCGATTGGGTGTATGACATTACGTCCCACCGGCTCTCGCGAGTCCTCCACTTTCTTGTGCGAACTGGTGCGCGCCTCTCGCCCATTCCCACCATCAAGCTCCTGCGACGATTTGTCCGACCACAGGCCAACGAGCATGTCTCGCTGGTGGATTGTTACACGCTAGCACCGAGCTCGTCTGTCCCAAATGAACACGCCGAGCGCCTGGCTTGCGAGCGAGCGCTGTTGATCCATTTGGCAATGATGCCATCCGTCACCCTATCCGCATTCGAGTGCATTGTCGATGCGGCCGACATTGGACCCACATGGGCTGAGATTCAGCAGCAGTGCACCGACGCCGAGACGACACGGCTCGAATTCGGGCTGCACGATGTCATGAATGAACCGGCTCTGTTTGAGCGCCTCGCAGCACGCCAACTCGCTCTCTGTGCAGAGAAGCTGCTGCGCTTGCCTCGCTTGATTGGGCTGGAGATTGATCAACCCGACTCGGCCGGCGTGACTGTTCTCCATCGCGCTTGCTGTCTCGAGTTGCCGATTCCGGACGTTATCACCTCGCTCGTCTCCGTTCTTCATGCCACGAGTACCCTCACTGATATTCTTGCGTTCGCAGAGATTGCTGCCAACAGCGAGTCCTTGTTATGCCCGGGATGCCGCCTCTGTGTCTTGCCAGCGCTCAGCTCCAACAGTACGACGCTCCCGCAGTCAAACATCACCACTACCATTACTCTGGCCACGTCAGAAGAAGAGTTGCTGGCACCAGCAGCAGGTGATGTTGGCGAAGCAGGGGCACCGCTCGTTTCCGTTGTCAAGGATTCCGAGCAGCCCGACTCGAGCGCCACAGCTCTTCTTCGTTCAACTCCAAAAGACAACACCAACAGGGCGTCCACCATCTCGTTGGATGACCCCACGGATGGCCTGTCGGGAGGCAAATCGCTCAAACGTAGCTCCAGTCGGGTGTCGATTGCCTGGCAGAGCCCTCCCGACCCTGAAGGCCCCAGCATCCGCATTCCCACCGAATCCCGCCTGGCCGCTCAAAATGTCGATTTGGCTCTGCAAGCCATGGTGGGCAATGCCGTTCCCGTGCCCGTCCCCTCGAACGGAAGTTCGTCCGGCTTGCTCGGTGGAACCGAGACCACCCAGGCCCAGCCTGATCCGTCCAATGCGCAGCGACTCGCTGCATGGAAGGCCGTCTCGCTGGCATTCCGGGCCAGTGCCTTGCATCACACGCACCGAAGCCAGTCCGCGTGCAAGTCCAGCGGCTTGGCGTGGCTTGTTCGGCTGCTGTCGAAGCGTGCTTCTGGCGGCAACGCGTCGCGCCCGTCGTCCAAGCGAGTCAGCACCATGATGAACTGGAATGCACACGAGTTTCCCGAGTATGCGACGGTCGAAGCGCCTGCTGCGCCAGAGCCCGTCGTTGCTGCCGCCGAGCCACGACTTTTCAACGCTGCTCTTCAACCCACCGCCCGAATTGAGCCGGCCGCTGAGATACCCCCATCGTTGCTCGAGTCCGCGCTGTAACTTTGCTCTTGTTGTTCCTGTCAGGTTGTGTGTGCGTCCTTTTTGTAACTTTAGCTCGAACTGTATTATTTATTGAAACCACCCTTGCTATCGGTCGTTTACATTTTCTAAATGCAAGTTGCCATTGGTTTTTTTCTTTTCTCGTATTGTATTCTTTCTATTCGACTCAGTCCTTCACAGCAAAACTTGGAGAACGGGCGCGAAATGTCGTACGATCGAAGCCTCGACGACTTGGTCGACTCGATGGAGCGACGGCAGCGCAGCCAGGACGACTCCTCGCAGCGCCACCCTCGCAGTGCCGTGGCAGATCACGACGGACTCCTCCATGGCAATCCCAACGACCGCAGCCATTACGCGCGCGGCGGCAACGGGGAGCAGGTTGACGCTGATCGTCGACCGCGTCGCAGCTGGGCCGGATCGCGAACCCGGTCGAGATCAAGGTCAAGGTCAAGGTCAAGATCAAGGTCAAGGTCAAGGTCAAGGTCGCCGTCTGGCCGCTGGACGCACGATCTGGCCGAGACGCAGCAGCAGCAGCAGCAGCAGCAGCAGCAGCAGGGTGGCTTCCGGCGTTCGTACTACGATCGCGATCGACCCGACACCCGCGACGACGACGAGTACAATGACTATGATAACGACCGAGATCACAGAGGAGGCAAGGTCCGGCGGGATCGCCGCGAAAGCGAAGGACGCGACAACAACGACAATGGCGAAGGCTCAGACTTGGACGACAATCCGTACTCGGAAGCGTTTCGCAGGGCAAAGCGACGCGAACGCGATCGAGATCGGAGCGAAGAGGACGAAGAACGCCGTCAGCGAGGTGGACGGCAGAACAAGTGAGGCGCATTGGCAACGAAAACAGAACAAAAAAAATGGAGAAAGTATCTCACCTTTCTGAGTTTTCCTGGTTTGTTTTGCGGCTTGGACTTTGGGGGGGGGGGTTTTTTCGTTGAGCAGAGTGGCATCGGCTGCCATCGAGCAGGCCCTGGCATTGTCAGCAGCATACTCAAAGAGCCACACGCAGGCACCTTCGTCGGTTTCTGGATACGAGTTTGACGCAAAGCTTGGCTTGTATGTTCACGCCACCACGGGCATACACTTCGACCCTTCATCGGGTCTGTACACTGATCCGCGCACTGGAAGTCAGTTCATGTACAATGCTACCGCCGGCGCCTATCAGCCTGTCGGGGCAGAGACGTCCACGGCAGGCGAGTCTGCAGCTTCCGCATCGACACCCTCGACAGCGAATCCTACCCCTGCACCAGTGGCAACCAAGCCCAAGAAGGCTTCCGAACCCTTGACTGGTGTCATGCTGGCAAACAAGGTGCGTTTGCATCGTTCATTGGATCCCAAACATCTGCACCTGCGCTCACTTTATTACATGTGCTCTATCTCTCTGTCTCTCTCTCTCTCTCTCTCTCTCTCTCTCTCTCTCTCTCTCTCTCTCTCTCTCTCTCTCTCTCTCTCTCTCTCTCTCTCTCTCTCTCTCTCTCTCTCTCTCTCTCTCTCTCTCTCTCTCTCTCTCTCTCTCTCTCCAAACAATTCCTCAGATTGCAAAAGACATGGAAAAGCAAATGAAAAAACAACAGGATCAGATGCGAACAGTCACCCAGCCTTCAACGGCAAGCGCTTCTCAGCCTGTTGGCATGCTGCGGCTCCCGGCATCCACAGTACATGCTCCAAGCTACCAGCCAATGGACCCAAATGCGCCTCCGGTCATCCCTGTCTCTAGCCAAAGCACCGGCGCCGCCACCGGATCTCTGAGTGGCAACTGTCCGGAAGATTTGGTGCAGGCCGTCCAAGCAGATATTAACATGACGCGAGTCGACTGGGACAAGCTTGCGTGCTTGCTCTGCAAGCGAAAGCTTCCGACGCGTGAAGTGCTGGAAAAGCACGTCCATCAATCCGAGCTGCACAAGACGTCGCTTCAGGCCGAAACCGAGCGCGTGTTGGCGGAAATGGAGGCTGACGAAAAAGCCGGCTACCGTGATCGCGCCAAGGAACGGCGGACCTTGCACGGCGAGCCAGACCGGCCACCAGGTGTTCCTGCCAATCGCTGGGGCGCCGCCGCTCGTGCCGCCGCCGCCGCCGCCGCCTCTCATGAGCCACAGCAGCCGATCGTTCAGCCGACCAAGGACGGCATCAAAGAAGACAACATTGGCAATCGCATGCTGCAAAAGATGGGCTGGACGCAAGGCAGTGGCTTGGGCAAAGAGCAGCAAGGAATGGTTGCGCCGATCGAGACGCAGCTTCGTCGCGCGGGCGCTCGATTGGGCGCAGCCGACGCGGACGTCGTAGCGATGCCAGGCGACTCGTACCGAGACACTGTGCGACGGATGGTGAGGACTTTTAGCAAGGGTTGTGATATTATTGATTGAAGTGGTGCCGAGTTGGCTGATCATTCTTTTCTTTTGTTGTAGGCCAAGCATCGGTTCCAAAACATGACAGCGGCCGAGTCAAATCGTGCCGCGCAACGCGTGGAAGACGATCCTGATGATGAACAACGCCCAGCCTTCTCGTCATAGAGTTGGAAAGAAATGAATTTTTGGTCTATTCTTGCAAAAAAAAAAAAGGACTAATAGGAACAAAATCATGGAACAAGCTAAAGGTACCCAGCACTCTCTGCAGTCGCCTCGTTACATCGACATGGGTGTTGACGTGTCACTGGGCTCCGTCGCGGTTTTGCGCTTCCAAATTGCCACCAAATTCGTGTTGCTGACGGCAACAATGTACTTCATGCCCGAGTCGACCGCAGTTTGGCGAACCGGAGAGGAAAATTGCAAATTCGGACACGAGAGGACCTGTGATTGCATGCCGAATTGAGCCCACCTGGTTTTGATGCAGGAACCAACAACAAACTAATAGCATGCCTTGGCACTTACAGTTGGTAATGTACGGTTTGACAAGCTATACACCGTGACATTGCCGGTTTCGGTACCGGCAATCAAATACTCCGCATCTGGAAAACGCCAAAAAAAAAAAGCACAGAAAAGAGTGAGAAAAAAAAACAAAACCAGGCAAAGGAAGAAAACCAAATTCAGGACAAACTCACCCGCCGAGATACAGAACTTCATAAAGTACTCCGGGGTGCGCGAGTAGGGCAGCCAACCAACAACGTGGACATCATCTCCGCCGACAGCTACGGCGGGCGTGTTGGCGCGGGTGCTGGTCGTCGGCGTGCCGGCGCGTTCGTACCGTCCTTCTTTATGGGCAACAATGGCGCGTGCCAAGTCCCAGAGAAGGATTCGTGGGGACAGTGCACCCTTCGAGGCTGACGTGAAAACAAAAAAAACCCAAATGCCGAGTCGCAGTCAACAACACACATCAATCTCAGACGTCTCAACACGCAAACCACTCACCGATTAAATTTCCCTCAATGAACATGGCACAGTCCACGAATTGCAGATGGAACGACGTTCCCCGGAAGCGAATACACGTCTTGATCATCAAGGGCTTATTTTTTGCGACAATGTAGCCGGCGCCAAGCAGGACTGAGGCTGGGAAATCGAAATAAACAACGCTGCCGTCATCGCACGATGCCAAAATGCAGGCGCCAGAATGAGACAACGAAACGCAGTTGACCGGCGAGTCGGCGTAAAAGAAGGCCAATGGGCTGGATTTGTTGTGGCAGCGGGGATTCGGAGTCGGTGAGTGCAAAAATACAAGCGGTGGCGGACATGCCCAGCGGGATGCTTACACTGCCATCGATTTGTGCTTGACACCACGCGGAAGTCCAATGTCCCACAGAATGATTTTCTTGTCGGAAGAGGCGCCTAGACAGCACAAAAACACGAATGTTCCATCAAAGATTAGCAATCGTTCGTTGGAACCTCATCCCCCCACCCCCCCGAACGCTTCAAAGGCAACCCATACTTAATAGAAATGTTGGCCGTGATGGATGAAACTCTAAAGAGTGGACGGGCGCAGTGTGCGTTCGGATGCTTTGGTAGCAGACGTGCTGATCAGGGTGCAAAACTTTGATGTCCCCTTGAGCACCTATGAGGAATGTGCTCTCGCTGGGTTAAACTCAATTACGCATAATGGTCACCAGGCAACCAGAAGAAATAATCACCCCCCCCCCCGCCTCCCTTCTCCCTTGCGTACCTGCAGCTGCTAACAAGTTGGTCGCGACTTCGCCATCTGAGGTTCGAAGCACGACGGTTGTCCATGCCAGGGCAAAAAATTCTTCATCTTCGTGAACGTACTTCTGGAGGACCTGTCCGGCTTCGCAATCAATCAGGCAGATGGACTCGCCGCCTGCTGTTGCGACAACCCGAGTCGTTCCTGTTTGTGGGGGAAAGAAAAAATTCAGCGAAAAAACAAATGCAAATGAGATTGAAATGAAAACAGATGACAACCCATCCAGAGAAAAAGTTGCAGCATGCACCACCATTACCGTCGCCGTCGACCTTTGGCTCAAAGGCACAGGCATACACGGGAGTGCCGTGGTCGCCGGCGTCGTTTTCTTTGCATGGCAGCGGA